TGTATCCATGCCTGATACGTTCATACGTTCATGGTATGAGACAGTGTAGTAAACAGACTCCTTAATGAGTGGAATATCATCGTCATCCTATTCAACTGCAATAACTCAGTTTGCTGATTAAGTTTTTTGAGCTCATTGAGAGAGTTCAGTTAGCTGATCGACAATGTGAAGTTACAAATTCATTATTTTCAATTATATTTATCAAATATAATTATCAACCCATATTTATCATGATAATTATCAAGATAATTATCAAAGATAATTATCGTTTCGAACCCTGATATAAAGTACTAGCTCCTCACCCTCGATGCGCTCGGGTTCGTCCCTAACTTGCTTCCCAATATAAACTTTCATCCCCGTTTTCACCCCCTTAAGGGATGATTTCCGGGATAAAAAGTATATTTCCTTCCCAGGGTCTCAAACTCACAATGTCACGAATTCAAAAGACCTCTTTATAATATTAGTATAGATTAGGTACTATATATACTAATACTTTATAAATATAAGTAAAATATATGGGTGGGCGCCTACTGTACGCCGCTATCCATATATTGCTATTAATGTAATAAATATATGTACCTACTTACAAAAAAGAAAAAACAAAAAATCTATTGAATATTTTTTATGACTTCGTATCGTAGTGGTATAAAATAACTAACTGGTTGAAGTCTAAAGAGCCGCAAATCAAGTATCACGAGCGTTGCAGATAGGTACTATTTTTTGTTAAGATCACGATCACGCCTTGCAAACTCTTTCTAAATGTGTACTATATAATATTGCCGCTCGGGCAATATATAATATAATTTAATGGAGAATAATTTGTATTATAATTTACAGTTAAAAAATACATGGCATACTTACAGTAAGATTTCAGCATAACTAAATTAATGATAAAGCATTGATTATATTTTCTTATGATATGATACGCTTACAGCGTAATGTTATTTATCATTTAAGAATATATTTTTGTATATATTGCTTTGACTATTCATTTTAAGCGAAAACCGAACATTGCAAAAGCACCGTCAATAATATAACCTTAGATTTGGATGCGATTTATCATTTAGATAACATGACTCGATACCGTTGCGGCGATCACTCGCCACGCCGGCGCAGTGAGACCGAGTGCCCGGGCTGAGGTCCACGGGTACACCGTTACATTAACACCAAATCTGTCTACAATACGCTCCGTGTACGTACTTTGATTCGGATAAGAAGTTTAAAGTCACGATCCGGTTCGCAGTGCTGTCTGCGTAATCTCTGGCTTGACTTAGAAGTTTCCTTGTATGGCATCGATGCATATTTAAATCTTATCACAAGTTGCAGCCAGCGCTGATCCTTAACTCAACTTTATCAAGGCACTACGGAGTAACAAGAACTTGAATTGTATACCTACCCCAAAATGAGCACAATACCTTGATATTTTGTTCTTGTATATCTAATACATATAATATTATACTTTGTTTTACCATCTTTACATTATTACTTTACTGTGTACAACAAAGTGTACCTATATAAATATAAATAATATGTATTTCTCTCTTATATGTTACTATAATATACTAAAATTTAAGTAAGTAACTTTGTACATATGTTACTTACTTCTCAACGCTGTAACGGCTCATAATTGAAATAGTTTGTATCCTGTATCCACACAGAGGCTGCATTTTATCTAGGTAATTACCTATAGTAGGGGAGCCCAAGCGGGGATTTCGGGATTTACTGAAGCGCGGCAGATTAATATACAGGGGGATACCTTGTACCCGGTTAAGTACCTCCACAAAACATGAGGCCCATATATAAGGCCGCCCGTGAAGGATACAGGATCAGATTAGTAAAAAAAAATTGACCATCAGAAATTCTCGAGCGCGTCAGATTAAGGTAGGGTGAGTTAATTACATCCTAAAAAGTGTATATTCCACTAATCTGACAATTTGAGAGTGACGTAAAAAAAGGGGAGGGCAACAAAGTTGTAAAAAAAAAACGTCATCTCGACATTCTCGAGCGTAGCTAAAATTTTTTTTATTTTGAAGGAAATAATTCAAGAATATTGAAAAATATATAATCTGACGATTTCCGCAAGCCGAAATAACAAAAATTCGTCGATAAAGTTAAATGCGTGCAGCTGCGTGATGCCTACATTTCCTTCTCCGCGTGTCTATTCCTCTCTCACTTTTTCTCTATCTATTACTCTCTCACTCCGTCCCCACTCTGGTTTCTGCCGCCATGACGCCATCACAGCTGATCATAAAGACTCGTTCGTGGCATACTGTTTACAACGTGTTTCCAACGTTTTGGCTTTTTTTGCTATTTTAATATTATTTGTGTGAAGTATGATGTTGTCACTAAGTCTGTATGTATGTATGTGTGTGTGTATGTGTGACTCGCTTATATCTTTTCAACGACTAAACCGATCGGAATTTACTAAACGGCGTTCTAAAGATTTCCCTCAAAATTAGATTTCCTGTGAATTTGAGCCGATTCGGACCGATAGATTTTGAGAAATTTTGGAAAAGTGGTTTTTTTGGAATAACTTTTAACCGGCTTTATCAATTAACTTCAAAAACTAATCCGCCCTTAAGCTAAAAAAACCACGCCGATCGTTGCTAATCCGGTCAAAATCGGTTGATTCGTTCGAGAGATATCGTGAACGAAAGAAAACCGAAAAAAGTGTTTTTTCGGGATTACTCCGAAATTTTTGGTTCGATCAATTAAAACCTGAAAATAAATTATGAGGATGATAAAACTGCGTCGAATGGCGTCAACCGCGTGAAAATTGCTTGATCCATTCAAAAGTTATTACGGTTTGAAAATTCCAAAAATAGTGTTCTATGAAACTTCTATCAGACTTTCGAGCTGGGAGAGCTCAAATGCATAGAAATATTATTTCTTTGAACTCAGCGAGCTCAAAATATCACATAAATTATATTTTGAGCTCAAAAATGTCATAAGTACAATTTTAAGCGCCCAGGAATGGAATTAGCGGGAAGTTGCAGGTATGGCCTTTAAGGTGAACCGTTTTTCTAAATTTTTTTTTGTCAGATCAGACGAATCCCTCTAGATAATCGTCAGATTATGAGACAGTACCTTTAGAACATAAAGATGAACCATATATACCTTAATCTGACGCGCTTGAGTATTTCAAAATGGCAATTTTTTTTTGCACATTATGAAAATGGCCGCGAGTTTGCGTCCCATCGAAATCGTCAGATTAGTAAATGAGAGCTATTTTTTGGTGCACTTAACACTCCCTTAGAAAATCTGACGCGCTCGATGAAATTTTTTTTTTTCATTTTCAACCCTTAAATACAACCACCCGCATCATGCAAACGATCAGATTAACATACGTACATTATTAAAAATACGTAGGGCATTGATGCTATCAATATCTGACGCGCTCGAGGATGTCTATGCAACAGTTTTTTTTTACATATTTAAAAATCTATAGCCGCTTCCCCCACCGATGTAAAGGTATATATCATATAACATTTTTTTCTTCTTATCATCTAAGCTTTGCATCCCAATAGGTCTCTACGACGCTCGAGTAAATCCCCATTTAGCATCGTGGGCTCCCCTACCACTACAAGCAGAGCAATTAGTAAAAACTAATGTTATACAAATAAAAATGAATGGCTAAATGTGTGCTTGCGCAAAACTCGAGGACGGCTGGACCAATTCGGCTATTATTATTTTTTCAAATATTCGTTGAAATCCGAGGAAGGTTTTTATGAAAAGAAAAATTGGAAAACGTAAAAATCATTTTTTTCTTTTCCCTTTATAATTATGAACGCAACTTGAAAAATAATGTATTTGTAAAGTGCTTGAATGCATTTGTAGATTTTTATTAATTATTGTAATTATTAAATATTTTATTATTACATAATTAGAGTTGCGATAACAGACGCAATACATTCTTCCAGTGTCACGTGTTCGTGCTCTTTCTATTGACTTTGTTTGTTTATCCTTCTTTCACGTCAAAACAGAATAACGGATTGGGTTGATTTGGGCTGGACCATGACATAGGGTACTTACTAGAATATATTATATAATATCTATTCCATACTAACCATCAAAACGTACCTACCTAGGGACCAAACCGAGCGAAGAGTATAATATAAAATTACATTAAATCAGCACTTTCATTATTATACAAGCAACAGATAGTTACTACTTACAATACCAGTTACATGACGGCATTATTTCTGGTTTTCAGAAAGTCATTACCGTGTTATTTTTTATATTTTTATTTTTCTTATATCCCTTTGACGGGTGGCCCTTTAAGAAGTAAAAAAGAAGTTTACTAGAAACTAGTAAGTTGTTGCCAGGCGCAGGTAACTTACTTGCTATGCCTGTGTCTCTTGGGGATGAGAATTAATACGTTCGTTGCCCCTGTCCGACCGACCGTAATAACCCTGTGAGTTCTCTCCTATTTCTGTACTGACGAGACATGAACATGATGGAACATAAAATTGTAATGAATATATCAATAATATGATAATAAATAATGACAAAATCTTACCTATCATGGCGATATTCATATTAAAACTTGTAATAGTGTAATGTTGTTTGGAATATAAAGTATATTTATACTATTATAATTTTATAATAAAAAAATTAGGTCTGTATAAAGTTAAGCTGTGTTGACTAAAATTAGTCTTAATCATTCAGACCATATACTCGTAGGTAATAACATAATTACATATTTTTTATACGTTATCAACAATAGTCAATGATGGATACTTTATTTTTGGTGTCTAAAAATAAACAAACAACAAAAAGCATCAAATCGATAAAGTTAGGGTGCCTAGAGGTGCAAGGCGACCAGTAAACCGGTTTAAATGAGAAATTCTTTGTTTGGTTATAGCAAAGTCGAGACGTCGCGACTCGTGGCGGACACCTTGTCGCATGACTGACGGCATCTTTATTATTTTCAGAGATAGAAGGAGGAGAGCGGATGCGTCCACCACGAAGAACGGGCAGCTGAAGGCCGGCCCGGCCTGATGGCGAACATCGTGCTGTACGCATTGCTCGTGACGGCCTCGCTGGCCACTCTCACGCATGCAGGTGCAGCGCGTTTCGGCGACCGTATCGCGCCACGAGTACCTGCGCCGTACGCACCACGCAGTGCACCCGCGTCGCACCATTACGTCGAAAATGAAGATGACGATATGTACGAACAAGATTTCGATGAAGAAAGCGTTAAAGATGCAGAAGAGGAACCACCATTAGAGACAAAACCTCCGCCACGGCGACCTACACGTACTGAAGCTCATCGATTGGAAATGAGCACGGAATATTTTGTTGTACCCGAACGACCTTCATCGGCCCCAGTACCCTCTTCAACGATTCGTGTAATTACATATTCAACATTAAAGCCGATAAATGCGACACCCGTTCAAGTAACACCTTCACCGAAACTCACCATACTCAGGCCAGAATCTTGGGCAGTGCCAATATTAGCATTAGCTAGCGTAAGCATGATTATCATTGGAGGTTTTGAATCTTTTATAGTGTGGGGAGCAAGTAAGAAAGCGCCCAGTCAGCGACATTTACTCCTCGGACAGACTTTACTTTTCGGACTATTTACTTGTGCGGCTACAGCAGCACTATTTACCGCTGCACCTACTGCATTTACGTGCGGTGCTGTGCGCTTCGGAACTGGAGTTGCCTATGTGATTGTGTTTGCATCGCTACTTGTCAAATGTGTATTTTTATTAAGTTTAAATGGTGGCGTGTACTTACCAGCAGCATACCAAGGACTATTATTATTTTTCGCGGTAATGATTCAAGTGGCAATTGGCGCACAATGGTTAGGTGGTTCACCTCCTAGAGTCCCAATCGAAGCAACGCGATGCGACTCTCCGTTATCAGACTTGTTACTGTCGTTATGCTACGCAGCATTTTTAATTGCAGTTGTGTGTATTGTAGCTTTAAGATCGCGTGGTATACGCGATAATTACCGAGAAGCGACCCATATTGCAGGTGCTGGAGGTGCGACCGCCGCTGTTTGGATTTGTTGGGTGGCAGCAGCCCTGGGTGCGCCAGAACAGCACCGAGAAGCATGTGTCGCAGCTGGATTATTAGGCACATGTGCTGTAGTGTTTGCATTAATGTTTGCGCCAAAAGGAAGGCGACTCGCCGCATTAGGTCGTGAGGGCCGATGGGATGCAGACCGAGAGGAAGGATTGAGTTCAATTGGAGCGGGTGCTTCAGGCTATTCGCCTTCGTTCTTCCATTTCAAGCCAGTTAAGTACGGCATGGTTTCGGCGGCAGCCCCAGCGCCGCCTATGCTCGACCGCAAGGAGCCCCCTGCTCAGCCAGCCGGTTAGTTAAGTATCTAAACTGCGCTAATAAGTGAGAACTAGCGCTTAAGCACCAGGATCTGATCGCATTCCCTACATTATTTTGCAGATCCATATGAGTTCATGTTTGCCGGGTCGCACCTGCACGAACGTTCTTTGTGTCCTCCGTCACAGTATCCCCTGCACCCTCTAACACATTACCACTACAACTATCAGCCTTATCACTATCTTCTACCACCAGGTAACTTTGCACTGCTTTTATAGATACGCAAAAATAAGATTACTTTAACAATGATAACTGTACAATATTGAAATATTTTCGGCTAAGGTAAATGAAACTAAAAAAATCCGTAAACGTTTAAAATAACTTATTTGTATAAAAACTATGTATACCTATGTAATTAATTCCATATTTTCATTAAAAATATATATATTTATAAATATAGTTTAAAAGTACGAAAAAAGAAAATGATACTCACATGACTTTATCTGACGATGGCCCCGGTAGAAGAACTGACAGTGAGTTGTGTTGCAGGCGTGATAATGCGTCCGGAGGAGGGCAACGTGTACACGAGCGTGGAGCCCACCTTCAGCAGCAACCCCAACGTCTACTTCCAACGCACAGAGCCGTTGCACGTCGGCATGATGTACTGAGCCTCTGACAAACCAGCGTTCCAACGCGAACAGTGAGATTTGACAGTGCAACTGCTAGTCACTATGTGGTAATTGGTATCCATTTTAAGATACGACCCACTTTCTTTGTGTAGATTGTATAGATAAATCTTGATATTTTCTTTAAATATAATTTAAAGATATAAAAATACCTATTGCATTTAAATGACATTATTAATTACATACCATCGTTAATATACTATTATTGAGTTCTCAAAAACATCTACCTGAACCATAGATCAAAAAAGTACTAGATACACAATCAGCTACAAAAAATTTCCTCAATAAGCGCTCATTTGAACATTTGAGTGTTGCGAAACTTTAATTAAGCATTACATTTAAGGTTCAATTTACATTGTTGTATATTTATTTCATACTTTAAGAGAAAATTATGCATGGGATTGTGCATCTAGTACTTTTTTGATCAATCACCTAAACAGAATAAATAAATATTAAAAGTGCATATCAATATTAAATTTAGTTTACTGTTTTTATTATGTGTGAATTTATCATCAATATAATTCGAATAATTAAGAGTATCCATACACTTTTTATGGAACACCTCTAATATTATTATATGTATACATAAACATTTTGTAAAAATAATTTATAGTGAAAATCTTTGAATTTTGCACTCATATTAATTTATATAAATTTAATATTTTTTATTAGAAAACAAACACATGTATTATAGGGATATGTGAACATTTGTAAAATTACTATGTGATTTAATTGTATGAAACCCACCCTTTTGACTCGTATCAAATATGAATAGCTTTAGATGTAAGAAATTATGTAAGTTTATGCTATAGTTTATAATAATTGTAAATAAAACTAAAGATTTTGTAAGTGTATTTATTTCTTAATTACTACTAAAATTATAAATTCCTTCTGAGAACAAAACTGAACCAACTTTAGCACTTTTCTGAATAATTTAAAATCTGAGTACGTAACACACTGTGGTACAAAAGTGTTTATATGACTATCACAAACACATCTCAGTCTTTTCACTTAGTACCAGTAGACAGCAGAGCCAGGAAACCAGATGCTACTGAAAGAGATACTATGTAGTTACTGAAAAAAATATTAAGGAAATAAATTTCATTAATTAGAAAAATAAAAGTAGCACTAATGCTCTTGCATTATATAAAATATCCAATTTTTTTTAAATATTAAAATTCAATTGTTGGTCAACTTCATGCTCTTTTTTTAATTAGTAATGCTTGTCTTATGGAACAAGTTATCTTCCTAATTCTAAGACGAAGAAAGCTTTTTTACTGTTATAAAAGCTTTAAAATTATAAAAGGTTGAAAGCATGAACATTCAAATAAAAACAGACACAATGCCCTTGAGATATTGGACAGAGCTACAGATAAAATTTTACAAATACGACTTTTTCATTTTATAATTAAGTTTCAGGGTTGCCTAATAATTTTTATATAAAATATCTTACTATGTAGTAAGTTCAGTATTGATGTGGTGATGTGGTGGTGGTGTGGTAATGTTCAGTGGTGATGTGGGGCTCACCGGCTAGAAGAGCCGGTACTACCCACTAAAACCCGACATTCCCCTCCCCTCCGCCTTAATGGGACGCCGCAGGATCGCTTGCGCATAACTACTACGGCGCTCCGGCGGCAGGTCTGCCAACGGCTGACCACCACACCGATGGGGCTGCTCCACAGTCAACTCTGCTACACCGGAGCAGCCCCATTAAACCGAACCTCCGCCCACCGAAGTAGGCCACCTTCAATCGGCTGCAGAGGACAGGGAGAGCGGCAACGAAACACCGACACTCCTCTTCCCCTGCAGCCCCACCGCGTCCACCATCAAACGGTGGCGGCCCCGTCTAGGCCGCGGAAGGTAGGGAGAACGGCGCACCGAAATACCGGCAATCCTCTCCCGCCGCGGCCTACCCCTCCGCCGGATGCGCGCCTGCGACCACAGTCCCGCAACCGGCACCCATCATCCGGTTGTGGGACCAAGCGGTCCCACCACCGGTGGCCGCAACGTCTTCAGCTCGAGGCCTAGACGAGCGGCCCCATCCAAGCCATTTGGCCCGCGCCGGATTTCTCCGGTACCACCCGCTGCCCTAAGCGGGTGGCATTCCCCTATCCGCCACCTGGGGACGCGCCCGGTAGGAGTTGGCTTCTCCCCCGGGAAAGTTAAACAACCATAAACTAACCAAAAAATATTTAAAATCGAAAGATTCTTTTTTTTAATATAAATATCAATATTGATAATATTTTATAAAATTAGTTGAGGCAAAAAAGTGCCCAAAAAATATATATTTATAAACAATCATAAAGATATTTAACACTAGCCCTTTGAATTCATTTTGTTTTTTCAACAATTAACAGATATTTCAGTCATTAGAAGCAATATATAATAGCTGCTTGTCATATTTGTCATGATAGATTGATAAAAAAATATCAGCTTACCATTACATACATACAGCATACCATTTACTAATATTTTGAAATGTTATAAAAATGGTCTTTTCTCATTTTTAAAGTTGTTCTTTAAATTCATATTAAAATAATGTTACATTACCAATTTCTACAAAATAATTTAAAAAGGATACACAGTGGGTGTGAAGGAACGCAGCAAATAGAAGCTACTGAGAATCACAATCGTCAAAAACAAGGCATTGTTATAAAAGATTGAGAAGGTAGTAGCTTCATAATCAGCGACTTCATTCTTCTTCCACAAAATCCTAAAAAATAAGCATTATATATTTATATCCATGTATTGTTAAATAAATAAAGTCATATATTAATAATATGAACTATTTGTTTATTTTATATTTCATTTAAGTACTTTTATTATATTCATATTTACACATACCTTTCATCTTTTTCTTTTCTGCTCATTTTCTTTTCATCAGCCAGCTTTCTTGCCATTTCACGTGCAACAGCATCTTCTCGGCGAGTAGCAACACGATGTTTCAATTGGAATTTTGTGTTCCGATATGCCAAGGCAAGTAACCAAGTGCTAACTGTTGTTACCAATGCGAACCAAGCTAAGGAAGTGCTGACTTCTAAAGCATGTACTCTCCAAAATAGCCCTGTAATAAATGTTGGAAAAAGTGAGTATTTTTCCAACATAAAAAATAGTAATGCACATTCTTCGATATAAATAATGTGTTTAAAATAACATAATAATACACAACTTACATATAGGAATAGCGGAGACAATGAAAGCATTTCCATAAAATAGAGCTGATGATTTTGTAGAAACATTTCGGCTAAAATCTTGTAAAAGCAACTCTTCTTCTTTCGTAAAAGCTTTATTTCCTTTCCCTGACATTTTAACTATATACTCAATAATACAGTAACTGGTGATTATGTTAAATTTTGTGCGTTTATAACGGAGAAAGTAAACAGTTCGACTAAAGTGTCGTGAAACGTGTAAGTTTACAGCTGACAGAGCAAGAGAAATTAAACCGCTGATGACATTTAGCTTACAAATCACTTGACGTTTCAACTTCACGCATCAACGTGTCAGATCCTCAAGTAGATACAAAAATTAAATCTATGGTTTGAAATTCTCAGCTGGTACACTTTGAATTAATTAATTGAAATGAATGATTTAAATGTAAACACTATGTAAATTAACATCTTGTCTTATGATTGTAAAAAAAATACAAAGGCACCTCTGCCAAGAGCGAGTATGATACTGGTTACGATTTCAATCATATTGATTATACATTTTGTGTAGTAACATTAAAAATAATTTGAATTTATGATTTTTTCTCGGTGGTCTAGTAACTAGCATTTACGGCTGCAGGTCCGAGGACGCTGCCATCCTGGGTCCCGGATCGAGCCAAGTTTAGTTATTGAGTTTTTCTGTTAATCACTTGAACCCCGCTGGTGCCTATAGGCACCACTCCCGGCACTACCGTTACCGTTTATTATATGTAGCAATATACTCTATCTATAGGCCATAGACACCACCTCGCCCGCTGCACTTTTATCACATATTACACGACGAAATTATTTTATTTTATGCTAAATGTGTGATACACGCAAATTTTAGAAGTCTTATGAACTATATTATAAAATAAAATGTTAATTAAATAACGACAACGTTAAAAATAATTCGCTAGTGTTTTTGTTTAATTTAAAAATTTTAAACTAGTGAACTTGTGCCGTAAACGGATGAATATTAATTGTTAGTATTCTTTGCCACTATTGAGATACTAATAAGTGTACAATCACGTAATAAAATTAGTTTTTTGGTCTAACAAATTTTGATGTATAAAATTCGTAAAATAAGTCGCCATTTTATAACATGAATTTTGACTATTACTCTCTGATTTGGTGCCTGATGAAGGTAAATCCCTGAAGAAAATCTAATATAATTTCATATTTTCACTTGTTTGTAGCATATTTCAATAGTTTTATTTTAAAAATTATGTTTATTTACAAATAATACCTATTGTAACATTCAGATATTTTATAAGCCAGTTTGTAGATTTTGACAATAGATTTTTGATATGTCAAGTGGACAGTCGGTGATTCGAATTATATAAGTTATTCGGTGATCGGATTATATTATAAAATATAGATATAAAATGAGTATACAGAAAAAGCGAGAAATATAATTGTTAATTGCCAAATATTTGTCTTCCTGGAAAACCCTTCTGAGCTGTTTTACTATGAGCTGTCAACATATTTGTACTCTCGTCAAAGACTGTCAGACATTGACACTTGTCGATATGTGTTATCGATAATATCGATGTTTTAATATAAATATATCTTGAAAAAGTAAGATTGCTTTATGCTTTTTATTAGACATAGCGGAGAATAAATTGCAAAATAAAATACTCATATGTTTTATAAAATATAGTAGATATATATAAGAGCCTAAATACAAAGTCAAACATAATATACTATACTTTAATAGGAATACAAATACGTTCATTTATATCTATATAAAGAAAAATCAATGACTAAATCTATCGCTAAGCGCAAACCTCGATAACGGCTGGACCAAATAGCCTAATTTTTTTTGTAAATATTCGTTGAAGTCACGGAAAAACGTTAAAATCGTTGACTTTATTTGTTTGTTTATCCTTCTTTCACCAGTTACATACAGGTGTTCCAAGTGAATCGCTTATACATTAAATTCCCACGATGACGACGAATGCAGAGTTGCAGTTTTCGGATACTTTAATTCTTACATATTGCTTAGTGACATTCCATAAACTTACATCGAGTAGGTTGGACATTAAGTTTAGATAATAAGTTTAATTTGTAATTTTAAAATAAATTAGTTTAAATTAGTTTTTGGTTTTTTTTCGACCTTCCGACTGTAGCTAACGTAACTCACCTCGAAATAAAGTGCAAGATTGCGTATTTTTTGTGTGAAGATATTGATTTTATCGCGGGAGATTATCTCGTTCCTACGGGAAAACAAGTTATATCTATTCCACGCTAACCGTTAAAACGTACCTAGGGACAATTACAAGAATATTTTTTTGAGTCAATTTGTGTTATGTTCATCTAAATATTGTACTTATTGTGTTTTTCACACTGAAACTGAAACTATAAGAGCTATATTATTAAAATTCTCATTCTAAAATTATTATTTTAAAAATAAAAAGATAGGGTGGCACTCCGTACATGAAACTAGTGAAAAATAAAACCATATAAACGGTATAAATATTTAAATTGAGATAAATATTTCTCTTTTTATATAAATTTAACGTTAATTATTATTTGAAGAAGATATGTGAATAGTTTTTGAGATATGGTAAATTTTTTGCTACAGGCATTTGTAAAATACAAATTAAGTTATACTACTCATGAAAAGAGTATTGTAGATGAATAAAAATATATCATCAACTTTTTCCCGAAATATATTGCATAATATATTACAATAATAAAAAAAAAACATGCTACGAGAGCTAGCTAACTTGCGTGCCAAAACTTGAACACTCGCATTTATTACATTTTTTATAATAATAATTTTCTTTATGTTATATTTTTATAAAAATGGCACTTTAATTATTGATTTTTAAATTCAATTGGACTTTAGCTTATTCTTTTATAATTTAAGCTTAATTTATATACAGAAACGTTATTTACAATACAACACGAACGTCTACAAAAAATAACCTCAATTTTTTTCTCTTATAAGAAATCTATCCGAAACTTAATTACAGTGGCTTATTTTCAAGATTTATTATTATGCCCAAGGGTTTTAAATTGTACAATTATATCTTTTGCGTGGAATAATACGAAAGAAAACCGCATGAAAACACGAAAACACGCGTTTTCTCAGACATAAGGCTAATCTAGATCGATATTTCGCCCTCGAAAACTGCCACATACCAAATTTCAGCGAAATCGTTAAAGCCGTTTCCAAGATCGCCGGTATAAATAAATATACAAGAATTGCTCGTTTAAATATTAATTTTCTAAAAATAATTAGCTAAATCGATTTATCGCCCCCAAAACCTCCTGTATACTAAATTTCATGAAAATCGTTGGAGCCGTTTCCGAGATTCAGATTAATATAATATATATACAAGAATTGCTCGTTTGATGATAAAAGATAAGATAACGACACTTCATATTACTTGTAAGAGGTATAAATATTTTGCCGATTCAAATCTATATTTGTATTATACATATGTATGTCTTTGATGCCTCTCAAAAAACCAACCATGAGTGCAGGGATCTCTCAAGAGTTATCTCTGTAGTATGTACGTAGCTTATTTCTCTACTAGCAACTCACCCTCGCTTCGCTCGGGTTCGCCTAGAAAAAACACTAATAGAGATCTATTAGTTCCCACGGGAAACGTTCATTTTTCCGAGATGAAAAGTAACCTGTTGTTTGATCGGAAATATAAGGTATCAGAATGTTAAATTTTACTAAATTAGGTGCATAAGTTGTTGTGTACTAAGCTGTATAAGATACTATAGTTCTTTAACGATCCCACGGGAACTATTTAATTTTCTAGGATAAAAAGTATCTAAGATGCTGACCGGGCATATAAGGTACCACCATGCAAAATTTTATTTAAATCGGTCCAACAGTTTCGGAGATTAGCCCTTACAAACAGACAGAGAAACAAAAAAAATGAAAAAAAACTGGATTTGTTCTATTTTTCTTCTTACGGGATGTAGGAAGATAACTGACTCGGTTTTTAGCAATTTTTTTCTACGTACAGATATTCGACCTCTACAGTTTTGTTATATTTATAGATAGAATAAATAAGGTATAATAAAACAGTAATATATAACAATGAAAATAGTTATAGCGCAAAATCATGACACCACCCTAAAAAGCCAAATATACTTTTTTGAGAAGTTTGAAGTCTAAGAAAAGAAGGAATAATACAATGTTTTTAAGTACCTAATTTGAAACAAATTAAGTTTTTATTCGTTATTAAGTTTTTCTTTAATTTAAATAGCGCTATACAAATAGTCCGATCGCGATGTGCTACACAAAAAATTAAAACCGGAAGTTTTATTTTTTAAGACGTTTATAGCAAACAAGACAAGTTAGCAAACAGTTTAAAATTGTTTTTTTTTCAATTTCGGGCTTGTTGTGACATCTTATCGAAAAATATTCTTTACAAAAGTTGTAGGTCTAGTAAAAATCTACGACTATTACAATAACCAAAGTTTTCATATTTCCAAAAAAAAAAACAATTTTTAATTTTTTCTTGTTCTTTTTTATGTCTGCAAAAACTTTTTGATATTCATGAAACTAGAGGAATATAATCGTCAAAATACATATAATAACCAATTTTTTGAAATTGAAATGTTTAGCCTAAGTTACTATTTCATTATAATGTACATTTCAGGATCGGACCCCCAACACCTCCCCCCCCCCCCATTTAAATCTAGATCTGTACAGATTTTGCTAAGTTACTGTTTAAATATATGTATATGTCAACCTATGACCCCCCCCAAAATTTAACTCTGGATCCGCGCCTGTTATAGCGAGTGTACCTAAGGAGATAGACATATACTATTGAGAACTTTTCTATTGACCTTTTTAAGACTTACAATTTTCTTGTACAATGATTTCTAAGGACAATTCGATAGAACCAGTTATTGTGTCTTCCCGTGGGAATGAATAATTTGCCTATCGTATAAGGTATCCTAAATGTTGACCCGAGTACTAAGTTGTCACTATACAAAATTTAGTTAAAATCAGTTCAGTACTTTTTGCGTGAAACGCGCACATCGATTTGACTGAGTTAGTTTTATTATAGAGAGATAAGAATAGATATTGCTTAGGAGATATACTTTTACTATTCAGAACTTTCCTGTAGGACTTTTCAAGACCTACAATTTTTTAGTATATTGTTTTGATGTATGTATGTCTTAAGGTTTAGCCAGCGGAAGGTTTCTAGGGAGGACTCGATAAAACCAGTTATTGTATCTTCCCGTGAGAAAGAAAGATTTTCTTGAAATAAAAGGTATCCTAAACGTAATAAGTTATCACTTCACCAAACGTTGAAATCGGATCATTACTTTTGGCGTGAAACGCGCATACAAAAACAGCGCAAACAAACAGACATACAGGCAAACAGAGAAACAGACAATTTTATTGATAACTATTGTTTTGAGGTTTATGTTGTGTACATAATACGTTACAAATAAACGAAAACATCTATCCCACTAGCTAAAAATTTGTTATTCTAATGTATGACCTATATTATTGTAAAGTTTCATCAAAATACAATCAGTAGTTTTTGTGTACGAAGCTGTATAAGTTACTATAGTTTTTTGACTGTCCCACGGGAACCCTTTAATTTTCCGGGACAAAAAAATTGAAAAAAATCTGGATTTGTTCTATTTGTCTTCTTACATCCCCCTGACTCGGTTTTTAGCACTTTTTTGCTACGTACAGACATTCGACCTCTACTGTTTTACTATAGTATAGATTAGATTATGAATTGTCCTTTTTTTCACAGTACCTATTTATTTAACTGTGGCAAAATGAAACTGACAGAGTGTTAAGTCTATGGTGTTATATTTTGTAGTTTGTACACAAAATAACTGACATTCTAGTTTAAATTTAAAAAACTTAAACACAACTTTTTCAAATATAATTGTATTATTGCTGAATGTCTATAAAAGTCCTTAAATGTGCAATTTATTTTAATGTTCTTATCAAAATATTAAAAATAATAGAATATGGCTCATTTTGAATTTGCTATTCCACTACAAAAAGATGAGCTCTTGGAGTCTCATGCTGGACAGTATCACGTAGAAGATGTAGTTCAACCAAGATTATTATTGTCAAAGCTCCAAGGTAACTTTAATTCATCATTTTAAAAATTGGTATAAATTGTGAATCTATTAAAAAAGTCTTACTTAAAACTTTTTAGATGCCGCTCGTGCATACAACTCTGATGGCGTAGAATATGTATTAGAACATTTTGATACCTATTTTTCAATAATTGTTCACGGCACCAAGTTAGAATGGAATATAGTAAATAAAGGTATGTCAAATTTTTATTTAGAACATGTCTACAAAATAAAGCATTAACTCGTTACATCTCGTTACATGTTAACATGAAACTTTGTTTTCATAAGGATTCGACCATTTAGTCAGAACTGTCAAGAACCTATGTGGCCATTTGGAAAATATTTTACAAGATCAAATTATTGATGCTGATATACGAGTAAAAAATTTAAACATAGTTAAAATGACTATGTATTTATTTACACAAATAATGAAACTTAAAGATGCTAAATTGGCTGCAGATGTAAGTAACTCCTTTGTTTGCTTGAGTTTTTTTTGTACCTAATCTTAAGTTATTTGATTATTCTTTTTGTACAGAATTCCACAAAATTAACTTTGGGTAAGAAGGGAAAGAAAACAACTGATGAGAATGAATTTTGTGGTTGGACTGAAGCAGACAAACAAGGTGCTTTGGTATGTTTACATTTACTTCTCCAACAACCATTGCCCCATTTATGGGAACCACCTTTAGCTGAAGATAATTTTGTTTCGTAAGTATTTAAACTACTAAATTATTCTATTATTGTGACTAAAATTGATATAATAATTATGTGGATATTTTTTATCTATAATAGAATGGTAGCAGAGCCTTGTTATAAAGCTTTAGGAGAACAAATAATAAAAACAAAAATTGTAAGAGAAACTGTTTTTCAAGTATTAGGGGTGCTTATAAAGAAGTATAACCATGGAACATCTTGTGTTATAAAATTGGTTCAGGTGAGAAATAAAATTATATATAACTTAAAATTTTGTTACTATATTGTTTATTTTTACATTAATTTTCACAAAAATTGTTGTCCTTACAGGTCCTAAAACTTGTTGAGCACTCTGTGTCTCCTATATGTGCTGGAGTTGTTCAGTTAACTAAAGATTTTGGCCTTACAACCTTTGGGCCACAAATGGTATGCAAATAAAATATTTGGAATAGTTCATAATGCTACTCAGAGTACAATGTACTCATTTTATATAAACATTACATATATCATTTTAAAATGTATATGAGAAGTTCTTATCAAATAACAACACTTTTTCTACATTATATATATATATATATGGGTGGTTCTTCAAAATTTGGTTAACTTATGGCCTAATTTTGACAAAGGTCTTTTTAGATGGTTATCAGTAAATTTCTTATTCTATACTGTGGATATAATATTTACTTTGTTGCATCTAAAAGGGCCAGTCACTTTACAATGTATTTTAAGAGAAATTCAAGTTTTTTTGAAATCAGTTATCTAGGGACTGACGAGACATGATAGGGACTGACGCCAAAGACGGTTAATGTGCTTAATCACATTTTTATAGCAAAATTAACTTTAACAAAATAAAATAACTTACATATTATTATTAATTATTGTAACAAACAGTCAAAATATAAGATATTTTATATAACAAGTAGAATTGTCTTCCTACAATCTTAAATTTACTATCATACTCAAAAATATTCAATGTACTGAAGTAGACAATCAATTTTATGTTACCTTGACAAGCTATTTTTATATCAGTGAAACTTATTATTACCTACTTATCTCTTCAGTAAACAAAATTTATAAAATCTAAGTAAACTGAAAAGTTACAATCATAGCCTTTCTTTTATTAACTGTACTTTGAGTTTAGTACTTACAAATTAAAAATCTTTAAATAAATAACAATACTTTAAAAATTAGCTTTCTAAGTAACAAAATTATAATTTGAACGTAATAATCACTTTTTCTCTAATTAATCACAAATACTATCACATCACTATTTATTTGTTCTACTTTTCGTAAGCGACAACATGTTTCTTAAATTTGTGAAACACGGTTCCACCTAATAAGGTTAGAAACTGGCAGTTATTCTAAAACATTATTCGTAAGGCACGTCAGCGATATCATTCTCATTTATTTGAAATTATGTGCCATTTATCAATTCAGCTTTTTGATTAGGCTCGTTAGCCATGGCTTTTTGGTGTAAGTGCTTTCTTATTTTTCGTCATTTTACGTTTTGACAGTCTTCTGTTTCGTGGTTCTTCTATGCTCACGCGGTGTCATGTCCTTGAAACATTTCCTTTGTCCTTTTTCTTTTTCCTTGGATATTTATGACGTTCTTTTTCTTTGTACTCTGCTAGCAAAATAGGGTCCTTCTAATTTTTTCCAAACGTTTCTTTGCCTGTTCACACTTTTTTTGGCGAGTTCTCCTTTGGAAAGTAATGTTTTCTTTTTAGATGCCATATTCTACAACAAATACATATATTTTATTATTAAAACCACGGATCACGCAGTATGGCCGTCAGTCCCTAGGTGTGCCATCAGGCCCTAGTCACTTTTACGACGAGGGCCTGACGGTCTAGGGACTGACGAATCAAAGCAAAATCAAAAATAACCTATTATTTAAAATAAACATAACAACCAGCAGGTGATCAAAATAACAAGGCAGACAAAGCTCAAATGTACAATAAGTAATGAGATCAATTATTAATGAACTATCTTTGAAACGACTTACCTAGGGACTGAGAGTTTGACTGGCACAGTACGAGTTTCCGTAACAAAGTCGGCGACTGCAGTAAAAACTAATAGCTGATGCGGCATTGGTCGTGTTTACATTTAACTTCACATCGATGCTTTCGCTTGAGTAAGTTTTGAAAAACATCATAAGCTTAGATGCCGCGTATTTTCGAATTTCGCAAATAGCTAGGGACTGATATTTTTTAACGCTTACACTTTTTAACTTGAAATAATATGATAAAAGTTATTATTATTAAACATAAAATCGCAATGACTAGGTTAATAATGTAATAGTAAACGTGTTTAAGTCGAGTTAAATCAAATATGATTTAGAGAATTACAATAACAATGAAATACTTGCTAAATTTGGGAGATCTTACATGGCTAGGGCCTGATATTTGGAGTAGAAAGAAGCGATTTTCGGAAATAAAAAATATTGTGATATAAATCAAAGTGAGTGACCAAATTACATGAACTTTATAATATTGCTTAGTAGTTGCAAATATTCAATAAAATAGATATAAATATGTGAAAATTGCTGCTAACACCAAGTTAACCAAATTTTGAAGAATCACCCATATATATATATATATTTTGTTTCACTAATATCACTATAACTATAATGCTTAAATTAATAATCTATTAGTATTTAGTATTATGCAATATCTTAATAGTAACTCTAAGTAACATTTAGTCAATTTATAAGTAGAAATAATAAAAGCTTAACAAAAATATTTAGGTTCGTGAAATAACAGAGGCTCTAGCTACATCAGATGAAGAAAATGGGGGTGGAGCTGAGCAAGGTGCAGCTAAAAATTGTGGTACATTCTTGCTTGAACTTACAAAAGAACTGCCCAAAGAAATGGTTAATGCTATTGCAACTATACAGCCTTATTTGGAAAGTGATGAGGTACAATATACATATCAGTTATCCATTAGATAACATGTATTACTGTAATTTACTTAAGACGAAAAAGTTAACAATACAAATATGCCTCTCTTTATTGGTAAATACTTCTTAGTTTCTGTAGAGAAACCAAATTTTGAATGCTATAAAGATTTTAAATTTAAATATATAATAATAATTTTTGGTTAATAAATTAAAATAATTATTAAAGAAAAACAAATCTTGATTTAATTTTTTTTGCTTTCAATATATGGTTTAATAGAATAGAATTTTAATGATTTTGATGTCTTTGTAATTCATCTACGATAATGCAAGAAGTAGGAAGAAACAAGTAAAGTTTGTAAGTTTTCTGTCAGAAATCATAATTCTTTAATAAAAGTCTGGAAACAGTGGCCATTGAATTACTTTACATGCTACTGTTAGGCATCCAGGGATGCTAGTATTATATAGAGCAAAATATAAACAAACTCCTTTTTGTTTCCAGTCATACACGATCCGCATCGGCGTGCTGGGGATGATATGTGAGGTGCTCAGCGTGGAACTCACGGGCGAGGGGCTGACGGACGAGCAGCGCGCACAAAGGGATGACTTTCTAGACGATTTGTTTGAGCACATGCATGATACGTCTGCTTATGTGCGACATAAGGTATGCAGGACAGTTGTATAAACATTTTAAACATTCCTATCTGCTTCTATCATATATAGTAGTGATTACAATTTACAAGTCAATTTTTGACAATAATCTCTTGAAGAAGTAGAATAAAAAGTAGCTTTAGCAAGCATTGCAGCACAGTGTAACTTGGCAAAAAAAATGTAGGATTTATATGGTTTTAAACATTGAACATTTTGAACTCTTAATAAAGGAAACTTAATATACTACGGGAAATTGTGCACTTTACTTTAAAAAATTAGGCTAGCTCAAAACCTAGTATGTACAATATTATTCAACATTATATATATCCCAAAGTATGGTCATCCATTGGCCAAATACCAGTAAGTTAATACTCACTATGTAGCTAAAAAAATATCCATTAATATGGCAGATGCTAGAAAAATCCAAAAAACACTAAGTGCAAATATTTGTATGAAGGAATCTACTAAAGCTTATGAACAAAGTTATAGAATGACAAAAGAATTTATCAATACCAGTAGATATGGCCATGTGTAGGTCACTAATTGCTCATATTATGTATAGGTACTTCAATTTTGGTGTCGGCTGCAACGAGAAAATTGCGTCCCTGTGGTTCGTCAGCACTCCGTGCTCGAACGATCCATCGGCCGCCTACGGGACAAGGCGGCTCTGGTTAGGAAAGCGGCCATACAATTACTTAAAGTAAGTTAACTGTGAAAATTTTGATTATAATTGATTTACTGATATTGATAATTAAAGATTATGTTTATGGATTTCAGACGTTTTTGGAGTGTAACCCATTTTCAGCACAATTAAAGCTACAACTTTTAGAAGAGCAATTAGCAAGTGAGCAAAAAATTCTAGAAGAACTGCAGGAAAAATTGAACCCTGGTCCTGATCCAGAGCTTATAAAAGTCTGGGAGAAAATGGAAAAGCAAGTAATGAAAACAATCTTAGAGAAAATGGATACTTTAACACAAGATGAACCGGAGTTATCCCAAGCTACAGTGGAAAATTTATATGACGCAATTCGAAAAAATTTAAGAGAAAAGAATTATTACAAAGCTTACTTAATTGTAAAGCATACAGAAAGACAATATCCAGATGCGAAATTATTAAGATGTGAGATGGAAAAAAGTGATCAGGTCAATATAAAATTAATTTATATAGTACATAATATGTATTTATATAAAAGCCAACGGTCATTTGGCGCCGTGTATGATATGCTAAAGTAAAAAGATACTGATATTTCTTATTATTTCAGGTTGACTACTTTGTAGCATTGCTACGTAACGTGTTCATCATACCAGATCGACGCAAGTCCACATCCCTAACACAACAGTGTGAACAAGATCTCGCTATATACAAGAGGATAGAAGAAAAAGAAAATATTGTTGCCTTTCTTCAGGAGTCCATACATTTTAGTCGCATGATTTCTGAAGCAGTCCCATTAATAAATTCCCTATTGATGTCAAAGCAAGCCGGCGACGTGAATGAGGCCATAGATTTCTTTACCACTGCACATCATTTTAACATTGAATCTGCTAAAGTTGGAGTGACTAATATGCTTTTGCTTGTCTGGTCGCCAGATCAAGTGAGTAAAAATAAATTTTATAATTTGAATTTAATTGTAATGTCTATTAATAACATAAATCTATGGTACATACACACAAACTTCCATATTTAAAATAGTCCTTTTACAACCTGATGGCATTTTTTTTTATGAAGGAAAAACGCGAGGCAGTAGAGCGCGCGTACCGCGACATGTACCTGGAGTGCGACGTGAAGGCCGAGCGCGCGCGCGCATTCGCCATCGCGCGCAAGCTGCTGTCGCTTGCTCTGCAGCTGGACCGCGGCGCCGCGCTCGCGCTCGCGCTGCTCATCGACAAGTGGGTGGCGCGCGGGGACCTCACGCCCGCCATCATACAGGTACAGATACATATGTACACTTGTTATATTATACACATACACTTGTTATAACAATGGCTGGGTTATTATCGTTAATAAATACACAATTAAGATATTTCTATATTGTTTAATTCTATATTATATTTACTAGTGACTCACCCTAGCTTCGCTCGGGTTCATTTCTAGCTTGCTTCCTCATACAAACTTCTTCTTCTTCTGACGCGGCTTTTTCCGCACTTAGGCATCCCTGCCCGTTGTGCGTGAGCTTGTGCTGCTGTGTGTGTTATTCTTTCCATCCCAGAGTGTCCCAGTAGTCTAGCAGGCTGCCGGTGTCCTGGAAGATTTCTGGGATCGATCTATAGGGGCCGAGTTTTTCTTCGCGTAATTATTCCAGTGCACTGCATTCAGTTAGAATGTGTGCTGGTGTTTCCACCACCGTTTTTAGTTTGGGTCTATCTAAGCGTGTTAGTTTCATTGTTAATTTTTTGTTTAGTGTGGGGAAGGCTTCTTTCGATTGACGGCAATCTGTGTTAGCCTTCCATAATGTGTTAGCTGTGTTATCGGTGAAGTTTCGTAACCATGTTTTGTATTCACAATATGGAATTGGAGATAGAGGTGTAGGCCCCTGAACTTTCAGTCTAGAGGCCTGTTTGGCTAGGTTATCGGCAGTTGAGTTGCCTTTGTTATTTGTGTGACCCTTTACCCTGGAGACCTTTACTGTGTTAGTATGGGAAAGGTGTTCCAGCGTTTTGTGACATTCTAATATGTATTTAGATTTTGTTGTGTTTTTAGTTAGTGCTTGTAAAACCGTTTTGCTGTCGGTTTTTATGTGTATAATTGAATTTTTTATCGATTTATTTAGTAGTTCTTGTGCTCCAATTGTGATACCAACGCATTCTGCTTGTAGCACTGTGTTGTACATACCCATATGATGGTTGGTTTTGATATTGAGAGTAGGGCAGAATATACCTGCACCTACTCCTTCCTTGGATTTGGATCCGTCTGTGTAGATGGTGTGGATTGGTACCATTGTTGGGCTGTTGTCTACATTTCCGTCATCTGATGTGTTTAATGTATAATGTTTTTCTATGATGTGTGTTTTACTTATTCTGTCGTTTGGCCATTTGAGCTGTGGAAATTCTGCCTCATAGATGTCGAGGATCTTTGTGTGGTTGCCCAGATTGCGTTTCCATGAGTTGACTGATTTTAGTCTTAGAGCTGACAGGGCAGCTTCTTGTTTTATGAAAATGTGTAGAGGTGGTATGCCCAGAATTATTTCTAGGGCAGCCGATGGAGCGGTTTTCATGCAGCCTGTTACTGCTAACATGGCTGTTCTTTGGAACTTTTGAAATTCGTTTTGGATTGTGTGTAGTTCTGTTCTGGGCCACCAGACTACACTGGCGTAGGTGAGGGATGCTCGTGCCACCGTGGTGTAGAGCCAGAGCATTGTTTTTGGTGTAATACCCCATTGTTTCCCTACCATGCGCCTGCATTGGTTCAGTATCTTGTGGCTTGAGGTGATTTTGTTGTTTACGTGTGTGTTCCAACTGAGTTTGCTGTCAAGTGTTACACCTAAATACTTGACTTCATTTGATAATTTCAGTTTTTCGTTGAATAATGTTGGCATTTTTGTTAATTTGATCTTGCGTTTCGTTGTGAAAAGCAGTAGTTCCGTCTTTGCGGGATTAATTGATAAGTCGTTTTGTATGCACCAGTTTTCTGCTATACTAAGGGCGCTTTGCGTTAGTTCTCCTAGGGTGGCTTCAATTTTACCACTTATTAGGATGGTTATGTCGTCTGCATAGCCAATGACTTGTATGTCATTGTTGTTTAACTCATTGAGGAGGCTTTTTACCACAAGGTTCCAGAGTAGTGGTGAGAGGACACCCCCTTGTGGGCAGCCTCTGGATACTAGTCCTGTGAGGTTGTCGTCTGTTTCTGTGTGAATTATGCGTTTGCTCAGCATTTCGTTAATCCACGATATTAAGATCTCGGGGATCTTGTATTTGTTTAAAGCTGTGTTTATGCTTTTGAAGGTTGTCTTGTCAAAGGCTCCTTCAATATCTATTAAGGCTCCCAATATGTTTATTTTATTTGTTAAATTGTCTTCGATAGTACTTACTACCTGATGGAGCGCTGTTTCTGTGGACTTGCCCGCCGTGTATGCATGTTGGTTTTCGTTTAGAGGTATAGTTGTCAGAGTGGTTTCTCTAATGTGTCTTTCGCAGAGTCTTTCTAGGGTTTTCAGGAGAAAGGATGTTAGGCTTATGGGCCTGAAGGCTTTGGGTTGCGAGTAGTCTGCCTTGCCTGGTTTAGGTAGGAAGACTACCTTGACGTGTCTCCAGAAAATAGGTACGTATTTTTGCAGTAAGCAGTTTTTGTATATGTCTATTAACCAGGGTTTTATTAGGTCGTAGCCTAGTTGTAGTAGTGCGGGGAAAATGTTATCTGTTCCCGGTGATTTGAATGGTTTTGAGCAGTCAATAGCCCATTAGAGTTTGTCGTCAGTAATTATCATGTTTACTGTTTGTATCTCTTCATTTGTTGGTGTTCTGAATTTGTGTGGTTCTTGGTGTATGGTGTTATATTCCAGCTTGCAACCTGGGAAGTGCGTCTTCAGTAGGATTTCTGTTGTTTCTTTGAGCATGTGTATGTTCCATCAGGTTTTTTGACTGTACCTAGAGCACAGAACTTGTCTTTGGAGATTATTTTCCTTATCCTATTGGCTGCACTTTCTGATTCGATATTGGAACAGAAGTTGTGCCAGGATTTATTGTCTTTTTGTCGTAAGGTCTTTTTGTACTTGGATTGGGTGTCTTTGAAGTTTGCCCAATCTTCGTCTTTCCTTGTGTTTTTTGCTCTGTTAAATTGTTGTCTCAGTGTTTGTCTTTTTCTTTCGAGTTCTTTGTCTCACCATTCATTTCGCGGGGGTTGTTTGGTGTCCGATTTGGTCGGGCATGTAGTTTTGTAACTGGATATTATTGTGTTTGTAAGATTTGTTACGTTTGTCTCTATGTCTGCGGTGTTTTTTGTGGACACCAAGTCGACTTTGGATAGTGTTTTGCTTAGTGTCTTTCGATATTTTATTTTGTTTAGTCTCTTTATATTGGTGAGACTTGGTGTTTTCAGTGATGGTTTTGTTGCAAGTGCAATATTGAATTTTATGTGCCGATGATCCGATAGTGTGGGCTCGTCTGAGACCCTCCAATCGTCGATGTGATCAGCAGTCCTCAGATTTGTTATGGTTAAGTCTATAACCGTCTGAAATCTGCTGGTCAGAAACGTCGGTTCTGTGCCTTTGTTTATTATGGTTAAGTTAGTAGTGTTTAGGTAAGAAAGCAAGTTCTCACCTCTTTTGTTGTTGGATGTGTTACCCCATAGGGTGTGGTGAGCATTGGGGTCCACTCCAATGATTATGTCCAGTTTGTTGCTTTCACAGTAGTGTACTAGCTCTTCTGTTATTGTGTGTGGTATGTTTTCTTCAATGGGCAGGTATAGTGACACCAAGATCATGGGTGTCGGTTCAATGGAGTTCGGACTCACCGGTCCGTTTTGTATTCTGATAGCGGTTTGGTCTCTGTAACAGAATTGTGTTAGAATTGTTGCATTTATGGCTTTTGGGCAATAAATGGCTGTTCTCGGTTTATCGTTGGGTGTGTGATAGAATAGCTTACCGTCATTGAGTGTGAGACCGCAGACGCTATTGCGTCTAATCCACGGCTCCTGGATTAGTGCAATGGTCTCCCTCTCAACCTCCAGATGCCTACGTAGGAGAGCCGAGGCTTGATGACTGTGCTGGAGGTTGGCTTGTATGACGGCAGCATACCGTCTGTTATCGTCTGTCATTTGGATGGCATTAATCCGTCTCCACCAGTGCTTCCCAAGACACTGGTGAGGCGGACACCTGTGATAAAGGCGTCAACACCTCTTCCATGTCCTGGGGAGTGCTGGCAGGGTGTGTGTTTTGAGGGTTGATGACTTCATCCATGTGTGTGTTTGTCGTCAGGGTGGATCCATCTGGTTCGTCTGTCAGTTTGGGGATTTGTCTGTCGGTCGGGAGTAGGGATGCTTGGCGTCCGTCTGTTCCGTCTGTTTGTGTGGGTTTTGGTAGTGTGTCTGTCTGGGAGGGTTTGTCAGTCTGTAAGTCTGTCGGTGTGTTTGAAGCTACAGTGTGAGGTCTGTCGGTGTGTTTGTCCGTCTCCATGTCTGTGGGCTTATTGTCATCGACCGTTTTAGGTTCCTCCTCTGGTGGTACATCGCTGAGTCCTTCAGGCGTGAAGAACCGGATGTATATGGACCCGTGGGAGTATGCAACCCTCCAGCCCTCTGCGAGAAGTTTTTGTATTTCGTCTCTGGGTATTCCTAGATATAGGAGCATCCCAGGACGATCTCCTTTAGAGACATCATAGTGTATAAGCTGCCATGAGCTGACAGCGTATGTGTATCTGTTTTGGCTCATTAATATCTTGTGTAGGAAGTCTGCGTCCCCCTGGTAGTCGGGTACGTATAAGGCGGCTTTGACTTTGGGCCTTAGCTGACGTTGTTCGATGAGGGTGAGGCAAAAACCTACCCTCGGGGCCTTGAACGTCGGGACGATCCCTTTCAGCCAGGCCAGTGTCTCATCGTCCCTGCACTTCAGCTTCAGCACTCCTTCATGTAGGGTAGTGCGGCCGAGGAATATGGGGGCGAAGGGTATGTTTGATGGTATGCCTTTGTGGTTACCTGCTACAGTGAAGATAGCCTTCTGTAGCTGGTCTTTAATGTCTGTGGCTTCTTTGTCTGTTAGGTCTGTCCGGGGGTTGGTGGTGATAGCCACGTTCAGGTGAGTTAGGGTCGCCTGTGCGTAGCTAGCCTCACCATCCCTTCTTGTGTGGGTTGTACGGGGACGTTTCGATGACACCTTCGGTGAGATGGTGTCGTCTAGTCGGTCCCTCTTGTTGGATTTGTTTGTCTGGCCCCCCTCCGAGGTTTCCCCTTCGCTTGTGCCGCTGTTTAGGCGTGGCCGGCTAGACAGCAGCTAGCGTTGGGTTTGCTTGGTTGGGGCCTTTTGTATGTGTGTAGTTTTTGTTGTCTTGGAGGAGACCTGGGCGCTAGAGCTTTTTCCGCTTGAGCTCGACGGGCGGGCAGTTTCCAGGGCCGATTGGCCACTGGGACCACCCTTGTAACCCGGAGCTGCGCGTACTCCAGCATCTTTGCCCGTTTTCGGGCCCCCCACTGTTTTGTTGGTGTGAGAGAGGTTGGTTGTGCGCCCTCCCCCCGTTGGGCACCCACCCGTGCCGCTGCGATAGGAGCCCACGGGTCCCGTGCTGGTTTTCACCGACGCTCCTCATACAAACTTTCATCCCCATTCTCACCCCCTTAAGGGATGATTTTCGGGATGAAAACTATTTCACTTGCTCACTTTTCATATCATGAGATTTTAAAAAAGTCTTATTTTAGTAAATTTTTTCTAATAATTTTCTTCTATACAAAAATTGTCCTGACAATAACAAACCCAAAAAAAAAGAAAGGATTATCCATTTTGGTGCAGTCGATCGGAAGTTACGCGTGTACTTCCATTTCGGTGATTCATTTTTATTTATATAGAATTAGCAAAAATGTCTAGAAAAATCAAGCCTAACTGCCAAATTTAAGAATAAAGTTTGATTCTGATTCATGCCAATATCTATTTCGTCACAACCTTATCGCTATTGGCGTTAAAAATCATTTATTACACTTCCACCCTAGTATCTAGGAAGCTAGCTATCATTGCTACTTTTGAGTATGGTACTTTGCCGACGAGAACGTGATAGTTTGAAATAATATAATATAATATTTTGTAATAGTAGTCTGTATACATGTTCAAGTACACACCTATGTGCCTTTATTTAATAAGTTCATATAAATGTTTATATTTACAGGTTTTTTGGGAAATGTTTCTCAAAAAAATAGATGGTACCACAGATATGGATAGTTACGCTGCTCTATCAATCTTAGTTATGATTAGCAACGCGAAGCCTTCAGTAGCACTCGCGAACCTCGAAGTGATAAGAACACACGGACTCACCGGTGACTATAACTCCAGGAAACTGAGTGCCGAATTACTCTTAAGTCTCTCCAAAAAAGATCAAAGGTATCCAGCAGATCACAGCATCTTTACATCATTACAAGAAAGTTTAATGGAAACTTATTTAAAATTAAACAAATTTACATCTTTTGCTGCTCATTCCATAGATTTTATATATGGTGTATGTGATACACCAGAAATAATTTGCTCTAAGATATTAGCTGAAATGTATAAGCATATCGAAGAAAAAATGGTAAAAGACATAGAAAATGAAGAGGAAGCCAGCTATCCAGTGGAACTGTTAACTAGATTTATATTTGTAATAGGACACATAGCTTTGCAGCAATTAATTTATTTGGATATAAATGTTTACAGTGAACTAAGGAGACGAAACCAGGTATGAACTAATTTTATTTTTCCGAATAATACAGACCTGCCAATTAATTGTGCACAAAATCGTTTTTTATCTAAACTATAATAAAACATTAGAAGTCGAATGTCTGTACATAGCAAAAAAATGCTAAAAACCGAATCAAGGGGATGTAAGAATTAGAAGACAAATAGAACAAATTTTTTGTTTCTCTGTCTGTTTGTCTGTTTGTACGGGCTAATCTCCGAATCTATTGGACCGATTTAAATGAAATTTTGCATGGTGGTACCTTATATCCCCCTTATATCCCCGGGCAACATCTTAGATACTTTTTATCCTAGAAAATTAAATAGTTCCCGTGGGATAGTTAAAAACTATAGTATCTTATACAGCTTAGTACACAACAACTTATGCACCTAATTTAGTAAAATTTAACATTTTCATATCTTATATTGCCAGTCAAACAACAGGTTACTTTTCATCCCGGAAAAAGGAACGGTTCCCGTGGGAACTAATAGATCTCTATTAGTGTTTTTCTAGAATAGTAAATATGTTAATAATTAATATTAATAATTAGCGACTTTCTTACGTCGTTAGGTGTCTTTTTGCCAAATATTTTAGTGCTATAGAATATATATACCGATAAAGCAATACCATACTGCCTTATGGTGAAGGAAAATATCGTGAGAAAACCTGCCTGTCTGACAGAACCTAGCAAATTTTCGAAAGACATGTCATGTCCGCCAACCCGCATTTAGCCAGCGTGGTGGTCGGTGGACAATAGCCTGATCCCCCTCGTATTGAAGCGAGGCCCGTGCCCAGGAATGGGACGTTAAAAAGGGCTGAATACATACATACATATTCTCATACATTTAAATCTTGTTTTTAGTTCAATCCATTTTACATATTATATCTATTAATAAGATTTTTTTTTACAATAAAATCAAAACTAATCCTAGGTGCGAGAAGAGCGTAAAGCGGAGGAGAAACGCAAAAAGAAGATAGGTCAGTTCGCGACGCCGGCGCGCCGCGGCCGCGCGGACGAACTGCGCCGTCAGACGCTCATGAACGCGAGCAACGCCAGCGCCAGCTCGCGAGCGCAGCGCGCCGCCAGCGTGCTCTCCAACAAGGGCGCTTCGGTAAGTGCTGCACATGTTACGTATGATACAGACTTATATGATATGACTATAATATGTTGTTATGGCTCAGTTTAAGTTACGGAAGCAAGTATATCCTGTATATAAATTTTGGGTGTATATTCTGCAATAACATAACATGATGCCCTCTTGAGCAATTTCGGCCCAGGTAGTTTATGTCATTAAGACGGAACATGTGTGCAAATTATAGTATTCTCACCCGAACTACATGTACATACAAAATTTCGTTTCGATATAGCAATATTATAAGTAGGTTAAACTTGACTTCTAAGATTTGATTAAATTGTTAACTTAATGGAAATTATATGAATGAAGGTGTATCTACAGATAAATTAACTTGATGTGTCTGTTTGTAATGTCAAAATAACAGCATTAGTAAAAACTAAATGCATATGGAATTTCCGGCTAATCTCTGAATCGGCTGGGCTGATTTTGACGGGACTTTCGCTGGTAGATAGTTGATGTTATAAGGAGTCACTTAGGCTACTTTTATTTCAGTAAAAGAACTAGTGTTCCCGTCAAAAAATTAAAATGTACCTAGGGACGAACCCGAGCGAAGCGAGGGGTAGTCGCTAGTATAACAATAAACCCGGTCCCCAGACGAACACAACCCTGACGGAGGAGGAGGCTGGGCTGGAGGGCGCGGTGGCGGACGACGCGGACGCGGAGTACGTGCGCAGCGTGTGCGAGCGCGACATCGTGGGCGCCGCCGCCGCGCTGCGCCGCTACCTGCCGCTGCTGCGCGCGCTGCTCGCCGCGCCGCGCGCCGCCTCGCGCCTGCACGCCGCCGCCGCGCTCGCCTACACCAGGTACACACACACACATACGCATTCGCCCGCACGTTATTATCTATTGTAACGCAGTGTAAAGAAAATACAGTAGTCATCATAATTCGTAAGATTTAACTATGTACGTATTATAACACGTATTATAGTATAACATATTAAAATTTGGGCAGCTAATTAGAAGCGTATATATATTATATACGTAAGCGTACATATATTAGTGGTATGGATGATATGGGGTAAGGTCAAAAATTAACCTATGTCATTGTCATTATCCTTTGATGCAATTTTTATATATTTAAAAAAAAATACACATACGTTTAAGAAATATTAATATACTATCCAACAGATACATGTTAGTGTCGAGCTCTGTGTGTGAAGAGGGACTTCAGCTGATGATGACGGTACTGAAAAGATCTAAGAATGTGTCACTAAGAACAAACCTAACTATAGCTTTCGCCGACTTGACGCTGAGATTTCCTAATCTTACTCAACCATGGACTCATCATATATATCACATGTATGTTATATTATATTTCGAATTATTTAAAATTTTAAAATATATCATAAAAATTAATTTTCATTTTTATTAAAGTTAGTGATATCTTGCGTGCTTATAATACCTTACCTTTAATCTTATATCTAAAGTACGAGTACAATATAGCTTGATTTTAGCTCTTTATCTGGAACTAAAGGTAAATAATTATTAATGTTAATTAATAATTATTATATAAGTAATAATTGATTCAATAAATCAACAAAATAAATTAATAACTTCTAGCCTAAGCGACGAAGAGCTGGAAGTCCGTCAGTGCGCAGTCAAGATGCTGTCGTTCCTGGTGCTGCACGAGATGGTGCGTGTGAAGGGACAGATAGCGGACATGGCGCTGTGTTGCGCCGACCGCGACCCGCGCGTCGCCGCTATGACGCGTCTCTTCTTCAAACAGCTGTCGCAGAAAGGCAACGCCCTCTACAACGTTATGCCGGACATTATATCCAGATTAAGTGACCCGGAACTCAATGTGCCGGAAGACACTTATAGAGTTATTATGAAGTAAGGTTTTCTTATATTATAATTATATTGGTGATGGTTGGGGTTTTCAAATTATTTTAGAGTTTTTGGTTTCGTTGATTGAACATTGATAATAATAATTTATTGTAAAATTAATAATTTTACTGTGGTCGCTCAAAAATAGCCCTACTTAAATACTTCTGTAATTAATAAAAAAAAATCTTAATATCTTTACATAGTATAAAATGACGTCGCTTCCGCTGTCTGTTCGCTTAGATCTTTTAAGCTACTCAACGGATTTTAATCCAGTTTTTAGCAATAGATAGAGTGATTTAAGAGGAAGGTTTATATGTATAATACATGCATATTATAGTACAGAAAAGCCGAGAAATTCAAAGATTGTATTTCATACAAACTGTTAAAACATACCTAGGGACGAACCCAAGCGAAGCGAGGGTGAGTCGCTGATATGGAATAATCTGTCTTAACTGCTTCTTGAGTTACTTTTACTTGTATTTTAGGTACATAACATCGTTGATACAGAAAGATAGACAAATGGAAGCGTTAGTAGAAAAGTTATGTCAACGTTTCAAGCTATCTACGGAGGAAAGACAGTGGCGGGATTTAGCGTACTGTCTCTCCCTATTCACGTACAACGAACGTTCATTACGCAAGCTCATAGAAAACCTCGATTGCTACAAAGATAAATTACACTGCCCCGGTGTGATGGAGTCCTTCAGTGTACTTATGAATAATACAGCAAAAATGGCGAAGAATGAAATAAAAGTAAGATTATTATAGAGTAAAATTTTTTAATAAAAATTGTGATTATTTAATGTTATTATAACGAATTCATTTATATATAATTTATCAAAAAATTTCAAACTTAGGCATATTATGCAGAACTATTTTTTCTTTTTAAATTTACATGAATAATATAGGACATTTATATAATAAGATCTAGCAGAACCCGCGGCTATGTTCGCGTTAAAACTTCAAAATAAACTTAAAAGGGTATATTTCATAAAAATGTTCATCCCCTGTTTTACCCCCTTATTGGCATAATTTTGAAAAATGCTAAAACACGTATTTATTTAATTAGGTATACTGAAGAGCATTAATACCCAGTTTCAAATAATTCTGTTCATAAATAATGTTTTGGGTTGTATTATAACGTATTTTCCCGTGGGAATGACATAATCTAACGCGGTAAAAAGTAGTCTATGTCATTTTCCAACCCTCCCAACTATTTCGAAAAATCTCCAAAATCACACCAATCTTGTCACTCTGTTTCGACTTGAAAGAAGGACAAACAAGCAAATAAACACACTTTCACATTTATAACATTAGTATGAATTATCTATTATCTATTTACCTAGCAAGTTTTCTAAAGACATGTGAAGTCTGCCAACCCGCACTTGGCCAGCGTGGTGGACTATGGCCTGATCTCCTTCATATTGAAGGGAGGCCCGTGCTCAGCAGTGGGACGTTAAGAAGGGCTGAATACATACATACATGGATTATCTTGATAACCATATAATATGTTCACCTATTAATTTGTACTAAAGGTTACTTTTTGACAATAAATACTATAGCAATGATTATAATTCTAACAGGCAATGGTAACAGAACTGGGTGATAAAATCGAGGAATGTTTCGCGGTGCGCGACAAGGAGGGTGAGGAGGGGGAGGAGGCCGAGCCCGAGGCCGAGCTGCCGCGCGCCACGCCGCGTCGCCGCGCCGCGCCGCGCCGCGCGCGCCCGCGCTCCTCCTCCAGTGCTGATGAGGTAACTGGAATTATATCGCAGTTGGCTCATCTTTATATATAGAACTAATAATAATGTCCTCCTGACCGATTCTGGCCACGGCGGCTAATCTCATTGAGACTAGCCAACTACGCAGGAGATATTATAATGCACTAGTGTACGCGCAGACACAAGTGCACTCTCTATTTCTATCACTCTGATACTGATTTGCAGGACCGACGGTTTTACGTGTTCTTCGAGTCACGGAGGTGAAGCACCGCCAACTTCCCAACTCCGGGCTGTTACTGAGGCTTACTATACAGAAAGACTCAATAACTAAACTTGGCCCGACCCGGGACTCGAACCCAGGACCTCTGGGTGTTCAGCCGTACATGCTACTAAGAATATGCGTATAGAACTAACAATATGCTTCAAAAGTAAAAAAAAGCTTAATTTTCACGTATTAATATATCGAAGATAGCGACTCATCCTGGCTTCGCTAGGATTCGTCCCTAGGTTGATTTGCCGTAAAAACTTTCATCCCCATTTTCACCCCCTTAACGGACGATTTCCGGAATAAAAACTATCCTATGTCCTTCCTAGGGCCTCAAACTATCTTCTTACTAAATTTTATCTAAATCGGTCAAGTCATTTTTGAGTTTTACGTTACAAACATACAAAAACAAATCTTTCCTTTTTATAATAGTAGTGCAGATAGAAGAATACACATACAACTTTACGCTACGCAGAGAGAACAAAGTGCCAAGTTCTACAATCTCTACATAATATCTCTTACGCTTCTTCTTCAATTAATAAGTATATCACTGCCCTCTTTGTCTTTTTGTCATGTCTGTCTGTCTTTACTCTTAATAAGAACACCAAATATTCTGCAGTTATTAAATTGTCAGAATATTTTAATTAAACATCTAAACTTTCTATATAAAAATATTTTAACTTGAAATATATAGAATATTTATATTTCAGAATGAACCACCTAACACAGAGTGGACCCCGCAATCTGTAAGAAAATCGAGAAGAAAAGTTGTACAAAGAAACAAAACAAATGATTCAGAAGAATCAGGTAAATAAAAAATCAGTATACATTTTATATTAAAATAATGTGTTTAATATATAATAATCAAAAACATACATACATGAACGAATTAACCACTGGACTAGACATATAAGCGGACGTACCTTTATCGGTCTTCTCAGTAACCAGGAGATTTTAGGCTTGGTCGTTTGTTTTTTGCGTCAGTCTCAAGCACTTATTTGTCAACAAAATATCTCCCAAAAATGACTAAATGTTCTGTTAAATGATGTAAAAACTATAACGGCGGAAGCAGCAGTATTTCTTTTCACTTGTAAATACATTATTTTATTACATTTATTGTTATTTATCACACAATTTAATTAAATGTAAAATAAAATGTCATATTATCCAACTATGTTAAATATAGTCGATATTTCTATGTATTGTTGACATCTAACAACCATCATAAAATCCCTGGATTATATCATTTAGAACAAATGACTAAACTGTCGAGTGAGTCCATTTGACATCGACTAGTGCTTGACAATGTCGAAAAATATATCGATATTTGACGAAATTACTAAACGAATTGTGTTATTTGTACAGTACAATAACATAAAATACTTTTACCACAGTATCCTACAATCTGATGACAATAAATTTATAAAAATATTTTCTAAATCAAATAAAAATATAAATGCAAAAATTATAATTATAATGTATACTTAATTTTTTATTTTATTTTATTCCACATTTATATACTTTGGAATATTATTCCATTGTAATAATAATAAAGATCATTTTATATCAACACATAAATTACACAAAATCAAACAATAATGTTTTAGCACTAAACTTCTGGGTTGGCGATTTGTAATAAAACACTTTACCACCTGCACTAATTATTTTACTTTCACGGTCCAACACTCACTTTAATTTGCAATCTCTTTTTCTTTTTCCTAATTTCACAAATGTTTATGAGCAATAGTAGGACAGTGTCACATTTTTATAACTACCCGAGACAATCAATTGCCAATTAAAATAGTTCAATAACAGAATCAACAAAATCACTTTATTTAATTAAATTAGCTTAATATTTTTTTTAATCTTTACAAAATAATATTTATTATATATTAATGGAATATATACCCGATATTCATTTGTTCATTAACATTATTATAGGCCAACAGAATGCTGCCAATGCCGTCGTATTTATATAAATCAAATTAAAAAATAATTATTATTCGACACATTATTATTGCCTCTTTAATTCATTTATTTTAATTTATTATAATAAATACAGATATTTTAAATTAAAAGATGTAAAATATGATGACTATGCTAACCAATGTCTAAAATGTCATTCATTGGTTCATCGATATATGTATTTTATCGATTACGTTCAAGCACTAGAAATATTGTATTGTGTATCAGTGTTTATAATAATGTAATAAAATCTTTGTGTGCGTTATGCGTCACTTGGTTGAACTAGTTTTCATACATTTGTATTTTATGTCAGGTCCAGTCTCTAATTCGTTCATGCATACATATATTTACACTCATCATTTTTACGACATTTCTTCGTAAATGTATTATGTTTAGTTTAATTTTCAATAAATGTTATTTTATTTTCAATATTTTTTAATACTATATATTGCTAAATATCCATTCATATAAAGAATGGGATTAATCAAACACATAACTCTCCTTTGGGCTTCGCCGCAGTCGGGTAAAAATAATGATTTATTAAGCCTGTGACGTTTAAAGCTCATACTATTTCGATAACTATAAATAAACGCTATACTGTGTATATATGTATATATTATTTATAACGTATATTTATTTACATACATGACATTTATTCAAGTTTTAAGTGATTCAGTATTTAATAATATAAACAAATATTCTTAAAGTTGAAGTAATAATTCAATTATTCTAAAAAGCCACAAAATAAATAAAGTAATAAGTGCTGCTATTTGTTGCGGTCTTCGCATTTTATAATTTGTGTGATTTTGGATGAAATGTGAGAGTAACATTTTTACGATGCGCGCGCACACCTTAACTACAACGCTATAGTTGCGTTATACGATGACGTTAGCAGAAAGTGACATGATGAAGTTAGCTGCATTCCTTTTACAAACAGAGAGTTGTGACATACGGGATGAAATCTTTAGGTATTTTTATTCTGTTACGCCAAAGAAGTATAACTTCTTACGTGCGTACATAAGTACACACACACGTTTTTTTAATCTTTACTAATATATTTCAAATCTTGTTTTTGCAGAGGATGAAGATTTTCAAAAAAAGGAAGAGGTATTCAAAAAACCTTCAACGAGAAAAGCAACTCGTAAAAGGCTGTAATTATGTATAAGTTAACATTGTATTAAGTATATTAAATTAAATTTTAAAAATTCGTACATCTTTTTTTAATAATTGTTTTCACCGCTTCATGCATGTTAACGAAACACTATCATAAATACAAGTAATACTTTATAGTTTCTACGAATTATTCCGTTCAGCTACCCTTTAGTAGGATTTACATTTTTCAATACCGTTACTTACATGTTCTAGGTGAAAAAATAATAATTTTATATGTTCTAATATTCATATTTATTAAAAATATTTCTTAGAAACTAATTTGTAATGTTTGATGTCGTTGTACTATGAATAAAAAAATTATAAGATAAATGATTGTTCTGAATATGTTGATAATTGAGCTCCAGGCGTGTAACTGAGGGGTGAAAAACAATGTAAGTCTATATAAGCGGGTAAAAAGGCGAAGTATATTGTGCCCGACTGGCACTCCTAGAAGCCACGAAACTGAAGAATTGAATTGACCATGCTTCTTGAATCATTAATATTCTGTAGCCATTTACTAGTATAGTATTATATGATCTGGGACCCATCTAAGTTTCGAAATAGGGGGTGGAAAAGTCTAAAAAAATGAGATAACAGAGCTTAAGCCAAAAGAGAACGAAATATATACTGAAGAATATACGTTGAGTGATTTTAGAGATATAGGACGTTTTCTGCTTCAAGCCGCAAAACTAGTTTCTATAACACAAACAATACACATAAAACAATGCCGTCAACAAAAATCACAACCAGGTAAATATTTTATTTTATTAAACATTGTAAATGGGTAAATATTTGATCTTTTAACGTAACAAATTAGTATATTAAAAGAAAACGAATTTAATATTTCATGGTACGGAACCCTCGGTGTGCGAGTCAGACTCGTACTTGTCCGATTTTCATATAATGTCTGTGATGCTTCTCGTTATGAGATGGGGAAGAATTTTGCCTTTTTCTTCCGCCAGATGTCGCGATCACTATAGCCCACAAAAGCTCTTTAATTGTGGATGTTTTTTTTTATTTTATTTAAAATTTAATTAAAATGATAAATTGTGTAGTGCCAGGATGCATTTGTTTCCAAAAAAACAAAAACTAAAGAAATTGTGGACAATAAGACGAACAAAATTGGCGAAATCACAATCTTTATATTTATGGCTATGTGGACATCATCTTAAAGAAAGTGATTTTAAAACTCTTAGATCGTCTACGAGTGGATATTATTATTATCATTTGTACATTTTTACGTATTAGTTACAGAATTTAATACAAACTTTCATTCCCCATTTTACCTTCTTAATTCTTACGGGATTGAATTTCGAAAAATGCTATAACACATATTTATTTAATTGTATTGAAGAATATTGATACCAATAATTCTTTGCCCATATAAACTTTATTATAACCCTTTTATCCCCCTAAGGGCTAAATGAATATATATATATATATATATATATATATATATATATATATATATATATATATATATATATATCGTATTTTTTATCTTAAAGCTAAACACAGAGTTTCATACAATGTTTTATCCCCTATTTTACCCACTTAGGGAATGGATTTCGAAAATTTCTTTCTTATTGGATGCCTACAGGCTACATCATATAGGGTAAACGTCTTCCAAATTTCACGTTTCTATGACCAGTGATTTAGGCTGTGTGTTGATCCATCAATAAGTGAGGACCACCACAGGATGCACCTCTCCTTCTCAATTCTTCCTAACTTCTAGGTACAATACTTTGCACAGGTAAGATGCGAATAGAATAGAAGCAAAAAACTAGGTATAAAAAGGACATCAATAATAGATTACTTAACCTCAGACCGAATGTTAATAGGCGATACGTGTCGCGCCCTCCTTTGGAGAAATCTTCCCCATTACATTTATCTCTACTTTATCTGGGACTACAAGTCATTTGACATTAAGTTTTTTTATTTGTCATCCATGTTAAGTTTTATTTGTCATCCATGATTTAAGTGTTGACAAGTGACAACTAACAATGTGAATTCTATGACTATCAGTATCAAAATAAATATAAAACTAAAAAGTAGAAATAAACAAAACTTTTTAGCATAAATGCATAAATCATTTTTTCATTTTAATTGCTTTAAAATTATACTAGTGTGCTTATATATATTAATGATTAAAAACACCTTAGCAGCTATGTCTATTCATTTTAAATGTCGATCTTCAATATATCCTCGTTCTACTATTGAAAGATTTCACGTACCTGATGACAAAGTACCTTGGTCTATAGAATATAAAGAATATAAACCACCTTCATATACCGCCTCATATATGCAGGGTCAACCGTGGGCTGATCTTGAAATTGGTACTATAAAAAAATTTAAAATGTTCAATTTTGTTTTATAACAAATGTTTTTTTTAAATTAATATTTATAGGTAGCCAAATTTTTAAACCAAATTGGAATACTCTTGATGGTAAAATTAATAGAAAAAGTTATACTGGTTTATATGAAATAGTTGATGAATATCCTCTGAATCCAATTGGTCGTACTGGTTTAAGAGGACGAGGAGTGCTTGGTCGATGGGGACCTAATCATGCAGCTGATCCTGTTGTTACTAGATGGAAAAAAAATTATAATGAGTACTATAAATTTTGTAAATGAGTTTGATTGTAAACTGTGACATTTTAGTTCATTTATACTCAATTCTTTTAGATCAATACTTCAATTTATAGCAATTAAACGAAGAGATACTGGAGAGTGGGCTCTTCCTGGGGGTATGGTTGATCCTGGTGAGAAAGTAGCAGCCACAGCTATACGAGAATTTCAAGAAGAAGCTTTAAATTCTCTTGAACTTTCAGCAGGTCCATTTTTGTATTTTTTTTTTAAATTATACTTTGATGTTAAAACTTTCCAGGTTCGCAATCCATAGACAAATTTCAAGTACTTAAATAATTAAGGCTATTTTCTAGTTGAAACATTACAATAAAATAAATAGATTAATAGTACTCAGTTTGATAATATTAAATATTTTCATGTTTCATATTTATAAATCCTGCATGTTTTATTGTGGTGTAATATATTCTAGATACAAAAGAAGAGTTGACTGAAAAATTTAAGAATTTTTTTAATGGTGGCAATGAGATATATAGTGGATATGTAGACGATCCAAGGAATACTGATAATGCCTGGATGGAGACAACAGCATACAATTTTCATGATGATACTGGAGACATTGTAGGTACATTAAAATTACAAGCTGGTGATGATGCTGTAGGTGTTCGGTGGGTGGATGTTACACCTGATTTAAATCTATATGCAAGTCATAAAGACATTGTTAATGCTGTTCTTAAAAAACATACAGAAAATAAATTATAATATTAAGGTAAAATAAAATAATTTTATATAAAACTTTAATTTTATTTTTATAACCAATATTTTAGACTATTGTGTAATAATCTTACAATATGAACTAAATATACAGAACTTATTATTAAAAAGCTACAATATATTATCAAGTAAGAGAAAATAACTGTGTGTAATAATACACATAGTTCTTATAAAAATTACACCATTGAATTTTTTGAGGGACAATTTGCATGCTAGATCTAGTCAATTCTACATTTGCAAAGCAGTGACTTATTATTACCTTGGACATTAAAATATACTTGGTCCCATACATCTTTTGTATATTTCTTATACCTCATGTCACCTCATAATAAATTGATTACTATTTGCCAAATGCTTACTAAATTAAGTACTTAATGCAACAAATTTGAAAACAGTATCAAAATGATTGACAAATTAAAGTGTACATTAAAAATAAAATATTCGTCTATTTGACTAGTAAAATAAACATAGTATAATATACTATTCCCTTACATAATTAATTCGTTTTTCCTTCAAAGATTCTGAGCTGGAACATTGACCTTAAAGTAGGCCAAAACAATCATTCTTTAAATAATATTCGACCCAACATAAAAAAATGCACCTTAACTTTTTGTAAAAATACAAAATGCTTTTACTACATTTAAGGAATAAAAAAATGTTATTGTTTTTATTAGGATAGTGATAATGTCCATAATAGAAATATATCTATTAGGTTAATAACAATCTTAATACCTACATGGCCTGTATCACAGCACTGAAAAGTTCACAGAAATAGCTTCACTAGGGCCCCATTTCATTGCTTGTGAGAGACTGATATGCACGGTAACAGTTGACATCATTCATCAGCCGTAGGATATTTTGCGTAAATGTTGGTAAATCCTGAAATTGATTAAGAATTATCTATACATGTAATAAAATTCTAAATAAGCCAAATCTGTACATTAAATATTTTTTGGAAAATCTTATTGAAATAGACATTATTATGGATACAGAGACCAAATCTATAGTTTTTAGAATTTTTGTCTGTCTGTCTGTTACCATATCACAGAAAAACCACTGGAGGAATTTTGATGAAATTTGGTATGATGATAGCTGGTTATCTGGGTCAACATATAGAATGCTTTTTACCGCGGGAAAATATTTCATTTCTGAGTAAAAATACAAAAACTAATGTTTTTGGTCATCTGAACACGGGCAGAGCTGCGGGCAATGTTAGTAAAATTATAAAAATTATGAGCAGTGTTTGCAATCGTTTAACATTGTGTGTAACAATTCTAACATTTTTTACTGCCAATCACAGTTATTGTTTTTTAAATAACGAAACATTTATGCAGCTTGCACACACATACTGTTTGAAAAAAATGCCATCTATTCGGTCTGCAACTACCGTATTGCTAACTTATATAATTGAAGCGGGCCTTGGCCAACATACATAAGAAGCCTTAACAAGTTAATATACGCTACCATAAACACCCAAGCAAACCAAAATCCACAACACATACCGTATCTGGCGGGAAGTCGGCCAGTAGCTGTACATGGTGTGGGTCGAGGGCTAGCGAGGCGAGGTAGTGCGGCAGGAAGGCGTGGCGGAATGCGGGGAAGTCGACCGAGGCCATGGCGTGTAGCGCCGCCAGCGCCTCGTCGCGCAGCAGCGCGCGCGCGCCGCCCTCCGCCAGCCCCGACAGCAGCACCGACAGGAACTCACCCATAAACTCGCTGCGGAATATCGCCTGTGGGTACCGTCCACTACTTATTAGTTTTTGGAGTATGGAATAAACAGCGCTTATTTGGGCTACTTTTGCTTGAATAGATAATAGATGTCGTTAATTTGCTAACTAACTAACGAATAGTAAATATTGTAAAATACTTTTTACATTCGAATAAAAAAATCAGTGATTTTAATCATTTAATTCATAAAAAATAAAAGCGCCATCTGTGAATATACACTAGAAATCCATCATTTGATGGTGATATTTCAATATCAGTAAAATTTGATTTACGGGCGCATTATTTCTTTTCCCTTTTAAAATTTTTACATTTACTTTATTTTTTAAAACAATGATATGCCTTTTTAAAATCTATTTTTTTTATTTTTTGTTAATTTGACACAACTTTAATAACAAATCAATACATGTAACGTCATCTATTGACATTTTTTGAATAAATTTTCTCTGTCACGAGACCCCATGACATGTATATTGTCATTTGTCAGTGTAGTAGGTGATAAAAAAAATACCTTATGGTAGAGCTTCCACTTGGTGTTGAGCGTGTCGATGGTGGCGAGCGTGGTGCGCAGCAAATCGATGTCGTGCGCGAGCAGCGCGCCGCCCAGCGCCGCCAGCGCGCCGCGCAGCTCGCCCTCGCGCAGCGCGCCCTCGCCGCCCGCACCGCCCTCGCACGCGCCCGGGAAGAAGTAGCGCCAGCGGTGGATCAACACGCTACACGCAAATTAAATTAAATTTAAACTTTATTACTTAATCCTGGAGGCCTTATCACATAAATAAAGATATGTAGTTTATATTGTTCAAATATAGTGTAGAAAGTAAAATTTAGGTGCGTTGTACGATAAAATTCACAAAATTTGCTAAATGATGGTTATTGTTGACTGTTGTATGGCTGTCTTCTCTTAAGAAAGTCTCAGTAACAGCCCAGAGTTAAGAAGTAAGCGATATTTCACTTTCTTGCGGTGCTTCGAAGAACACGTAAAGCCTGAGTTTTCATAGACAGATTCCCATTTATGGGAAAAAGAAAAAAAAGAAAAAACAGTCTTCAAGCAGATTATTATAAATATAAACCATAATTAAACTAGATGGCACTACCTGGCGAGCAGGTCGTGCGCGGCGCGCGCGAGCGCGGGCGCGTGCGCGGCGCGCGGCAGCACGTGCGCGTGCAGCAGCTGCAACACGGCGCGCACGCGCACGCCGCCGCCGCCCGCCTCCACGCCCAGCCGCACGCACGCCACCAGCCGCTCCAGGCTGCCCGACGCGTCGCCCGTGTCCCTGTTCACACCATATCAAATTCCAACATTTTTGATGTTATTTCAAAATTTCGTTAAATAGCACAGTCAGACTAATATTATATATACACTAGCGACTCACCTTCACTCGGAGGTTTGTCCCTGGTTACGTTTTAACGTTTAACTTAGAGATGAGATATTTTCTCGCAGTAAAAAGTATTCTATATGTTGATCCGGATAACCAACTATAATCATACAAAACATCAAAATCTGTCCAATGGTTTTTTCGTGATGCGGTCACAGATAGACAGAACAACAAAAATTCAAAAACTATAGATTCGGCCTCTGTATCGATAATAATGTCTATTTCAATAAGATTTTCCAAAAAGTATTTAATGTACTGATTCAGCTAAGAATTTTATTATATGTATAGATAATGCGTATGAGATTGTATGTGTGTGTGTATGTATGTTTGCTAGTCAAATAAACTATAACATAGGCTGTAGACCCCAGAGTAACATATAGGATTATAGGCACTGTAAGGTACATTTGGACGCACCTGAGCGAAGCGAAACTATGTTGCTAGTATATTCTCGTACATAAAATTAGTTACGTTTTATTCATAGGATAGAATTATTATTGTACCTTTAAATTATACATATAAATTGTATAAAGTCCAATAATATTTATTTTAGACAAACACCCTTATCCAGTAGTTATAACGAGTATAATAAAAAGGAAAAAATAGCATGCAGCAAAAAAAAATAGATAGGAAAAGAAGAATGAAAATAACAATGTACTCACCTCTGCGCCACCTCGAGGAAGACGTCTATGGCGGTGTAGGCGAAGGTGCCGAGCTGCGACAACAGCGCCGTGAACAGCGCGAGGAAGAAGTCCGTGATGTGCGCCTCCGCGCCGGCGCACGCGGGCTCGCACAGCATGCGCAGCGCGCTCTCCGCCGCCGACGACACGCCCTCCGCTATTATCTGTGTGCGTCATGTACATGGGGAAGGGCACCTTGTCATTTTATTTAAAATACATGTTTTTTTTATCTTTACACGTATTGTTTACTGAGTAAGCAAAGAGAGATATACAGCGCCACATTAGTACCACTATAGTTTTACATTAAAAATAAAAATGCCTAATTGACTGTTAATTGTACGTCCGCTTAATAAATACATTTTTTTTTCAAATGACTACACAAATTTAAAAGGACCTTAATGCAACAAATATTTCCAGTACGTTTCAAATAGATGACTCTTAAAACTCTTTACAAATTAACCCAAGGTAAAAAAGAAAATAATATTAACACAACATTTTAAAATGTTATAATTAAAAATAGTACAATGTATAAAATATAAGAATGTAACCTTCTTAGCTGCAGTGGGTGCGGCAGCGAAGGCGTGCAGTAGCGCAGTGAGCGGCGGCAGCGCGACCGCTGGCCCCGCGCTGGGCAGCGCCGCCGCCCACGCCGCCAAGAGCGCGCGCGCCGCCTCGTGCCCGCCGCCCGCCGCGCCCCCCGCCCCCGCCGGGCTGCGAGACAACGCCAATGATATGAGCGCTTCGCGGACCACGCCTGCTGTCTGTGAATGTATAATTTAAATGGTTTTAAACTAGGGACGCACCGATACGCACTTCTGCCGATACGATACCGATGCGGACACTGCAGGCTTAAAAAGGTATAAAAAGTAAAAAATTGTAGCTTTAGAATAGAAAACACAGCAACAAACACCATTACTTACATAAGTAATATTTATTTAGAATTCAACAAAATAAATATTAATTAGTTATTTTTTGAAAATAGTAATTAAGGGTAAGATTAGAAAGTAATATTTAAAATCTACATTTACGAGATTTTCATTCAGAAAACACAACCGACCTAAACTTAAATTATTGAAATTGTATCAGTGTATCGGCAAACTAATATTGCCGATATCGATATATCGAAAAACCGACGATATCACCGATATATCGGTATCGGATTCATCCCTATTTTAAACATACCAGTTGAGCACTATTATTCTCTTCGCCAATTATTGTAATTTATTAGCGCTGCACATCACTTATCTTAACTCAAACCGGAACTCGAACACGTATCTGTATTGTTAAATGTATACACTACCTTAGGCTCTAAGTACTGCAAGGAGCGTTGCGCGTGGTTGTACAGTTCCCCGAGCATCACCATGGGGTCGTTCGCAAACTTCACGTTCTTGGACAAACTCAACAACAGATGCGCTGCCGCGTGACACAGCAGCGGCGGTTCCTAACAACAGAATTACACAAGTTTAATTAATTTGTTAAAATTTGAATTTCATTAATTAATTGTATAATAATGGGGTATATAAATACGTAACAATATCGGAGATTAATTATTTTTTAAATCATTAGTTTTAGAGTTTCTGTCTCGCTGATTAATCACTAGACGACAACGTATAACGTTTTCGCTTTTTCCTAGGTGTCTAACAGTAGCCTATGCGTTACTCCAAGTAATATTTTATCTGTATACTCATATAAACCCCTCCAGCGGTTTCAGCGGGTAGGAGTAGAGACAAACACACACACATGAGATACTATATAAGGCAGTGTACCGGGGCGTCGTGCGGCACGAGGAAGGGCAGCGCGGAGGCGAGCAGCCCCTCCATGGTGTGCAGCGCCACGCCGCACTCGCCCGCGTAGCAGCACCACGCGCCCATGCACGCGAACATCTCCGCGTGGCTGCCGCCGTAGCCACACACACACATGATACACACATGATTATGTATTTATTTATTTTAAATAAAACTATCTTTTCGGATTTTTCGCGAATTTATTTTCATTTTTGGTTCCGCAAAACCAGGGAACCAAAAATGAAAATAAATTCACGAAAAAATCCGAAAAGATAGTTTTATTTAAAATGATAAATCTAAGAAAATATTATTTATTTATTTTTAAAAATCAAGTCGGTTTCAATCTACTTTCGAACTGTCGTGTCAAATTGAATCTTTATAAGTATGTGATGAATCAATGAACTATATAAAATTAAGCTGACTTGTTGATGGAGCCAGGAGGTGGATAGTTAAACTTTTTGGCTAACTTTAAGTTTGTTTTTTTTTATTTATTTTTTATTGTACCGAGATTCAAATTACAATAATTCACTTTTTTACAATTGTACAATTGTTTGCCGGACGGGAAGAGAATGTGGAAGATGGGAAAGAGGTGATCCTGCGACGTCCCATTGATATAGGGATGATTCCATTGGATTTAATAGGGTATTACTAGCTTCTTTAGACGCTGTGTATTTACATACACAACTACCCATTGACACTTTTACTGTATTGGTAAGCGTAGGTACATTTCGCAAAGTTAAAAACCGCTCAAGTGCTAGTCGGACTCGCGCACGAAGGGTTTCGTACCATTATACGAAAAAAACATGTCTGTTGTATGGGAGCCCCCCTTAAATATTTGTTTTATTTTAATTTAAATATTTTTAAAGTGATACATAACTAAATATTCTGTGAATATTTCAAGTGTCTACCTGTTGCCGTTAACAATGTCGAGCAAAAACGAGCAAAAAAAATCACGTTTGTTGTATGGGAGCCCCCTTAAATATTTATTTTATTCTGTTTTTTAGTATTTGTTGTTATAACGGATACGGAGATACATTATGTGTGAAAATTTCTACTAACTATCACTGTTTATGAGATACAGCCTGGTGACAGACAGACAGCTGAGTTTTAGTAATAGAACCCTAAAAAGAAGAATCCAAAGCGGAGTGCAACTCACAGCATGATGTGTGCGCGCGCGAGCGCGAGCGAGGCGTGCGTGCGGTGCGGGCGCGTGAGCGCGGCGCCGGCAAGCGCGCCCGCGCAGCGCTCCACCAGCGCCGCGCCCGCCGCGTGCGCGCGCGCCACCGCCCCCGCGCCTCCCGCGCCCTCGCCCTCTGCCGCGTACAAAATGTACACATAAGAAAATTATCTACACTAATATTATAAAAATGTATAAGTTTTTGACGTAGGGGGTAATCTCTGGATCTACTGAACCGATTTAGATGAAATTTGGTAAGTAGATAGTTTGAAACCCTGGGAAGGATAGGATACTTTTTATCATTCTATCATGAAACAACAACAACAACTTCGTATCAAAAAATCAAGATAGGGACGAACCCGAGCGAGCGAAGCGAGGATGAGTCGCTAGTAAGTTATAACGCAAAGAATCATGACTTACAAATATAGATTAAATTAAGTGGCAAAGATAGATTAAATTATTATTTTATTATTAGAAATGGGCTCACTCTTGACCTTCATCTTAGCTCGAAGGCACAGATAAGGTCTACGATCTAGCGAGTTTGCCCAGGAGAAGCCTGTTAACACGCACCTTAAATAGATTCAGATTATACGCACTCGGAAAAATAGACGCAGGCAGGGCATTTCGATTCTTGGCTGTGCGCATTATAAAAGATGACGAATAGCGCTTAGTGCGAGTGGTCGGAATGTCAACCAAGAAAGGATGGTATCCTGCAGTACGTCTGGTGTTCCGATAGAAGAATGGCGATGGCGGTATGAGACTGTGGAGCTCGTGGGCACACTCCCCGAAGTACAGTCTGTAGAAAACCCACAGACAAGCAACTTGGCGACGGTGTGCTAACGGTAAGCTGTGAAGCTTAGTTTTCACAAGCTTTTCGTCGCCGATTAGCTTTTTAGCTCTGCGTTCCACCGAGTCAAGAGCGGCAAGTTGGTATTTTGCAGAGCCATCCCAAAGGTAACTGCAATACTCCATGCATGATCGGACTTGAGCTTTATATAATGTGAGAAGCTGTCCAGGCGTGAAGTATCGCTTAACCTTGTTAAGGATCCCCAGTTTCTTGGCCGCAGTCTGTGCCTTCGACTCGATGTTAAGCGTTAGTGAACTGTTTGTTGCCATGGTAACCGTTGTTATTGTCTGACAAATGACATATAATATTATATTCTTTCCTTCTTTTCTTTCCATTGCGGCCTATTTTACATAGGTGAGAGGTATATTATCATGCACAGAAAAAAAATAGCTTTAATTTGAAATATAAATGATAAATATACGCCATGAACGTATAAATGTAACAAAAACATTTTTAATGACTCGCAACCACTTTTGCGGCCACTTTTACATAGGCAGACGTAGCTTATCAGGTACAGAAAAAAATTAGCTTTAATTTGATATATAAATGATGAACATACGCGATGAACGTATAAACGTCCCAAAATATGACCCGCTTACACCTGGCTGCGAAGAGGTTGCGGCCAAATGCGCAACGGCAGCTATCATTTTTCAAGATCTACACGTATAATTCTATGGAGTTATAATTCATTGTAATAACAAATGCATCGTTTTTGTTCCAAAAAGTCGACTATTATTTAGTTACTTGAACATACTAGCGGGCACATTTGAATAGGCACCCCGGTCAAAACTTATTATCCCTTTTATTATTGTATATAAAAATTTGATTTCGATTAAATACGCTGTGAACGTAGCAATCTTGCAGCGGGATCTTAGTCTATAATAAATACTAAATACAGAAATTCTCTCTTTATAAAGCATGAAATTAGTAAATAATTATTATTACTAGCTCAAAACATGGGGTCTCGTCACGTACCCAAGAAAAGGCAAACAAAATTCCATTCCAATGTAAAAAAATAATGGATGAATTTTCTTGTCACAATCACACATGGCGCTTTTACTCTATATGATTTGTTTATTACGATAAAAAGCTAAAAACATGCAGGGTGAATTTAGCAATAGTTAACACAGTTTATTTTCACATATTTATAAAATACTACTACTACTACTACTAGTTTTTCTCTACTTACGTTTTAACGTTTAGTATCGATTTATTAGAGATGAGATATTTTCCCGCAATAAAAAGTATCCAATATGTTGACCCGGATAACCAGCTACCATCACACCAAATTTTATCAAAATCCCTCCAGTGGTTTTTCCGTGATGCGGTAACAGACAGACAGACAAAAATTCTAAAAATATAGATTCGGTCTCTGTATCGATAATAATGACTATTTCAGTAAGATTTTCGGAAAATATTTAATGTACAGATTCGACTCAGTTAGAATTTCATTATATGTATAGAAAACAGATCCAAAGTTTGCAGATTAATGACACCTAATATCGATTCAAGTAAACAAAAATAGCTTGAAGAATTAGCGCTGTCCAATTTCTTTGTATAGGACGAGGCATTTGTACAAGCAAATGGTTATGTCATGTAATGTGTATGTGTAGTATATATCACTGTTTTAATAATTGTAAAGTAAATAAACAAAAGTGTAGTATGTATATATGGTACCGTACCGGCGAGCAGCGCGGGCGCGAGGCGGCCCAGCAGGCGCGTGAGCGTGGCCAGGTCCAGCAGCGCGGCCAGCAGGCGCTCCGCCTCGCCGCCCGCGCCGCCGCGCGAGCCCGCGCGCGCGTGCACGCCCGCCAGCCCCTGCCACCGCTCCATCTGCGCACACACCACACCACCTTACTTCCCAGAGTGGTCCACGGGAGACTCGACAGGGGCCTACGCGGGACGGAATCTTCACATTTTTGTCGACTTTTGGGAATATGGTAGAAATGTAGCTCAAGGGAGTCCAACGGAACCAGTTAAATTTCAAAGTGGTCTATGAGAAAAAAAAGTCTGGGAAACTCTCCGGCGGAGTCTACCACAACGATAGAGCTTAGGAATCAATTAAAATCGAGAGGCACAATATGTAATAGGTGACTAGATCCAAGGTAATTTAGATAACGCCACTGGAACATACAAAGTATAATTAAAAAAGCCAAGTAAAGCCATTCTATATTATATCTCAGGATAATTTCAGAGAACTCAAAAAAGCGAAAACTTCATCGATTATAATAATTAAAGTAAACAAAGTATGTTAATTTTTCTAATGAATAATTTCAAAATTAAATAAATGCTACTACTACTACTACTACTTATACCAACACGTGAAAACAATTTTCACAGCCAAGACAAGTTATTTACTAATCTTAAGCTAATGACAAACAAGTTTGTATGGAAATATAGTTAGAAAAATAACAATATGCCACATATTATGTATCCTCACCACAGCTGTGAAGACATCTAACGGCGCGAGGTCGGCAACGCGCGCGATACACTCTATGCAATGTTTTAAGAAAGTCTGCCATTCTGTTTCTCCCTGCAAAACAAAATTTTTATTTAAAATTACTTCAAAATTAGTTATTTTATATTTACAATGAGTATTATAAAATATTAGGATTATACATAATAATTATATAGCTCGCTATTATTGCGACATACGGACGTACAGCATTTTGTTAGTAACAACTTACATCGTCGTCGCACACGTCGTTATCTAGGTGTTGTAATTGTGCCTTATTGTGTTGAAACTGTATTTTGTTCAATATCCCATTCACTAACGCCTGCAAAGCTTCCCAGTATCTAAAACATAAAATATCTCTTTATATACAAAAAACTAAAAAGATACATTATTCCATTAAATTAAATGTTTATGATTTTTAGGCGCGTCAATGACATATAATACTATGATTTAATCACAAAATAAAATTATAATAGATTTTTAAATTAAAATATTTAAATAAAACTATTTTAAACAATTTCATCACTATCAATACTATTTATAATAAACATTATTTTATAGATATGCTGTACATACTTCGGAGTGTCTTCAGGTTTTAATACATCTATAAATTGAATCCATATATCTAAACAGCTTACAAACGTAGAACATGTCGGCACCTGCGAAATTAATTATTATTTATTATTACGTTAAATATTTAGAAGAAAAAAAGAAATTTAATTTGAAAAAATACGTTTTCAAGTTAATTTTTCAAATACTACCTAAATAAATAAATAACGAAGCGCTCTGTCTTCTTTAAAATAATATAAGTTTTCAATTGCATGTTGAGTCTTTCAGTATCATTTCTCACAATAATTGACGCACCAGGATTAAAGGTCTTTAGCCTTTTTTGTTTCCTCTGAGGAATACCCTCATAGAAGCCCTAGACGCTTGTGACACTGAAAGACTACTCGTACATGGTTATCAAGTATCTATAAAATTTTTGAGATGTGAAGAAGAAATATACATATAGACAAAGACGTTTTTAAAAGGGGAAAATTGTGCATAATTTTACCTGGAATGTGTACTGGAATAGATATGACAAGAATTCTATGGCATCAAATTCAGGCTCTGCCTCAAGCCTTTTAAAATGCAAGGATACAAATAGCTTTAGGAATTCGGCTAGCTTGTTTAAGTAACTGAAAGAATATAAATTTAATTAATTATTTTAAAAACTTATGGAATTACTAAAATCAAATAAATAAAAATTATTTATTTGAAATAGTTGTAAAATATATAATTATCACATAATGTGAATTTAAAAAAACGATTATAGAAAAATGCTATTAATAACACTTTCATGTAATTAAAAAATTACTCAAGATAATATTATAATTTGAGCACACAAGAGCTTTAGAGAGTACATAATATAAAACTCGTATCATCTAAATTGTCCTGTTCTAAAATTTGTTGCAAATAACTGAGCTGTAAACAATATTACTACAGCAGTTTGCATGCGTGAATGGTATCACTCGGGTGACTAATGTTCGGTGAACTTAATTTCAGTGCGTTAGAGTTATAATACAAGTATGTGTGAAAATACAACCCCCTTTTCACTGTCATAGTCAGGCGTCGAATATATTATGGTTTTATATGTTGTCGAAGATATAGCTAAGCTTAGACCGACCCAGGACAAGAACTCAGGACCTCCGGATCTGCAGCCGAACATCCTCGCCACTAGAACATTAAAACACTCAACAACTACTAATAGATTAGTGGGCAAGAATGAAGCACTGGCATACCTGTGGTCAGCGCGTTGCATGTGGTGGTGGTGGTTGAGGTGTCGCAGGAGGCGCAGCGCGCAGTGGTGCAGGCGCAGCGCCGTGGCGGCGGACGACGGCGGTGCGTAACGCCGGTACAGCAGCTCACACACGCCACCGAGGCCCGCCAGCGCCGCCTCCGCACTCTACACACACACATACATACATTATACACACATACACACATTATACACTCATATATACTTTAAACACACTTACGCACATTATACGTCATATATTAAGTCCTTACTTATATAATTGCCTTTTAAAAAAATTTAAAAAATCATGAAAAGAATATTTAATAAATCGAAATTTTGACCATAATATATAATTAATTATTGTCTATGTCAATTTAATAAAAGCTTACTGTTGCTTCTGCAATAAAAAAACTTTAAATCAATTTGCTTTAAGACATGGTTTGGCTGCTTCCCTTGGAACCAATCAATGGGACGGATGTTTTTAATTGTAATACTAGATTCACTTATGACATACGCAGAGGCGCTCTGTCATCGTAATCGGCCACGAGGCTCATTGTTATAATGCATGCCTCACTTGCGTGCAGTGATCTAAAGACTCGTTGATATTCCATGTTATCTGTGTCATATTTACAGTTCACACACCATTTTATATACAGACACAATTTGCAATATAAAATTAATAGTTGCAACAAAATATAAGTCACTACTTTTTTAAATATATTTTATAAAGTATTACCTGTGATTGTGTAGCAACACTGCCCCAATAAAACACTGTAGTGACGAGGGAAGGTGGCACATGCGACGACAGAGGCAGCCACGAAAACAAATGCTGGAGCGTACTGAGACATTTGACTACTATCTCCATATTAAGTGCTCTAAAAAGTATAAAAAATAATTAATTATTTAAATATACAGCTAAAAATTAAATATATTGTATTAAATGATATAATAAGTATAATATAAAAGGGGAAAATGCATGAATTGTAACTTACTTAATTAAGTAAATAAAATAATCCCCCTAAGTATTTAAAATTATTTTTTGAGAAAAAGAGAGAGAAAGAATTAATGGATGGCTAAAATTACAGCACTATCCTACACCACTCTTCCTTAGAGAAGCAATTACTAACATTTTCATAACGAACACTTTGAAATAGTTTAAAACCCCTTAAGAGACTGCCCACTACACCATCTCATACCATGACCATGCTAGGACCGTGTGAGGCAAATAAATATTATTTGTATTGAAAAGTATGAGACTGTGCCCACTAGACCGTTCCGTCAATGGACCGGCACCGTCGCGTGCCGTGCACGAAGCGGTAACAATTATCGGCGAGAACATTTTACCGGTGCCGGTACGCTCTGTGCTTGACACGCGACGTTGCGAGACCGGTGCGCGCAATGGTGAACATATGCAGCAATAAAACCATTATTTACGGGGATGATACGCTGTTGATACATTCTAGACTCTAGTGCATAGTAGTTTGTCCCATGCTTGTTTCCGTGCCTGATACATTCATAGCATGGTGAGGGTATGAGACGGTGTAGTGGGCAGACACTTTAATTATTAATAGGTACCCATAGTGCTATATTTACACTTACTTATCAGCTGAATGAACATCATGTGCATTAGCTAATAAATCTGGTAGTGCAGAAGCCTGTGGTAATCCACCTGTTGGAGATGGTGGAGGATTTGATTGACCTTCCTTTTGACCATTTTTCTCTAATATAGCTAAAAAAAGAAATTTATAACATGAAGGTAAACAAAACATAAAACTTTTTTGTTGGTAAAATTATTTTAATTTCATGTTATTTTCATATGAATTTAGTACTACAGCAATAACATTCATGTTTTTTTCTAAAAATAGGAGGTATTTCCTCAAAAAAGTACCAAATTATTTAATAGCAGGATTAATTTAATATTTTTAATTATCAAATGTATAATATTAATAAATAAAATTTTGGGATATTGTAATTTTTTGGGATCAAAAAATTATGTGTTTGTTATTCACTTACTTATTTTGAATGAAAATAGATATAGATTAGAGATAGAAAATATATAATAAACTAACCATTTAAGGCTGATAACATTTGTGGCATGCCTTTCAACATAAGTCTTTCAAGTTGACTTTTCCTTTCTGATGGAAGTAGTACACCAGTGTCGCGGGCCGCACCTAACTCTTCACTTGCAGCTTGAGCTAACACTAAGCCCACAACACACTGATGTCCATCACATTTCAATAGCTACACAAAAAAATATATATATACATATAGATCCCCAATGTACTATTAGCAGATTTTGAGTTCATCAATATTCATTTAAAATATTATTGAATATTTGAATACAATTTAAAAATATTATTGAATATCACCAACTGACAAAAGAAAATAATTTTGAATTAACATATTAAATATATGTATCTAAATAGTTTTTAATAAAAATTATAAATTTTTATTTACCTCAACAATATTGCTAAAAAAATCCGGATACAAATGAGGCCAATCATAACGAGCAATAGACACTAAAAGTGCTGCTAGCTTGTTTCTAATGAAGTACAGCATGGTTTCATGTTTGGTCATCAACTCATTCATTAAAGTTAATCTGATTTCTGTTTTCTCATTATCTGATAGTCTTATCCATTGTCTATTTATTATTTTCTAAAATAATATCAATATAAAATATATTTCACATAAATACTAAATTATTTTATTCAAGCAAATTTTAAGAAAATATATTTGTATTTTTTGTTGAGCTTACCTCCAAAGTAGTAAGAGTAACAATTAGAACATATTGGTTTTCCGATTTTTGAAGAAACAATAAGCAATGCTTCCATGAATCTCGAGTGTTTGAAAAATTTTCAAGCATGTTTTCTATTTCTCTCTTTCTAAAATTATTAGTAGTCGGCGCAAAGAACTCGGACATGAGCATCTCCAATGAGGCCAGAGCCTCGTTTATTTCAAAATCAGCCTGAAAATAAATGTAATATAGCTTCAAAAAATTTACAATAATAAATTTATTTAATATAATATATTAATGATTATAAAGAGAATATTACTAGACAAAAATAATTAGTTATCATAATGTTAAACTTACCATGATTGTTCTGTTCTCGTTTCAACAAAATTTACATACTGATAAGGAGTAAAATAAATTATAATTTAAAAAAATGGTTGATATAACTTTTAATAGAATTGAATACATAAAGTAAATTATGGTAAAATATTTGCAATCAAAAATGGATCACTTACATGAATAAATGTCAAATTGCAACTGACTGTCAAGTGTCAATGTCAGTTTGAATACTGAAAGATCAGGGCTGCTACTCTTAGTCAAAGCAATAAAATTTTCAAAATTTATTTATTTTAAAAATATATATAAGAAAATCAGCATAAAACTTTCAACAAAAAAAAAATTCAAAACTGTGAAAAAAGTGCTAAATGATCCTCCTCGTCTTAAAGAGATCAAAATGGCTGTGCTGTGTGTAAACATTATGGGAACATCCGCATAAGTTCTAATACAATAGCTGGATTTATAATCTCTCTGAGGACTAAACAACACATAACAGCAAGGAATTGTGCCGGTGAAAATGAGCGGAAAAACAAATAACACATATAGTATGGTTTAGTTGAATTGCACCCAATAAGTGTACATTGTACACAAGCTCAAGCTCATCAATACTTCGTAGTAAAATAAAGTAAAGGATTTAGGGACCACACATCGGGTCCTTTGCTTCATGGCGGGCGAACAAACGCATTTCCTAAGAGGGGGTTGACGTCAGGCAGGCGGCCGGTCGGAAAACTTTTGCCAAAACGAATAAGCAGTAACTTACTGCGCCGATCCCAAGTAACTTGGAAAATGGGCAGAAAGGAGAAGGGCTTCTACTCTTCATGTCGTCCGTTAATATGTTCCCTCAATTATTTATTACATATAATTAAACCGAATTAACAAATTCGTTTTGCTTAGCGCATTTATTAAAAAAATTATTAAATTTATAGTAGATAATATAATTAACTAAATAATAATATAGTTCTCATTATTTATGTATTTTCATTTTCAATCATTGTGCCATTTTTGTATTCAGTAATTATATTTTTATTGTTTTAGGTTGCTTCTGTAGATTTAGATAATTAATTTATAGTTTTTTTTACGCTACAGCTAGTAAATTTCAAAATTACTGCTCACACCTTAGAGTATACGTAAGCTATAGAGCGCGCGCTAGCAAATATGAACTGTAAGCACGAGTATGAACAGTCTCGAAATGTCAAGGGTAACGCTATTAGTCACGAAAAGTCAATCGCGCTGACTGTTTCTCTCGTCGGTATTTATTTGGATTTATGTAATCATGGTGAAATATGCAGTTCCAAGCTGTAAAAGTGATTCACGAAACCAAACTAAAACGAACAAAGATATTTTTTCATCGGTAAATAATGTTTTAATAAGAAAACGCTGATTTTAACTAAATTACACAGGCGTAAGCGGGTGTTGCGGGAGGCGCGCGGGCGGGTCGACACAACACGTGCTTCCACGCCCCCCGCTTCTTAGTTTCCCTCATTAAGAGCTAGCGTTGTACCACGTTGTACTACTCAAATATTTTGTATAACCATAGCATTATAAATTAAGATTCTCTGTATTTGTCAAAAATAAAACCTTTAATTTTTATGGCACCATTAATTTTAATTTTAAACATTTTTATAATTTTAATATGTTTTGTAATTGCATGGAATATTATTTCATTTTAGCTGTTACTATTACAATTATTACAATTTTTTAGAAAACCGTATTAATTAGTTCATCTTGCATCAATGTGAAAAGTTAAAGAGAATAAGAAATATATAATTTTAATTTAGTATACTAATATTTAAAAAAATGTAAATATTAAGCAACACTATTTCTATATAGATTTACAAATGAAAGAGATCAATTTGAAATACTGTAATTTTAGATGATAAAGTGTATATGTGCGTGAATAAATAGTTCTGTTAAATTGTTTATGTTAATATACTTCTTTTTTAATTAAATTCTAAAGATTTTACTAGGCGCATCACTATTCAACCGCTTCATCTACAAGTATATATCAATAGGTGTTTATAGAACATCTGCTTACATTTCTCATAATGGACAATGAGCGATACGCGCGCTCCATAGTATATGTATACTCTAAGGCTCAAACTTATTCGTATTTTCCTCACATACAATCTGTGACACTGACAGAATGTAAATATGTGACACGCGCGCCACTACTCCTTAGCACAAAGAGTATAGTTATAAATGCCTTAGCACTTTCCTTGTTTTTTATCTTCCGTGATTTTAACTTTATAATTTTAATAAATTATTTTTAAATATACCTACTTCTCACTAAAATAATACTCATAATATCAAAAAGTGATTTTAGCAAAAAATCTGTTCTGTATAAGACACTACATAATGTGTAGTATGTAACATAGCTGTAAATATGTTCATGTACATATTATGTGTACCACGGAAGAAAAAAACTATTGTTGTTTCTCTTCTGTGTGTGTACTTGTACACTGATCGTATGATACCGCTAGCTTTATTATATCGCCGCAATTCACTTTATAGTGTCATATGGGTACTGCGATAATATCTTTAAATTTCTTTGGACTTTGCGAGCGTTCACACGGTAAGGTATCCGAAGGGTACCACCGTACCAAAGTCCAAACGGCGCGGCAGCGTAGATACGGTGGTTGCGTAAATTGGTGTGTGCTTGCCATAAGCATAGTTGTCACTTGTCATTTGTCAAAAGTGAAAACTGAAAAGTGAAAAGATAAAAGTCGAAACTCGAAAGTCAAGCCGCATAACAGTATATTCAATATTGCAACTTAAATACATCGAGCCGCGAGCGGCGAGCAAATGCCTAGAGCTTTACTTTATTTGTCATCCATAGCCAGGAGCCTGTAGTTGTCTGTAGGTACTTCATAATTGTTAAAACGTAGTAGTTACCCAGGTTACATTCTCTTTTCTTTGGTACTTCTCTATAATATAATATACTTACTCTACAGTTCACTAGGTATTTGTAGTGTTATTTCATAGAATTCATAATTATGGAAGTGGAAAACAGCCGCACTGGAGAACAATCCATTCAAAATGAAGAATTAACGAAACCTACTGCAGAACAAGAACCTACTTCCACCCTTATGGCAACAATAAACGGAAATGATACTGAAGTGGGTATTCACCCTGTAAACTCTAAAGATTCTCAAAAACCTTCGCCTAAAAAGCCTAAGAAACGAAAACCTAAAGTTCCTAGGGATGTTACTGCACCACGGCAACCCCTTACGGGTGGGTACTAAGATGTATTTTTTTTATTTAATATTTTCATTTCATATCATCAAATAGGTATAAAGCATTATTTTACTTAATTCTCATATTTTGTCATTTAAGGATATGTGCGATTCCTGAATGAAAGGCGAGATCAGTTACGTGCAGAGCAACCAGAGTTAGGATTTGCAGAATTAACACGACAATTAGCAAGTGAATGGAGTAAGCTACCAGCTGAAGAAAAACAACAGTATTTGCATGCAGCTGACCAAGACAAGGAAAGGTGAGAACGATGAGAAATGATGGATATTATTAATTTTACATAATATCATATTGGGAAAAAAATATTATTTTTTTTTTTATATAATTGCAAGGTATATCAAAGAATGGGCTGAATACAAAAAGACTGATGCATATAAAGAGTTTAGAAGGCAACAAATGGAGCAAAAAGACTCTAGCAATATTTCAAATAAAAAAATGAAGCCAAATATAAATACTGAAAGTAATGCAAACGCTACAGGTAATTTAAGGTTTTAATGATATTAAATTTCAATAAATGTGATATGTCAAGGCAATTGTAATTATTTTAAGAAATAGTAAAAGATTTCTCAATTTTACCTATTCCGATATTGCAATTTATTCATTTCATGTGTTATACATATATACTTGTAGGCACAATTAACCACCCACTTACACCTTTTGTCACCCTGTTTGTTTCCATTAAGTATAGCTTATTTATTATTAGTTGTTATTTGACCTTATTACCAGTACAGTACCAAGATTACATTTTTGTTCTCTTTTGTCCCAGTGTTTAAAAGTTCTTTAATGTGTGTCTTTAGGATTATTCTCAGTGTTTGAAACCACAAAAATTCTGCTAGATGAGATTTGGTGTAGCTAGGACTGTTGCTTTAGTTGATGCTGGGTAGTCAACCTCACTCAGTGTATCTTGCATCAGTTTTTTTTATCAATGGTTATTTTCAACTTAATATTCATCTAATTTTTATGTTAATTTGACGTTTCGGCAAATTATAAGGATTACAGGGTCGGTGGTTAATTGTGCTTGTAAGAATTTTATGGCAGAGTTTAGAAAATTGTAAAACTAAACTGTAAACACTTTCTAAACATCTTGCGAACAGATGTTTATCAATAGTTGTAAGTTTTAAGTATTTTTTATTGCATTACTTTTTAAGATAGGCGAGTGGTATGCCTGAGGGTAATTAAACTGGGGCGAGGGAACGCAGGTAAAGGCAAGATGTCTGGTACCGGTTGTACGATGTTAATAGATTAGTCCTAAACGAGAGTCGATGTAAGATAGACCTCTGTTCATCAATAAAGAACAGAACAAAATAAATTTATAATAATTCCTTGCTCTGTGATTTCTTTTCCTGTATCATAACAACTTGATACTACATGTATCTTAAGTTTTTGGTCTCATGTTCATTAATTTATCATAGGCTATCTTCAATTTAAGTTAATACATAATTTAACAATGTGATTATTAGTATAGGATCCATGTCTCTAGGTGCAGTTAACACTCAAATAATAGATCAAAATGTGGTCACTGGAAGTGCGCCAGCAGCTGCTATTATTCCTACTGCACCAAGACAACAAACTCCACCACGTCCAAGACCTTGCATAACTCCTGCTTCGGTAAGTTTGGTTACTTATTTAATTTAGAAATAAATTAGTGACTACACCCATTATATAATAAATAACTTTGCAGGGTGAAGAGATGCCTGGTGACACCGATATTCCTATATTTACTGATCAGTTCTTGCAGCATAACAAATTAAGGGAGTCAGAATTACGTCAATTAAGGAAGGCCAATTCTGATTACGAGCAACAGGTGAGAAAATTGTTTTATCATTTATATATGCTCATATATTTTGTGGTATTACCACATTAAATTTAAACATTAATTAAATGCTCTAATGACATAAAACATAAAAGAAAACTGTATTATGATCAAATTGCTAAAAATCTATTTTAAATATGAAACATAATAAAAAAGCCAAAATCACATTACCACACTTCTGAAAGCCCGCGACTGCTGGCACAGCAAGTACTGCAAACTATGTTGTTATGGCTTGTGAATATTAGAGCATAAAATATACATTTAAACTTACAGAATGCCATATTGCAAAGACATGCTGAAGAGGTGAGTGCTGCAACATCAAGGCTACATGCTGAGACTGCTGCAGCAGCAGAACGTACAGCAGCTCTTGTGGCTCATCGAAGAGCTCTTGTGGCCTCATTAACTCAAGCTTTACAATCCATTATCTTACCATTGCAAGGTATATATTATACTTGTAACTAAATGTATGTTTAGCTAGTGACTAGATGTTTTGTCCAAAAACATAGTAAGAATAGAAAGCAAGCATGAAGTTGTGGCCAAAATCCAGGAATATTGTAATAAAATTCTAACTAAACCGAATCTGTACAATAATTATTTTTTTGCGAATCTTATTGACAGTTATTATCGAAATGGAGGCTGAATCTATAGTTTTTAGAATTTTTGTCTGTCTTTCTGAAAACGCATCATGAGAAAACCACTGGACAGATTTTGATGAAATTTGGTATGATGATAGCTGGTTCTCCGGATCAACATATAGGATACTTTTTATTGTGGCAAAATATCTTATCTCTGAGAAATCTATAATAAAAATTAAAAACATACCTAGGGACGAACCCAAACAGAGCAAGGGTGAGTCGCTAGTATACATAATTTTGTTTATCTTAATAATTGTCTATAGTCTGTTTTTTAATGTCAGAGACGAAATTGTCACATGCAAATGTCAAATTTACAAATTATGCTACCAGCTCTTTTATGCAGTGTTGCACCTACAGCACCAGTTTGTTGAATCGTAACTTTTTATCTTCATTAGATGATTGAATCGTGTTTCGAACGGACAAATATCCATTTGCTGGCTAGTAATATATTTGGCTATTTAACCGGTAAAATATATTTTGAAAGGACAATTAACCCAAGCGGCAAAAAAAATTTTTTATATTATTTTGTTGAATTTAAGCTGACAATTATTAATTTTTAACTTCTTGTTACATATAATTTACCAAAAAGTCAACATTTTTTTGTAACGCTTCGATACTTATTTTCATGGTTTGTACTTTTCAAACCTTTTTTATTTATGTTAGTTTAATAAATATAAGTAAATAAATTGTTTTTCTTACTGTATATCGATAGTTATTGATCTCAATAAAAAAATTTGATACATCATTATTTGAGTATCTTTAAATACGCATTATTAATTAAAAACAATCGGTAATAAGTTCTATGCTAAATTTCGTCATTAATTAGAAAAATTTAACTTATAACAATAATAATAATCTATTTTGTGTTACATTTATGTTTTAAAATATTTAAATAAATTTATTCAGTGTTGGTTATTGAATTCAATGATAATAACAAATAATATGATTCTGAAAAATTAGTAGTCACTTGATCATTTTTAGTTTTCCTCAAAGAATAAATTAGTACTAAGAAAATATTGATATAATTATTACATTCATCTTTCCGTGAAATTTACGAAATTAGAATGTGTTTTGTAATTTTTAATATTAAAAATTACGATTGAAGGCATTTTGTTTAACGAATAAATTCTAACGAATGTTATTATTTTGAAAAGCGTACATTTTATGTAACTGGCTCCAATGATTGTCTTGATTAATGTATAAAAGAAATTTCGCTCACATTCGAAAAAAAAAAGCTAGAGATGCACAAGATTCGATCTTGGAAAGTCGCGCTACGAAACTCATGATTTATTGATATTGCCAAAGTTAGTATCTGAAATATTGACAAAATTATACATATAAGCTGGGTATTTGAAGAGCTTTTTAATTAATTATTATTAATATTAATTGACATAATAATTAATTTTTAATAATTTACAACTTTTTGTTTTTTTAATTAATATATATATGGTGTATATAAGCTAAATTCTTATTAGCCTGCTCTATACATATTCTCAACCACGTATCAACCCCACCATGAGGCAAAAAACTATTTTGGTTAATTATCCGGTAAATTACCGACTCCAAGTTGGTAAAATAAGTAAAATGTACATTTTACCGGTAAATTCTCTTCACTAGATGATTCACTTCAAACTTTTATGTTCCAAAGTGTATCATTAAAATTCACATTATTAATTCTAAATCATTAAATATCATATTTATTAATTTAAATATCACATTATTAATTTTTTATCATTCAGTATTATTAAAATTCACATTATTAAATTTAAATTTGCGTTATTGATTTTGTATTATTCCGTTTTAAATATGTACCTAAACATTATTTCAGGATAACTTATAATAAAAAAACGACACTTGATTTTATAAACGTTAATTTTCGATAGTCACATAGTCACATCACTATTTAATTGCAAAAACTGGCAACCCACGCAATGTCAGTTTTGTCTCCGAGATTATAAAAAACAGACTATATTAGATTTAATCTATACCTACTAATATTATAAAGAGGCAGAGTTTGTTTGTCTCAGGGACTACAAATCCTATTTGAAGAATTATTTTTGCATTAGATAGCCCGTTTATAAAGGAAGGCTTATAAGCTATATATCAATCCCAGAAAAATAATGGTATGGAGAATGACAGTTGGTACTTATCATAAAGCACTTCCAGTGGAATATTATATTCTATGTTATTATAACACAAAGTTTGTAGGGAAATACTAAACAAAATGTAATATATTCACACGAAATCTATACTAATATTATAGAGACAGAGCGGTTTGTTTGTTTTTGTGTTTGAACTTATCTCCGGAACTACGAATCCGATTTGAACAATTTTTTTTTGCATTAGATAGCCCGTTTATTGAAGAGGGCTATAGGCTACATATCATCATGCTACTGCTCAAGGGAGCGGGGCAGCATTCATAAATGTCATCAAATTGGGCAGACTTTCATGGTAAACTGATGTTTATTTTGAAGTTTGAATGCGGGCGAAGCCGCGAACACTGCTAGTATATTACACATATAACAATTCAATTATTGCAGTAATCATTGAAAGTTGTTTAAATGTGCATAACGAAAATATTCTAAACAATACATGTGAGCATGTACACAACACATTTTTTAATCAATAATAAAATTGCAGGAGGTCCAGCAGGTGCTTCAGAAGCCAATATAGAAGAGTATATGGAAAAATTGCAAAGCTTTGTTTTGGAAGGCAAAAATAATCCACTTTTAAAACAGGCAAGGGATATTTTGAATAGAGTAGAATTACCCAGTGTTTAAATCTTTTAATGAAATAAAAATTCTAACATACAAATTTTTGTTTTTATTATCTTTATAAATATTATTTTTTTACAGAATTGCAAACATATTTTTATAAAATATAGTCAGGCAGTCAAATACACTTGTTTACAGAGTGAGTCAACTATAAGTTATAAAGAAGACCTTACGTATCTCAATCTTCATCCGACTCAATATTTAATTTACTATTAGGTTCAGTATCATATTCATGTAATTTTTTTCTCCACATTTTGATTAACATATCCCAAGACCTTCTACTGTATTTAGTAAATTTGTCTGGTGTTTTTATATCTTCTTTAGTGCGTTTGTCTCTACAACAATAATTGACATTATCATTAAACTATTTTTTATATAAAATACATTATTGCGCTCAATTACTATCAGATATTGTAACATTGTTTGTTAAAGGTTATAATATTACTTGTATCATTGTTAAAATGTAATAAATATGCCTAAATAATAAAAGTTAGAAGGCAAAAAATACATGAAAACAATAGTCAAAAATTTGAATGAAAAACATTTACTTACATAGGCACTTCTTTCAAATAATTATGATATCCAACAGTGTTTTTACCATAGTCTATCTGCTTTTGACGTCTTTGTAAAACCAATGGGCATGTTTCCAATTCAATTGCTGTTTTTTTTGGAGCCTTACTGTAATATAAATTATTATTCAAATATAATATTAAAATATTTTTTACATTAAATAATTTTAGAAGCTTATTTAATTAAGGGCCACATTATATATAGTCCATTGAAAAGTTACATTTGGGGTTGCATTTGTCAGAGGACGCAATTTTATTTTTTAGATATCAAGGAGGGGTTAGTGTAAAGTTAAATCCAAGTTTGTGGGGTTTGCTGCCCTTGTCCCACGGCCGCCATCTTGGAAAAAGGGGTACAAATGGTTTTTATGGTTTATCTGACAATCTATAGGTCTCACAAAAAAATTGTTAAACCATTTTTGGTTGCAAATAAAATTTTGTACAACTTTGGTTAAGTAATTTTTAGTTGTAGAACCAAAAATAACAAAGTTATAAGTGAAAATCAGTGACAATTTAAGATTTTTTTTTCTATTTGTCATTGTAATTTTTTTTCTGATCATTTTACAAAAAAAATATATGACACCATTTTTATAGAAGCGTTTTAAGGAATAATTTTCATTATAAACTTTTTAAATTTTATTCATTAATGAAGGTTTTACAGAGCTGCGAAACGAATACACTATTCTTCAATGTTCATAACTATACATAAATATTATTGATTCACCATAATTTTCAATCTTATTTTCATTATTATTATGATAATCTTTTTTATTATTGATAATGCAATATTGTTATTAATTAATTATGGACTCTTTTCCCCACCACCTACGAGGTAAAATCTGGAGGTAAAATCTGCTTTTTTTTTTACGTGCTATAATTACTCTGTCCTCGGTTTTTTTTTGCTTTTTAATGGACCCAGCTGAGGCTCAGGATCTGGTTGACCTTCTATATTAAATACTTAAGGGAAAACCGCAGAAGGAAATGAAGCACATCGAGTTTATTTATGATTTAGCATTCAGCAAGGATTCCAATTTGTATCTCACTTTGAATTTTGTATTCAAATCTTAAAAAACTATTCTATTTATAAGTTATAGTTAATTTTTATTATCATATAAAATATCAAAAATACACTTTCATGTTTGGCCATATTTATGACATTAAATTATTTTCATTCATATTTACAATTTCATACAAATAATAATATGATGAGGAATAAATATGAGTATATATATTTAATATCTGTACCTATTCTCCTCAGTTTCACTTTTAGAGTTAAGTCTTGATTTTTTCCTGCTGTGTGAATTATCTCTACTATCTGGCCTTAATTTTTCTTTTAGCCCCTTTCTTACTAAAACAATGAAATAAAAATTGTTATTCTTGGATTAAATATTGTTGTACCTACTCAATTTTCTAGAGGAAATAAACTTCCTTACCTGCTTCTTTAGTCTCGCCATTTTCATTTATATTATTAGCGTTCATAATTGGCTCTTTATCTCTATAAACCCTGAAATATAACATCTACTTAAAAATTCTTCTATTTATAATGTTCACTTCTTTAATTTATATCACAAAACATATCAAAATACCTTGTAGAATAAAAGTATTAAACAAATAATTCAATTTCTTAATTAGTATTATCTTATAATCAGAATTCAGTGTTAGCACTTAAAACGTTAGCATTTTGTTGTTACTCGTAATGATGCATATAAGTACAACTCCACTCTGATATTGTAGTAATGATAATTATTTTAATAGCTTTAAAATATTATAGTATTTACGAAATGTTTCAATTAAAAAGGCAAATAAAGCAAGTAAAATTTAGAAATATGTCAATATAATTGTCATTCACCGGCTTCCGCGCGAAAAATTGACATAGAAAATTCAGTTCAGAAATCAGCTAACACGCCGCTGCTGATGCAACACTTTATTTTTTACGTAAAATAAAGTTCCTCATAAAGCAGATAAATTAATATATTTTTTAACATATAATAACAAAATAAAATTGAAGGGAAGGACTTCATTGTTAAGTGTACCTATATTATTATGTAATATCTGTAAGTCTTTTTTGTTAATGCTTTCAATTTATTCGAATAAATATTTTAACTTTTTAAAATACCTACTTTAAAACCTTATAATATCATCTACACTCTAGATCAGGGATTCCCAAACTATTTTGGGCAAAAGACCCAGTTTCCAAAATAAACGATTCCTTAGATCCCGATGTGCACGTTTATCAACTTAAGTTGAGTTTTTTAAAAGTACATCAATGATCAATGATATGTACTTCCTACTAAAATATTAGTCATTCTTATTTCTTATAACAAGTTGGTACACGTAACATAACTTGTACAGTATGTTGAAAGCTCAGAGACTCAGACCAATAAATTTTTTATTGGTCTGAGGGTGAAAGTTTCAAATAAGAACTTGTGTTAATTAATAGGGGTTGATTTTTAGACCTCGTAGAACACCAAAATCAGTTTTCGTTTACGTCAGTACGCCTGTGAAATCGATGTCGAGCCCAAGGGATTGATATCGACCACTTTAAGAATCCTCTAGCTCTAGATTGAGTCATGGGTCATGTGATTGATATTCGTGAGAAAAGAAAAAGCTTAATATACCTACGTAAAATACATTTTCTTAGATTATATCATACATTCCATACGATAATATAGCCACCCACAATATGCCTGTTTTGCATCATTGCTTATCTATAGCCTCAGACCAATAAAAAAGTATAGACAGAGAATTGCGCACATAAAGTGATGCAAGTAATATGAAGACGATTTAGCCATATGAAGACGGCCGCTCGGTAGTCGGCCGCGAGCGAGTGAGAGTGCGTGACGTGCTTTTGGTAAAATAATAATTGCGAAATTAAGCCGTCCTGTGTCATAAACTGTTGCAAAAACAATTCATGTTTTCGAAAAAAGTCTTTTGGGACAACGTTTCATAAGTAAGTAACTGATTTTCTGTATAGTTCAAACAAAATCGCAAAAATATTTAACATAATTCTCCGAACACGAATTCTTGACGCCATTGTGTCAATGTTGCAAGTTAAGGACATTATGATTTATGTTTTCCCAAAAGTAAGGGAAGTTGTGATTTTTGTACACGTTACAACTTATTTTTTTTTAAATCTTATTATTGTATTTTAGTTTTCGAGTATATTAGGTATATTAAAAACGTCAAAACCGTGATTTCGAACTAGAATCAATATTTGACACTCCCAAAAGAAATAAACTCAGACAACAAGCTAGAAAGTATTTAAATTACGTTATCAAATTCAAGCACGCGAAATCAAAACACTTAATCAGAAGAATAAAGGCCTTAAAAAGAAAAACGCGTCAAATTAGTTATAATTATTCTAATATATGTAAGTTTTGTGTGTACCTATTGTTAAATTATTAATTATATTTATTTTAGAATAAATGACTCATTAAATAATTTACATTTCATTTCATGTAACCAAGGCAAATAAAAAACTATACTACCTGTTTATTGCGTTAAGGTGTATTATTGCTTGAATAGACTTAGCGATGCGAGTGAAAGGAAACAAGCGTGTGTATCGTACTGCGTTTAATTTGCAACTAACTAACTCATAAAATATGTTTACAATATGTAGATATAAGAGCGTAATTCTAATACATTACTTAAACATACCGCCCACCAAAACTAACAGTTTTCAAATAAACAATAAATCATAACAAATTAAGAATACATGTAGAAAAAAAAACTATAACTTCATCTATAATAATTTCCTTACTTCAATAAATGTTAAAGAATTGGTAAATAAGCTTTAAAGACTGTAAAACATCATTAATCTATGTAACTAAGTTTATATAATATTAACAAAGTAAAAGTTAATTTGTACAGATTGAAAACATTACATATATACAAATTATAAAAGTTTTGTATAAATTAAAAACACAGTTTATAAATATATGTATACCTCAATAAATCAATAAACAAATAATTATGGAAAATGAGCCGCCCACCATTCAGTATATATAATTAATCGTATTTTTTTTTTTGTTTTTTTTTTTTTTTTTTTTTTCATATATTTTATGTATCGGTGTTGCCTGTTGATGTCTTAACTCAATGCTTATAAAGATTAAAAACCTTCTTGTAATCACCGGATAGTTTCAGAGCTATTTCGATGATTTCTATGTCACTTTTATTTGGGTTGTCTTTGATTATTTTGAATAATTTCTCCTTTATCAATCCATAATCTCCATATTTGATGGTCTTCTTTGGCAGTCCTGGAACTTTGGGAGTCAAGATTATTCCTTTCATTAGAGAATCTAACAATCCTATATTTTCCGAATGATGTTCTGTTTCGGATTCCTCTTGTTGTCCTCCTGCAGGGCTATTGCGTATCTCAATTGACAGTTCATAGTGAAGATCACTAGACTTAATGCTCAACGATGAACTGTCAAACAGCTAGTTTCGTATTGGCTAACGTCAGTGACCAACTGGGATGATGTCATAGGCACCGAGCCTCATTGATAGTCACCGTAACATATTTTGACAAGTGTTTATGTATCGATAAAGTTTAAGTTGCGATTGTGTAAGCATAGTTGACATCATATTAATAGTCATTAGACACTATCCACTTTTTTTGAAAAACACTACTCAAGAGCAGTGTTTTACGGATTCAAGGTGATTATCACTGTAATTTTAATACATACACTTTGTGTACTTGCTACTCGGAACATTAGGCTACATGGATTTGCACACTCTGTGTGGAATTGTTTTTTAATTTTTTATGTTTTTCTTTGTTATTAAGTAAGACAAACTATTATTTATTATATATTTTTTTCTTTCTTTGTTATAAGTAAATTTGTGAACATAATGGCGCGCGCTTTCTTATTGGGATATGCGGAAGAAGAACGTAGACGTAATGTTCTACGAATTGAAAGACGCCGTCTGCGTGACGCTAGTGATCCATTGCAGTTGCCAGAGAGAGAGTTCATTGGACATTTTCGTTTAACAAAACTTGGATTCCAACAGGTTTTGGTGGAACTTAGTCCTCGTCTACCATTAGTTAGACGAAATACAGGTGTTCGCAATGAACTCAAAGTAAGTAACACTGTTCATTTACTTTGACCTGTCATTTGCTTTTCAACATTAGGTATTTGATATCCACTTGTAAATTTATATTTTCATTTACACTGTTACTATAACTGACTGATGATGACTTTGTTTGTCTTTCTATTATAGATTTTAGCAGCATTAAATTTTTATGCGAATGGATCCTACCAACGGAATGTAGGTGCATCATTTCTACTGAACATGTCGCAACCAACATTCAGTAAATGTCTACATGAGGTAACTGGTGCACTCAATACCCGCGAAATCCTTAGGAAGTACATAAAGTTTCCTATGACACAGCATGAAAGGGAAATAATTATGAAAGAGTAAGTTTAAATTTAAATAGTGTTACAATAATTATGTACTTAGTAGATACATACCTACCCAAGTAGCCTAAAACTTTGAATTGTTTTTTTTTTCAGTTTCATGGAGAAATTTGGATTTCCAGGTGTTATAGGTTGCATTGATGGTACACATGTGGCTTTAATCCGTCCTAAGGAGCATGAAGAGGCCTATTTTAATAGAAAGAATTACCATTCTTTGAATGTTTTACTAGTAAGTGTATTATAATTAGTATTGTAAAGTATAGCAATACATAGCATTAAAATAAAAGATTGTTCCAGTAGTGAGTTTGTACCTGCACAATTTGATAGAACAAACTTTGTTTTGATTTCAGATTTGTGATGCTAAACTGACCATCCTCCATGTTGATGCATCATTTGGTGGTGCATCTCATGATTCATATGTTTGGAATCAATGTGTAATAAAAGCATTTTTAGAAGGATTAGAAAGAAATGGAGAGCGCCTTTGGCTGTTAGGTATGCATATGCAACTTGTATAATAGGGTACAGATTAAATACAGACAATCATTTTGGTAGAAAAAAATATATATTATGCACAGACAGTAATTTATCTGACAGTAGGTACTATGTTAAAATTAATTTCTATTTGTAGGTGATTCTGGATATGCTCAACGCCCCTGGATGATGACTCCAATCATAGGTGCAGCTCCAGGATCACCAGAAGAGTATTATACAGACCTTCATTGTCGGGTCAGAAATACTGTGGAGCGGTGTATTGGAGTACTTAAATCACGTTGGCGGTGTTTGCTAGCACACAGGGTACTTCACTATGACCCAGTTACCACTGGCAAGATAGTGAATGCATGTGTCGTCCTGCACAATATAGCCAATGCACAAAATATTCCAATACCTGACCCACAGGATGGTGATCTTGACAATGACCAACAGCACCAACTTTGCATACAGGGAAGGACTGATGCCCCTCTAGATGAAAGTAGGGTTATATTAATTAATAGGATTTGGAATGCTAGAAATATTTTGTGATTATAATTTTTTTTAATATAGTTTTGATTCAAATACAATTAGCCTTTATTTCTGATAAAAAATAAAATACATTTAGACAATTATTATCATTTTACAATATTATCATGCTACAAAATTAAAATTATTACTTATTATTATATAAAAATAGTCTTAATTATAATTATATTAAATATAATTTAATTTTATACTTATATTTTCAATACTACATCATTTTATAACTCTGCCTACTATATTATCATGCTGCTAGTTGAAATTATTACTAAATACTAATTATTATTATTAGGTATTTTTAATAGATTTAATTATATCAATTTGTTACTTATACTTTTTTCTTTATATAATTTTACAACATCATGCTGCTAATTTAAATTATTGGTGATTATTATTTATTATATAACAATAGTTTTAATTATATTTAATTCAATTTTACACTTATAATTTCAAATATAATAATGTAAAATAATGGTTTCATATATTATTTAATTGTAATAATTTAAATACTATTTTATTTAACATCATTGTATAGTTCTGTCTACTACAAATTCACTTAACAATATTATTGCATGCTAATTTAAATCTACATGAACACACAAAAAAATTTATCAAAATTGGCCCAGCCGTTTAGAAGTAGTTCATTCACATGTGTATGTGACTGAGCTTCTCCTAAACGGCTGGGCCGATTTCCTGTGTACGAACAGAGGAATTATATATAAAAAGATAATAATACTTTTAATTATTTTTAATTCAAATTGTATTCTTAAGTTTAATTATATTTTTAATTTATTTGTTTGATGTCATCCTCATACTATTTACTATAGATATTATTTATTAGTTACATTAGGCAAGATATGTAGTTATTTACATTTAAAACTAGATTAATTATGTTAAAATGTTAAATAAAAATTTAAGTTTTAGTTTTTATTATAATAGTTTAAGGCTTCTCTTGATGTCTTGATGACTCTGTAAAAGATATTTTATTATATAAAAAGTTGAAACAGACTCAGAATATAGCAGTAAGTGTATTATTAAAGTTAGAATTAGCATGTATATTTAGTCTTAAATTAATTGTAGGTATAATATTATTATTAATAACTATTTCAAAAAATATATGTTTATACCTGAGATATGGCAACATTTTGTTTCCCTCATTAACTCCACCATGGCCTCCAATGCGGATGCAATGCGTTCCTCAACAGCAATGCGTCTTTCCTCCAAGTCGTAGGCCCATCGTGGTACTCGCTCATCTCGACGTACTGAAAAGTATTTTAACATTAATGTAACTTACATAAGTGGATAATAACATCGAAAAATTAGTACTTACTTTGACTACGTGATGTCGACCTTTGGGTAGGCAGTGTCGTGTGCACGGGAGGCCCTGAAATAATTATAATTTCATATAAAATGTAATACGAGCAGAAGGTTGTGAAAGCCAATGTTTATGCCATTTATTTATTCATACTTACTTTCTTCTCTTGGTGATGCAACTTCAGGTGGATTGACTGACTGTATAGTATGTGTGGCTGGGGTAGGGTGCTCTGTGGCTCGAGCAGGGGGCTCTGTGGCTGGGGCAGGGGGCTCTGTGTCTGGGAGAAGTGGGTTTGAGGATGAAGGCTCAGAGAATGGAACTCCTAATGGAAATGGAACTTCTTCTTCAAGCCATTCCACATCCATTGGAGGTTCTGGAGATATAATATCGGAACAAGGAGCTGAGGAATGTGGCATAGGTGAAGCTGTACTGGGGCTGGCTGGTACAGCCTCTGAGGTACCTGGAGGCTGAGTCCCTTCTGCTGTAGGTATCTGTAAAATGTTTGAAATTTTATTTGATACCTACTTATTTTTATAAATTATAATAATTTAACATTATAGCACTACTTAGAACTTAATTTAAGATTAGTTAATACATAAATTAGTAATATCAATTATAATACTTTAATAACTTACATCAAGAGGCAGGCGCACACCAGGCAAACCCTCCACCGCTACCGTACCAATTATTGCCAGCACTCGTTCTTCTGTATCAGTAAGAGGAACGAGTTTGTTAGGCCCTCCACCAGTTGCTGAGGCATTCCTTCTAGAGTCTGCTGCTTTGGATTTCGTTTTCGCCTTAAACTCTATCCAATACTGGATTGTAAAAAATAAGACATTTTAATGCATGACAATAATAGAAACATCTTAAAAAGGTGCATAAGTACCTTTACCCAGTTGGGTGACAAAAACAACCAACCCGTATAAGTGTAAGGATTTATGTATTTTGTAATAACATTTGACATGTTGTCAAGATGTTTAGTTTTTTCTGATTCTGAGTTTTTGGGGTCTTTATTTTCGAGCTTTTTTTTGAATGAATGCCAATTAATGATGCCACTTAAATATTTGAAAGAATAAACACCAAGGGAGATACATGGGATTATATTTTTGATGACAAATTATGCATTAGTATTTTTTAGTATAAGATAGTAATTGAAAACTTACGCGACGCCACTGGTCACCCGTTTTTGTGGAACCTTCCGCTATAGCATTTAATTTGTTGGCTACTGAAACCCAAGCTTGCCGGGTAGCCTGATGGGCTAGTGGTCCGCCTGTTAAGCGACCTAAAGCAATGTCGCGATTCGACTCTGCAAACTCTAGAAGTATATCCATTTGCCTCGGGGATATTTTTCTTCTTGCAGGCATCTAAAAAATGATAAAGTTAAATTGAGTAAAAATTGTTTATTTTTACCTTATTTACTCAAAAAGTAACTGCAATCAAGCACATACTTAAAATACAAGAAAAAGTTAAACAAAATAGAAATTGAAATATTTTATTGTTAGATAGTACAATTTGTATTGTTTATAATAACAACGCACAGCCAATAAGTCGATCACTGTATTGATTTATACTTACTTTGAGAAAAAAACACTACTATTTTCTTAATTAAACTTACACGTATACGATATTAATTAATTAGTTATAATGTAAAATTGAAAACGTCTGTTTGGGACGGAGTTTTGTTCGCTTAAGTATTCGGGATGGGACAGCTGTATTACAACAACTGTCTACGTCCAAAAGACTCTAGCAACTAACTTTCTTTCATAGTAACAAATAACAAGTTACCTATTTATATTATAAGTGTGCGGAAATGTGTGTGGCAGATGTGCTTGGTCTCAGCGGCCGCTTCGACCCTTAGGTTATTATAGTTTTATATATGCATTGTTACATTGCGCAATGCCTTCTGAAAAGGATATCTAAAACAAAAGAACCTTCCGAGAAGGATATTTAAACAGACTACTTTCTAAAATATGTGAACCATTGGGTTAATAACTCTTCAAATAACATTTTACAAATTAATTTGGCGCCGGGGTTCGCTAATCACCGAACTTTCAAGTGTATAAGCCGTATAAAATAAAATTTCGTAAAATGAGCCACAAACCATGTTTATAATGTCCTATTTGACTTAGCCGCATAATATCGATAAAAACTAGGGTCGCTCAAGTGGCGTGCTGAAAGGCACCGTAGAGCACCGTAAGCTCAAATCCACTCGATACGATACGCAATACCAATGTTATGATAATTTTAGTTGACATCAAAATCCGGTTGACAACTAAGCCTTGATGGCCACCGGTGGCTATCAAGATAGCCAATAGCCCTGCTGGTGTGGTAGGTTCTTCAGAAGATACTGATCTAGGAGATAAATAAGGATTAGTTACATTGAACGTATAAACTCCGGGAGTGTTGGAGGAGTCTGTTTCTACTCTCCCTGGTATAGATGTATACTTCTTGATGACATCTTCGATTATCTGTTTTATTCTATTTTGTGATGCTTGACCTTGAACAAAAGAAATATCAACTTGTATTTTTCGATCTCCTAGCGATTTGACATCCGATCTACCAACATTTAAGACCCTTCCAACCCTTTCGGCTACACAACCTCTCTCTGACAACTCCATAGCTCTACCTTCATCTTCGTAGGTTTGATCATCATCGTCCTCATCAAATCTATTGGATTCTGCTGTTGTATAATCATCATCTATTGAAACCTGCGGTTCTCCCAATATATCATCCCAATTAGTTATTGAAGTTGTTTTATTTGCATTGAGATTCTCTCCTTCAGGACTAGTATTTGGAATTTCGTCTTCATTCTCTTGATAAGAGAGAGGTATAGCCTGTGCCCAGTTAGATCTCTTCACTTCCTCCTTCTCCTGAATCATGTTGCGTAGCTCCATGATCACTACTGCGTTTTTTTCATGTAATGGTGTTTGATGCCTTCTCTTACATATTCTGCATGATGTGCGTTGTCGGCATTGAAAAACATTGTGATTGGGTATGAGGCAGTTGAAGCATAATTTATTCTTCTGTACAAAATTCTGACGTTCTTCAATAACTAAATTTAAGAATTTTTTACAGTTATATATATAATGAGCACCACTACAGAATGAACACAAAATCTGTCGTTTACAAGTATTACCGTTGTCACCTTTTTCATGAATAGCAATATGAGTGTGTATTCTGTCTCTAGTTGTAGACGTCAATGGAGATATTAATTCTAGAGTTCGAAATTTAGACTCCAAAAACATACGTAGCTGTTCCCATGTTGGTAATTCGTCGTGCCTCTCCGTGCGGTATGCAGTCTCTTCCCACTCTTTATGTGTTTGCACGTCAAGCTTTTGCACCACCAAAAACACAATCAAAGGGTCCCATGAATCTGTACATATTTCTAAGTTTTTTAAGCTTTGAAGACACTCCACTGTTGTATCTAAAAGTGACTTTACTTGCTGCGAAGTTTGATGTGTTAACCTTTTTTGATTACAAAGTCTCTTTAATAAAGATGAAACTATAAGCCTTTTGTTTCCATAGCGGTTCTTCAATAAATCCCAAGCTTGCATATAATTATTTTCAGTTATGTTAATGTGTCGTAATAATACTTCTGCCTCTCCACCAATACTTGATTTTAAATAATGTAACTTTTGCACATTTGATAACGAAGTGCTGTTATGAACCAATGACGTAAACAAATCTTGAAACGTAGGAAATTCTTCGTACTTGCCAGAAAAACATGGTAGTTGTATGCGAGGAAGTTGGATGCAGGATATTCTATCATCGTATTGAGCACTTGCGAGATTACCATTTTTGTCACTAGTCCCGGAACCACGTTCATAACCTTTTAAACACTCCAATAAATCCGACTTCAATAATAAGTACAAGTCTTCATATAAAAAGAATTCTTCATTAAGGAAATACGGCAATAACCCTCTTTGTTCACGCGGCGTACACGCTGCTAGGCTATAATGAGTCTTCTTAAATGTATCCCAGTGATCCTCTATACATTTCAAACGAGATTGTAGATAACCTTCTGTCAATCTAGCCTTCAGACATTTTTTCAAGTTTGTTTGAGTTTTCTTTAAAGTAGTAGCAATATCTTCCAAAATATTTAAATATTTCACTTGTTCTGGAGTTTCATTAGTCATTTTTTAAATATTCGTTTACTATTTTTATCTTCTTTCTTCAAACAGCACTATATTCTTTACAGATCTTCTATAAGTTATACGCGTAATATAAAAAATAAATCGTTTCTTAATGTGCATAAATGATGCAAACTCGTTTCTTATCTAAGTCCTTTTGTTCTTCAATGCGACGGCGATCTATTCAATACAATAATGAATCCGGCTCGAAGGACCATATGTTTATTGCGTTAAGGTGTATTATTGCTTGAATAGACTTAGCGATGCGAGTAAAAGGAAACAAGCGTGTGTATCGTACTGCGTTTAATTTGCAACTAACTAACTCATAAAATATGTTTACAATATGTAGATATAAGAGCGTAATTCTAATACATTACTTAAACACTACCTATAGTAAAACTTTTCATCAAAGTATATCTCTCGCACTTGGGAGTCGTAAGCACAACGCTTGCAACATTTTTCTCTAGCACACATGCGCAAATCTACGCTATCTGACACAAAGTTACGCACACAAAGCCAAAACTTTGGATCACTTATTTCGTCGCGTTTGTTTACACTTTACAACGGCTCCGTCTATACTTTTTTATTGGTCTGTGTCTATAGCTTTTATTTTTTGTCGAAATTTTCCCATAATTAAATAAATTTTTGGGGACTTCTTATTAAAAAAAATAATGATTCCGATGGGATGGGTACTACCCCCTTATCTATTTCTTCCGCCAAGCAACAATGATTACATTGTTGTGTTACGGTTTGAAGGATAAGGTAGCCAGCGTAATTACAGACAAGCGGCATAAATCATCTTAGTCCTCATAGTGACAACGCACCTACGGTTCTGTATTTTTGTAACATAAAACCTAACTAAGTGCATGAACAGTAGGTGTTTTGGTCGACAGGTACCGCTTTCCATCAGGTGGGCTGTTTGCTTGTTTGTCACTGAATACCATAAAAAAATAATCGCATAGACTATACCTACAGATATTGACTTTTAAAAAATACTACCACCCAATTCATAAAAACAATTTATTATAATACTAGCTAGCTACTAGAAAACAATAACAAATCTATCCCACATGAACCGTCCATTTAATATCTCGCCGTAAATCCTATATGTTGACCCGGATAACCAGCTATCATCATACCAAATTTCATCAAAATCGGTCCATTGGTTTTCTCGTGATGCGGTAATAGACAGACAGACAGACAAAAATACTAAAAACTGTAGATTCGGACTCTGTATCGATAATAATGTCTATTTTAATTACATTTTCCAAAAAATATTTAATAATAATATTAATAATAACCCCCCCAAGGAATCACCTTGCCGTGGTGGGGGGGCTTACGGGTATTAGGTACAGGTACTTATTGTTGTATGTCATAACACCTTAAACATACTTTTTTAACACTTTCTGATGCCACTTCCAACTTGGCTAACCATACCCAAATAAACGATTCCAAACACACCCTTTTTTATGATATGGACAAAAATGAAAAGAGGTATAATTTACGGCCGCTTCCCGGAGTTCGTCGGGGCGCACCTGGAGCCGACGCTGGGTGTTTCAGCTTACGAGCCGTCGGTGGTGAGGAGCTGAGCAGGCGGGCCCTCATCGGGCTAGATCCCGAAGATAATACAGCCGAATCATCAAATTCATCATTAACATCTCAATCATCCAATGACCCATTTTCATCAACCTCTTCATCAAATTATTCATACCCATCATCACCTTCCGTTAGTTCAGTCACAAATAGCATGGTTCTGGAGGATGTTGTGCAGCAGGCTGAGGCCAATTTATCTGTACCCACCACCAGTTACCCTAAAAAGCGCAATAAATGGACTATTGAATGATATAAAATGAACAAGTTTATAATGCGCTCATATTTTCACCTCACAATGTTAGATACCGATACTAACAAATATCTTTTTCCGAAGAATTGAACGAAACTATAATTAGAGCATATTACAAAATAACAGAACTGGAAACTAACAAAACAACTTACAGAAAACAACTTTATCACGATTTTTAAGTAAATTTCCTCACTTATCTCATATTTCAGAACAAAGGATAGCTGATCAAAGAAGATCAATCATAAAAAATAAACTTATGTGCAGTAATAAGATTGAAAAAATAAAACGCGAAATAGCTACTGAATTACAAATTAGGGCTCTAGAAATACAATCACGCAATAATGTAGACAGTAATTTAAGTCCAGAAGTACAGGAGAATGTAGAAAACCAAATACAAGTGCAGCCAAATATAATAAAAAGAAATGAAGACATAGATAAGATATTCAAAGCATGCTTAGAGTACTATATAAATATTGACCCTGTTAAGAGAAATTTTATTCCAAGGCAAAGATCATCTAAAAGGTTAGCCGAAATAGTTGACTACATAAATAAAATAATATTACCAGAAAATTTAGATTCTACTATTAGTTTTAAGTCTTTTCAAACAGTATTGTATTGTGCTGCATGGACAGCTGCTAAAGCAAATGGTGCAAAAATTGAAAATAAGCCAAAAGACAACATGTCAAAAATTTGAAAAGGCAAAAACCAAAATGGCAACTTCGACTAGAAAAAAAAGTAGACGATTTAAGAGCTAAAATAGGCAGATTAACACAATACATACAAGGTAATCGCAGTAAAAAAGTTGTTAAACATGTAAATTCAATACGGAATCATTATAAAATACATTCTACACATGAGGAGCCAAACACACAACTGTCACATTTTCTTGATACATTAAAACAAAAACTTGCATTAACAAATAGTAGATTACAGAGATATAAAATATGTACACTACGTAAAAATCAAAATAATCAATTTACATCTAATGAAAAACAATTTTACAGAGATCTTAAATCTTCTACATCATCACAAATTAATCAAACTAATAATTTTGAACATTTAACAAGTAGTGCATCACTCCAAGATAGTTTTTACAGATATTGGTCTTCAATATGGGAGAACCCCGTTAGTCACAACCATAATGCTGAATGGATCAAAATTGAAAAGTTAAAAAATTCATCAAAGCCAAATATGGAATATAATAGTATACCTTTGGAAATATTGCATACAGTCATCAAGAAATTAAAAAATTGGAAAGCACCTGGTTCTGATTTCATTCATAATTACTGGTTTAAGCATTTTACACACGCACATTCATATCTTTATAAGTTTATAAATCATTTTATTCAAAACCCTCATGATATGCCTGAATACATAGCTACTGGAATAACATATATGATACCAAAAGATTATGGTGATCTTGGAAATCCGGAAAAATATAGACCAATCACGTGTCTTCAAACGATATATAAAATAATAACGTCTTGCCTCACTGAAGTTCTTTATAAGCATTTAATGGATAGTAACATATTGACGGAAGAGCAAAAAGGATGTAGAAAACATAGACAGGGCTGTAAAGAGCAATTAATTATAGATTCAGTAATATTAAAACAGGTTCAAAAAGAAAAGAAGGATATTTTTACACTATACATAGATTACAAAAAAGCATATGATTCAGTTCCTCACTCTTGGCTACTACAAACATTAGACATTTATAAAATACACCCTCACATTATAGATTTTTTGAAGAATACTATGACTAATTGGAAGACTACATTAAAATTAAGTATACAAAATAATAACATTAACACTGAACCGATTAAAATACAACGCGGTATTTATCAAGGTGACGCTTTAAGTCCATTGTGGTTTTGTCTTGCTTTAAATCCCTTATCAAATATGCTAAATCTTACAAATATTGGATATCACTTATGGTTTAATAATAGTTTAGTTAATAGCCCTAGATCAGAATTAAAGATAGTTAATCACCTTTTATATATGGATGATATTAAGCTGTATGCGGAATCAAAAGAAGAATTAGACACACTAGCAGACTTAACATACACATTTTCACAGGATATTAATATGGAAGTTGGTATCGATAAATGCAAGATAAACGCAGTTAAGGCAGGACAGAACTTAAAATATGAATATCAACTAGGGAATGGCGAATGTATATTGCCATTAATCGAAAATGAAACATACAAATATTTAGGATATATTCAATCAAAACTAATACATCACAAAGAAATCAAATTGAATTTAACACAACAGTTTAAACACAGACTTAACTCTATATTAAAATCATGTCTTAACTCAAAAAATACTACAAAGGCGATAAATACATTCGCAATTCCTGCCCTAACCTATTCGTTTGGAATAATTAACTGGACTAAAACTGAATTAAAAAATCTTCAGCGTGTAATAAATACAACTATGACCAAAAACCGGAAACATCACCCACGATCATGTACACAAAGAATGACACTCCCGCGATTAGATGGTGGCAGAGGATTAATCGATATATTAAATTTGCATAACAAACAGATAGCAACTCTCAGAAAGTATTTTTACTCCAAAACTGACACATCTACCCTTCATAATGCAATAGTTCAGAATGATAAAAAGCTAAGCCCACTTAATTTGATACAAAAAGCTCCACAAAATAATGAAACACAAACTGATAAACTTAGCAAAATCCGAGAATGGACCCAGAAGTCATTACATGGAAGACATCAAAACGAACTGAACCAGAATAACGTCGACAAGTTAGCATCGAACGATTGGCTCAGACGTGGCGAACTCTTTCCAGAGACTGAAGGGTTTATGATAGCAATTCAGGATCAAGTCATAGAAACTAGAAATTACCAAAAATATATAATTAAAAAACAAAACTTCCATACCGATATATGCAGAAGATGTAACTGTGCCTCAGAAACCATTCAACATATAACCGGTGCTTGTAAATCTATTGCTCAAACTGATTACAAGCATACATCCCGATTATCCCGATATCCCGATATGATTACATGCAGACCGCGCCATACTGACAGATAAAACTGTACCATACAATAGACCAGATATTACATTGGTAGATAAATTAAACAACACAGCCACGATTATAGATATTGCTATACCTAACTCACATAACTTACATAATACTTTTACAGAAAAACTTGCTAAATATCAGGATCTTAAAGATGAAATAATGAGAATGTGGAAAATAAAGACAGTTACAATAGTACCAATTGTTATATCCACCACAGGTGTTGTACCCAAGAATCTTCATCAATCTATTAAATTGCTTGGGCTTCCTCCATTTACTTACGTACAACTACAAAAAGCAGCTATACTTAATACATGTCATTTAGTGAGAAATTTTTTAAATTGTATTGTATTGTATTCAGTCCTTTTTAACGTCCCACTGCTGGGCACGGGCCTCCCTTCAGCACGAGGGGGATCAGGCCATAGTCCACCACGCTGGCCAAGTGCGGGTTGGCGGACTTCACATGTCTTTCGAAAACTTGCTAGGTTCTCTCAGACATGCAGGTTTCCTCACGATGTTTTCCTTCACCGTAAGGCAAGTGGTAATCATGTAAGAAATGATTCGCACATGAAAATATCAGAGGTGCGAGACCCGGGATTTGAACCCGCTTCACTCGGTTTCCCAAGCGAGAGCGTTACCACTGGGCTACCACTGCTTACTTGCGCGGCCTTTAGTAAGCACCTAGTTTACTATCATGTAATGTATTCACCTGTAATCGTCTATTGTATGAGCACAGAGCAGCCATAATTTGTACCTACTTCCTATGTGATGCTCCTGAAGGGTTAAACTATTCTAAATAGATTTTTTCTGGCTAGTAAAAAAGGTGAACATAAACGAACGAAAAAAGGATCCCATGTCCCATGCCTATGGGTTCCTTTTTTTATTCGTTAGCTAAAAGGGAGTTAGTATAAAAAGAAGGGAAACTGCATAACTGATTTAAATTAAACTTTACTGGTGAATAGAGGCATCCAGTGATAGGCTATGTCGCGGTAAGACGAGAGCGAAGCGACCGTTGATTGTGTTAAATAAAATAGAAAATTATTTCCAATTATTTTTAATATATTGTATTATTTGATGCAGTCCTTCTTTACCAGCTGTGCCATTTAGAAATTCCATTTCTACATTTATTTGTTTGTCTTTAATATACATTTTCATAATGCCTTGGACTACAATTTCTTTTTTATTGTTTATTGATTGTGTACTTGACGTTTGCTCCTTATTAACTAAGCCGACCAGATTTTTTTCTTTTGTGTTGATGAATACAGTTGCGGAATTCGATTCTGTTGAAGACATTTCTGTATTACTTTTTTCACTACTTAAATTACTTTCTAAATCAAGTTTAGGTTGTTTGGTGTTGTCTTCTGTTAATCGTTTTTGAAGTCTTCTTTTGCGTCGTTGATTTGACCATGTATTAGAGTGAGCAAAAATATTAAGAATTATTTCATTCTTTCTTCTAGTTATTATTTTAAATATTATTTTTAAGTTTTGTAAAATACTTTTTAACTTTTCAAAGCTTTCATCCATTTCATTTTTAGTAGCTGGTAATTCTGGTAACTTAAAAATAATTGGTGTACTCTTCTTGTGAGATTTATCTTTTGGTGCAACTGAAAATATACAATGTGTAGTTTAATTTTTATTATTATTTAATAGTGCAATAATTTAAAAGCAAAAAGTAACGCCTGCGTGTACAAATAAAATATGTATATTTTTTTTGAACTTTTCATTATCATGATTAGGGGCCATTTATTAATTACGTAACCTACATACATATTCATTCCATAATGTGCACTTCGATTTACATCTTATTTTCCAAATTTTTATTATTGTTTATTAAAATTTCAAAATCTTTACTAAAATAAAACTGCAGAGGTCGAATGTCTGTACATAGAAAAATTTTTACTTAAATCCGAGTCAGGGGGATGTAAGAAGAGAAATAGAACAAATCCAGTCTTTTTCTAATTTTTTGTTTCTCTGTCTGTTTGTCTGTTTGTACGGGCTAATCTTTGAATCTATTGGACCAATTTAAATGAAATTTTGCATGGTGGTACATTATATCCCCGGTAAACATCTTAGATTCTTTTCAACCCGGAAAATTAAAGAGCTCCCGTGGGATACTTAAAAAACTATAGTAACTTATACAGCTTAGTACACAAAAACTACTGATTGGATTTGAATGACACTTTACAATAATATAGTTCATACATCAGAACAATAAAAAGGCTACTTTGTATCCCGGAAAAATGTACGGTTCCCGTGGGATAAACTTGTTTTTGTTTGTCTAGAGGCGATCCCGAGCGAAGAGAAGGTGACCTGCTAATCTTAAATATGTTCATTTTCATTATTTATAAGATAGCAATGATAGAGTCTTCTTCTTCTTCTTCTCCCTGCCCATTTCCCAAATCACTTGGGGTCGGCGCAGTACATCTTCAGTGTACTGCTGATAGGATTTGGCAAAAGTTTTACGACCGGCCGCCTGCCTGACGTCAACCCTCCTTGGGAATCAACCCAATGAGGGTAGAGTAAATAATAAACAGCAATGATAGAGTATAACCTAAATTATCTGCTAAAAAATAAAAATCTTTGGTTTACGTCAAGTTTTAGTGTAAGTGATCCTTTTCTAACAATGTTTTATTATTATTATTCAGAAAAACGAGATTGAAAGGGGGAGTTCGAGAAATCTTATGTATCCTTACATGGGGGTAGAGGGAGGGGGGTCAAAATCATCCTTACGTAATTAATGAATGGCCCTTTACTATAATTTAATTTTTTGAATAACAATGATAATAATGATTCTGATGGCCAACTTCGGCCACGACAGATAATCTTATTGAGACTAGTAATCCATGCAGGAGATATTATACTGCACAAATACACGCACAAACACAAGTGCACTCTGTATTCAAGCAGGTCCCATAGAGGCACACCTCAAAGCAGATGTAAGCATGTGTGAAACACCACCAACTTCTCAACTCCAGGCGGTTACTGAGATTTTTTTGCCAGAAATACACAATAACTACACTAAGCCTACCCTGGGATACTGATCAGTGGCCATACATGCTAGCTACTAGAACACTGAAGCAGTTAAAAGTTTTTGAATAATAAATCACAAATCAAATAAAATAATCAAATCTGTATCTAATATATTTAAACGAGCAATTCTTGTTCTGTTCTAGTTTTATGTCTGGGAAAATGCGTGTTTTCGAGTTATCATGCGGTTTTGTTTCTTATTCCAAGCAAAATATGGTCGCTAATTCGCACTCTAGGACATAAACATCGTGGTCAAGCGGCCAAGGCGCAAGTGTAACAACCACAGGTGTGGGTTCGTAGCTCGGTTGGATACAAATTTTTTACTTTTTTTTTGTATTTATTCAAGTTTTTAGTTTTTTTTTTAAATATGTACTCCAGGGTAAAAACTCCGAGCGAAGCTCGGTAGCCCAGGTACTGTTATATATATTTCAATAATACAAAACAGTTGATACAGACCTATTTGAGAGAAATCATAATCTTGATATGTCCATGCTAAGCCCCATCGTGTTACTCGACCTTGACAAAATTCTGTTGTTGTATGCTTGATTCCTTCAGCTTTTAAATCAATCACTAGTTCTTTTAAGTTGTATTTGTGACCAACCATACTTGTGTATATTCTGCGAAATAAATGCTAATAAAAACATTTTCATTAAAGGTTGTGTGTTTTAATAAATTTATTAGGAAAGAACTCACAGTATTTGATTTTTATATTTTTTACTTTCTTCAATCATTTTTCTACAAAAGTGTAGCTCTCCACCTTCAGTTATTAGTTCATGTGGGGATCCCGTAAAACCATTTTTAGGGGCAGGCCTATAAAAAAATTAATTCATACATTCTGAGGTTAAGTTATAAAAACATAATATTATAGAGTTATAAGATTACCTAGCTGGGCTACGAGATTCCCAAAGTTCTTGAATGTTAGTGTAAAATGGTGGATTACACATACAAAAATCAAAATTTTGTATATTTTTCTCCAGAAACAGATATTCTATCACTGATGATGTTGTATTCTTTTTCACTGCAATTTACATATTATTCTGCAATTTGTTTGACACTGAAACATGAATTACTCGCCAAAACTGATTCAGAATTCAAATATACATTTATATTTACAGTCTTAGTAAATTTTAACACATTTTAGGATTTTTTATAATAATTCACAATATATATGTTGGTTGGCACAAAAGTTTTAGTGATGTAAGTTACTTAATTAAAATAGGCTTATGAAAATTAAAATAACACTTACATTCTATGAGGTGTTGTAAATTATTCTTAAATACATTCTCTTTGGCTATTAATATACTTCCTTCGTCAGTTTCTGTTCCAACCATTTGCCATTTATTTTTAACAGCAGCTAGTAAAGGATATATAGCACATGCTCCTGTACCTAAAAATTGCACACACATGAACAAGACATTCCACAGTTTTATAATAATAGTTTTTTAGGTTAAACTCTTACAAAATTATAATATTAGAAACCTACCAATATCAAGTCCCCAGATTAAGTCCTTTTTATTAATAACAGTCATCAAATCTTCAATCCACAATATGTAATTAAGTCGTAAAGGAAGTGTAGGTACTAATCGATCATTTGGAATAATTACATCAAGATTAAAGTCTGATTTCAATAAACATTTAGTTAAAATTCTTAATGCTTTTGGATCCTTAAAATCAATATTAACTTTTCCAGTAACATCCTTAAAAAAAATTAGCATTGACTGTGAATGTAAATATAAAATAAGTATACTTAGAATTTTTAAATAAAAAAAATTACCACTTTTGATACTTCCGAAAACTCCTTGTAATCTTTTGCTAATTTAGAAAAATCTGGAGGAGTTTTATATATATTACGGGGATGCATAAATTTATTTAATGCCATTATTAAGATTTAGGCCGATTTTCTATTAAAGCTTATCACATAAATAAATTGAGTAAAAATTAAAACTTTTTTTGGTTATGATCACAAACTAAAATAGTAATTTTTTATTTAAATTTAGTTCTGGATATTAGATATGACATAGTCACAGTTTAAGGAGACTAAACAATATACTTTCGGTATATTTAACTTTATATTACTTTATGAAATATAAATTGTAAATAGATGATATTTGTTGTTAACAGGTGAAGTTTGAACCATTTGTCATCCATGGTTTGAACATTCAAAATTGAAATTTTATGTAGTTGTAGTGCTGCCAGTGCCAATATTTGAAATTTAAAACCCCTAAAATCACCTAAATAACAATTTAAAAAATATAGGTTTTTATCTATTTTTTTTATTTATAATTTTTTTTATTTGAAATGATTACAAATTGCCTACAAAACTTATTTATGATTATTATTATAATTACATATAACCATTAAAAATAATAATTAATTCCATAGATAACTTAGAAAATAAAAAAGGGATATTATTTTTAGAAGTCTTTAACCGAAACTTTATGAACCCCAGAACCCTAAATATTTTTCCCACCTTAAAATTGCCGGTGCCATTTTTTGACCACTGGTAACTTACCAGCACAAACGCAGAAATGTTACCAATTATGACATATGGCATTTTGCGTTTCACCACTAGATGTCATATTTATTATAAAATAATTCAAAAATTAAAATAGTTAAAAAAAAATTCAAAAAGTTTAGAAATGACAAAATTAAGAATATTGTGCTTCGTTGTTCATCATTAATTTAATAACCACAGATAACACATAAGTTAGTTATTAAAAAAACCGTTTGTTTTCAAATAAAAAGAAGTGTAAAAGTTATTTATGTAAATAAGTCATGCTATTAAAGAAAAAAAAAAAAAGCCCCTAAACTTTTTTACCCCTAAATTTGGGGGAAAACTCCTAAGTTGGCAGCACTGATTTTATGTACAGACTAGAGCATAGAGGAAACACAGAATAATACTATGACCACAGACTACAACTACCAGCAGACTACTACTGACTACAATCACTACAACTATGACAGAGGACCATAAATTTAATTTCCGTAGTTTTATTCTCTATTCGAAATTTCCATAGACAATTAGCGATAGATAATATTGAAATGCCAATGATACTAACGTTTTCGGTTTTGCTCTTTACATTCGTAGTTTAGTCTTTGGTATTTACTCCATTTTGGTGAATTTGTGTAAGCGCGTAAACGGTAATAGTATTAGTTTATTAGAATTTGTAGTCTCAAAGTTTAACCGTTTTATAAAACTAGTTCATCAAGTCAATTTTAAAGTTTCGTAGTCTAAAATGGTGGATAGAATCGACATGGCTTTGGACGACATTATTAAAGCAAGCAAAAAAGGAAGATCAGGAGGCGGAGGGGCTGGAAGAAAGTTCGATGTAAAAAAATCTGGTCGCGGTGGTGGTGGTGGTTTTCGTAACGGCCGCTCAGGTGGTGTGTTGCGAGGCCGAAATCGCGGCGTTGTATCAAAGCCTACTAATTACACAAGGGTAAATCGAATAAAAATAATAACTTGATTATACAATTTGCAATATGGCGGAACAACGTGGTGAAATGACGCGTCAAGTGCATATCCCTCCTCGTACAATCATCTGTAAGATAGTTAAAGCACAGGGAAAATTACCATGAAGTTGTAGGTTATGTTAACAATTAAATGTCTGAACAAGATATTTTAATATATTATCATGTTCGTACGAAATCATGCATAGTCACTTCTAAATATTTGTCCTTTGTTCTAAATATGGAGATTTGGCATTCTTTGTATTGTTGTTCTACTTCTATTATACTGGATGCGCGCTGTATGTTGGACTCGGATGTCTTATCTGCGGTTGCTATACATCAGTGAGCAACATATTAGAAGACTTTGCCATTTAACAACTTCTTGTTGCGGATGCGGGCGAGGCTATTATACTACTCATTCCTTGAAGTAACGATTGCTCCATTACTGTTGTGGTGATTATTGTATGCTGTTCATGGATTGGGGACTATTTGGCTAGTCATAGCTGTGTTAAACATGGATAATATAACTTAGTGCTTGATGTAAAAGTGCAGTGTCAGTGATGAAATATAAAAATCTGTAATTAAATGAAATATTAATATATATCTATATATGCCAAAATGTAACATGTATACAATCTTTTGTATTTTGTATTATGTTTCAATGTTGTGAATAGAACATGTACAACTTAAGTTTGCTAATTATTTTGAGTGTATACTCAAAGAAGCTGCAGCGGGCAGTTGGCATGATCTATGAAGGACAACCTATTTCAGGGTGATGTAAACAGCACATGGAAACATGACATGTTCAATGACTTCAATGATAGGAAGATACAAAGGACTGCTCCTATCACAACGGGGCCAACTAAACTCCTTGTATCAAATTTGGATTTTGGAGTTTCAGACTCTGATATTCAAGAACTATTCTCAGAGTTTGGCATTTTAAAAAGTGCAGCTGTACATTATGACCGATCTGGAAGATCATTAGGTAAACAATTTTTTATGTTTTGTATTTCTGCAATCTCACAGTAGTAGTATCCTTCTATTTAAAGTATTTTATAAAGAGTGAAATAAATAAATAATATAAATAAATATTTCTAAATTCATTCAATAGGTGTTTTTCAAGAGGAAAGTAAGATTAATAACCAATTTAAAATGTAAGTGATAAACAAAAAATAAAAGTTGAAATTATTTTATAAAATAGGAACTGCAGATGTAGTATTTGAAAGGAGAGCAGATGCTTTGAAAGCCATGAAACAGTATAATGGAGTACCACTAGATGGGCGTGCAATGAATATACAACTAGCAACATCAGAAATTAGTACATTTAGAAATGAAGAAAGAAGTAGACCTGTAGGTGGAGGACCTGTCCGTAGAAATTCAAATAGAGGTATAGTTATATTATCTTAATTGTATAGATTATTCTTATGTAATTAACTATCTAGCATACACTTAATATTTTTTTTAAATAATGTTGAACTAAGTTACTGTATGATATATATAGCTATTTATAATTATATACACCAGAATCCTTTATATTGAGCTATAAATTATCATTATATCATGTTTGGTATGAAAATATTAATCTTATGGTTTCAAGCTTAGTGACACATCTTCTTCTTCTGCCTGCCCATTTCCCAATCACTTGGGATCGGTGCAGTACATCTTCTGTACTGTTGGTAGGACTTGGCAAAAGTATTACAATTGGCCCCCTGCCTGACGTCAACCCTCCTTGGAATGCTATTGTTTATTGCGGAAGTCTTGTCGTTCTTTCGATTTTGTTGTCTTTTTGTTGAAGCTTATTGACACATGATATTTAATAAATCATTATGATGTTATCAAACAAAATATTTTAATATTGGCAGGTGGTGGAAACAGACCTCAAGGTGGTAGTGGTCGTGGAGGCGGTGGTGCAAGACGAGGTGGTCGTGGCAATGGAGCGACACGTGGCAAACGACCTGTCCCTACAGCTGAACAATTAGATGCAGAACTTGATGCTTATGTTAAAGAAATAAAGTGATCAAGCTTTACTAAACCTTATTATAAATATGACATAGTTGTAAGATATTACTAGTAAGTTGAAAATTAAAACATAAATAAATTTTTGGTTTCCGTAATCTACAACAAGGTTATCAGTTTTGACTATATCATTGAAGATTATCTGAATTGATAGTAATAAATAACATATTTTTGAATAAAAGAATGACTAAAAATATTTTTGTTTTCATTATAGTACACTATTCTTATTACATTCAGCCGTTCATTGTTCCGGGATGAAAAGTAACCTGTTGTTTGACCGGCAATGTAAGGTATCAGCATGCCAAATTTTACTTTAGGTGCATAAGTTGTTTTGTACTAAGCTGTATAAGTTAACTATAGTTTTTTGACTATCCCACGGGAACTCTTTAATTTTCCAGAATGAAAAGTATCTTATACGTCGACCGGAGATATACAGTACGACCATGCAAAATTTCATTTAAATCGGTCAATAGTTTCGGAGATTAGCCCGTACAAACAGACAAACATCCAGAGAAACAAAAAAATTAAAGAAAACTGGATTTGTTCTATTTCTCTTTTCGGGATGTAAGAAGAGAACACTCGGTTTTTAGCATTTTTTTTCTAACCTCTACAATTTTATTATATGTATAAATAGAATAAATAATGTATAATAAAACAGTAATATATAATAATGAAAATAGTTATAGCGAGTGTACCTTAGGAGATAGGCATATACTATGTATAACTTTATAGAGACTAGACTTACAATTTTCTTGCACAATGTTTTGATCTATCTCTTAAGGTTGAGCCAACGTTAGCCATATACATTTCTAGGGACGCTTCGATAGAACCAGAGTTATTGTGTTTTCCCATGGAAATGAATAATTTGCCTGTCGTAAAAGGTATCCTAAATGTTGACCCGAGTACTAAGTTTTATCACTATACAAAATTTAGTTAAAATCGGTAGAGTATTGTTTGCGTGAAACGCGCACAACGATTTGACTAAGTTAGTTTTATTATACGTATAAATATATATATATATATATATATATATATAGATAGGAGATAGACATATACAATTCAGGACTTTTCAAGACCTACAATTTTTAGTATATTGTTTTAATGTATGTATGTCTTAAGACTTAGCCAGCGAAAGGTTTCTAGGGTGGACTCTATAAAACCAGTTATTGTATTTTCCCGTGGGAAAGAAAGATTTTCTTGAAGTTAAAGGTATCTAGGCAGTGGTATCCCAGTGGTAACGCGTTCGCTTGGGAAACCGAGTGAAGCAAGTTTAAAGCCCGGGTCTCGCACTTCTGATATTTTCATGTGCGAATCATTTCTAACACAATTACCACTTGTCTTAACGGTGAAGTAAAACATCGTGAGGAAACCTGCATGTCTGAGAGAACCTAGCAAGTTTTCAAAAGACATGTGAAGTCCGCCAACCTGCACTTGGCCAGAGTGGTGGAATATGGCCTAATCCCCCTCGTACTGAAGGGAGGCCCGTGCCCAGCAGTGGGACGTTAAAAGGGGCTGAATACATACATACATACAAAAGGTATCCTAAATGTTGACTCGAGTAATAAGTTATTACTTCACCAAATTTCGTTGAAATCGGTACATTACTTTTCGCGTGAATTGCTCACGCAAAAACAGACAGACAATTTTTTTAATAACTATTGTTTTGGGGTCTATGTTGTGTACATAATACGTTACAAATAAACAAAAACATCTATCCCACGGGAACAGTACATTTTTCCGGGATAAAAAGTAACCTATTTGTTATTCTGATGTATGAACTATATATATTACTGTAAAGTTTCATCAAAATTTAATCAGTAGTTTTTGTGTACTAAGCTGTATAAGTTACTTTAGTTTTTTGACTATCCCACGGAAACTCTTTAATTTTCCGGGATCAAAAGTAGCTGATTTGTTTTTGTCATGTATGAACTATATTATTGTAGTTTCATTAAAATCCAATCAGTAGTTTTTGTATACTAAACTGTATAAGTTGTTATAGTTTTTTAACTATCCCATGGGAACTTTCATTTTCCGGGATGAAAAGTATCTAAGATATTGCCCGGGGATATAAGGTACCACCATTTTCTTTAAATCGGTCCAATAGATTCGGAGATTAGCCCGTACAAACAGGATAACAGACAAACAGCTCGCTCGGGTTCGTCCATACCTACGAATATGTTGTATTATCTCTTTAACCATTTGTCCAAATTATAAGCAGTAAAAGGGAAAAGTCTTTTGTTTTAAACATTTTAGACGATAAATTTATTTATTTTGATAAGAATTCATAATTGTTGATAATATGACCAATAAACATGACCTACAGATTTAAATTATTTTTTTAATATATAAAACTACTTTTTGTGACTTAAATATAAAAGTTAGACTTATGCTGTCGCTGACTTTATTGTAGACATTATTAAGCTCTACAACTTTTCTCTAGAACAAAATCATATATCTCTCATCGTTAAGGCAGCGTTCGTAAGAAACGTTTTCGTTCGACCGTTTTTTCGCCGACTTACTTTGCAAATCCGAGTACCACGAAAAAGCCTTTTCATTCTTCGGGTTAATATATAGCCTATGACACTCAGAAAGAACGTGGCTTTCTATCGGTAAAAGAATTTTGAAAATCGGTTCGGTAGATCCAGAGATTACCCCCTACAACATCACAAACTCACAAGATCACAAACTTTACCTCTTTATAATATTAGTATAGACTAGCGACTTACCCTTGCTTCGCTCGGGTATGTCCTTAGAATTGCTTACCCATACAAACTTTCATCCCCTTAAGGGATGATTTCCGGAATAAAAACTATCCTGTCCTTCCCAGGGTCTCAAACTATCTTCTTAGCAAATTTCATTTAAATCGGTTTAGTACTCGTAGATCTACAGATTACCCCCTCGTCACAAACTCGCAAACTTTACCTCTATAATATTGCATAGATATTATTTTTATATTTACTATATTTTTTTGTTTTTCCTGTATTTACATATTAATATTCAATAATATATTTAAAAAAAAACACTTGAAAGACCTTCAAGTTAATCAAATAGCTATAAACAGATCCCTAAGCCATTTTTTAAGAAAATGATAACTTCCTGAGAAGCTTTGCTTTAACAATTTGGATGATTGTCATTTTAGTTACAAGTCATTAATTCTATTCCATTTCGAATCTATGAACAAAAAAATATTTAAGCCGTTTAATTGGAAATTATAGATGATCGGATATTTTTTAATTTTTTTATTCTCTGGTGACAATCCTAACTAGTGTTGCCCATCGATAGTCGACTATTGATAGCATATCAATAATTAATCGATAGTGACCGATAAAATATCGGTAGGTCTTTCGATATTATCGATAGATGGATATATGACAATACTATTGTTAGACCACAATACTGTCGATAGTATTGGTGCTCACAAATCAAACTATTGATAGTATCGATTCTACCGATACTATTGATAATTTATAATTCATTAGCAGCAATATTATTGATAGTATAAATATCATTGCCCTTCGTTAATAGTATTGTCTCATTTCGAGCTATCGTTAGTAGGGCTGTTTTAGATGAAAACTATCGATAGTGAAACTATCGATAGTTCGGCAAGACTGATCCTAACTAAATAGGCTTAAACTCACTTTAAACCACGCTATTTTTTTTATTACTTTCATATTTGGCGGGTTCTGTTTATCTTATTCTATAATCTGAATACGTCCAGCAATCTTGGCCTGAGGTGATGAGGACTAACGTATAAATTTCATTTACGCATTTTTTAACCGTCGCCGGTGCAAATAGTTCATAAGAAAAATTATGGGCATAGATAGAATAAATGCCCTCGCTTTATTGTCTAATGAAATCCAATTAGTGCAAGAAATTGATTAAGATGACAAACGACGTTTTCGCGCGAATCACAGCCAAGAAGAACAAATGAATGTGATCAGTGTTAATTAAAAAAATATTATACAAAGTTGCATGTAAAATTCAACAAATAGTAAATTTAAATCTATCGCAAATAGGGCGGTATAGCAAACGGGGCTTCGAGCTTAAATCTACTTACCCACATTAGATAGGTATGTAACGCTTACTATGTTACATGGCTGTATTAAAGACCCATTTTTAAGCTTTTTTTCTTATTATATTCGTCATTAATTTTATTTATTTCTAAGGTATGGTTGTTTATTAATTTTATTAAATGCATTTACTAAGTAGTCTCCATAATCTGTGGTCAACAATATGAATGTCAGCCGTCACCGTGACACCGTCAGCCGTCAGGTAATAGGCATAGGTTAAATGTCAAACAGTAAACCGTATTTTCAATTTGTATGCTAACGAGCGTTTTTAAAAAGTATATTATAATTAAATTAATTAAGAAAGATGACTGTAGGAGAAGTTGGAAAAAATTTACCATGGTATGTGTGTTTATTTTATTACTATTTAAAATAAATAAAGAATGCTTGATCTATGAAGTTGGAAAAAAAGTTGTGTTTTCAAAATAATGTTTTTTTTATAGGGTAGAGAAATATCGTCCCTCGAAATTAGAAGATCTTGTGTCTCATGATGATATTATTCAAACAAGTAAGGAGTCATCGTCTTAATTTATCATAACATTTCTAATCATGAATATGCTTATTATTTTTTTATTATTTCTAATTTCTAATTGAACGAGGGCTACTCCACTCTTCCGCAATTGTCACCTCCACATGTCAATTGTCATTATGTGTTTATTGTAAAACTAATAAATTAAATTTAAAAAAGAAGTACAACAAATCCCCATTGTTTATAGCCAACAAACTTCATCTCTTAATCACCATTTTATTGTAAGCTACATCTAGGTTTTACCTAGATTTTAGGGCTAGTAGCCTATATGTTAATGTCTTAAGTTAATCTATAGTAACTCACAAAATCTTACATAATATACAACACAAATGTGATGAGAAAAAAGTCTCCACTTTATATTGACTTAAAGTAAAAAAATAACCCTAATACTTGTAATACTTTTTTAATTTCCTCATATTATGTAAGTTCTGTTCTTCTTTGTAATTGTTTATGTTTATTTAAAACAATGACTGACATATTGTGTACAGAATACAGACCCCAAAACAACCCATTTATTACAATTTTTGTCTGTCTGTATGTCTATGGGTAAAAAGTACTGAACAGAGTTTAACAATATTTTGTGTTGTGATAACTTATTACACAAGTCAACAGATACCTTTTAATACAGGAAAACCTTTCATTCCCATGGGAAAATGCAATATCACAACTGGTTGTATCAGATCGTCCTTAGAAATTTACATGGCTAATGATGGCTGAACCTTATGAGATACATCAAAACAGTGTACTAGAAAATTGTAGGTCTTAAAAAGTGCTACAAAAAAGTCTGCTATAGCATATGTGTGTCTCCTAAGGTAGACTTGCAATAATTATTTATATCCATTTAAAATGTAACCTAGGGACACCCCAGTTAAGCGAGGGTAAATTGCTAGTAATTAATAAATAGTACTTAAATTTGTACAGTCAATCAATTTATGAAAGAAAATCAACTGCCACATCTGCTGTTTTATGGTCCACCCGGTACTGGTAAAACATCTACTATCCTAGCATGCGCCAAACAAATGTATACTCCACAACAATTTAATTCTATGGTAAGTGTTCCTTTCGTATTATTTTTTTTATTTTAAAAACACTTTTCATACTCACTACATTACATATTGTTGTGTAAAATGTGAAATTATCAAGTACTTTTTCATGATATAGGTCTTAGAATTAAATGCATCTGATGACAGAGGAATAGGCATTGTGCGAGGTCAGATTCTAAGTTTTGCATCAACAAGAACTATATTTAAAGCAGGACCAAAACTAATAATACTTGATGAAGCTGATGCTATGACAAATGACGCCCAAAATGCTTTACGCCGAAGTAAGTTTAGTATATGTAGTATGTTTTTCAAATATATACTGTGTTGTTGGTCTGTTGTTAATGTTTACGGCCACGTTTGGTTATGTTTAGTTTTTCTATGAGATGGCCAATTGGCAATGCTACAACTCTTACGTGTTCTACTTTTCTCAAAGCCTGCTTGGAGAAAGTACTTGATGACTAGATGACTACTTTGATCGTGTAAACGAGCAATCAAAGCGCATTTTATGTCGGCGTTCAATCAAAGTGGACTTTATCAAAGAGAACTTCGTTTCAAAACTTTTAGTCAAAGCAAACATTGAGCGTGTCAATAAGTATCCAAGTAAACTTTGATCGAAGCCACTTTGTCAAAGCAGACTGAGCGTGTCAACGCAACTTAAGGCAATTATTTCAAAGTACCTGGGCGACCGACCTTTGCTCGGAGTTTTTGGCCAAAAGTACTTGAATAAATTAAAAAATAAATAAAGTAGAAACTTGTAACAGACTGAAATTCGAACCCGGATACCTGTGATTGTCAATCTTGCGCTGTGGCCATGATGCTTATGTCCGAGCGTGCGAAAATAGCGAAATACTTTGCATGGAATAATGCATAAGAAATCCGCATGAAAACTCGAAAACACGCGTTTTCCCAGCCATAAGAATAATCTACGAATCGAAAACCTCCACATACCAAATTTCAGCGATATCGTTAGAGCCGTTTCCTAAATCGCTGGTACGTATAGATAAATAAATATACAAGAATTGCTCGTTTAAAGGTATTAAATAGATAAATATAGTATTCTCTGATAGAACACCTGGACCCGACGTATGGTGAACGAGCGATGACTCCATTATTGGTTATCTTGTAAATTGTAGGTAATATGTTACTATAGTAACTGAAATAAAAACAAACCATAACTTTGGTTATTATATCAAACAATACGCAGTAATTCGACTTTTTTCTTTTTAAATTAAGATTTGCATAAATGTTTTAACGTGTACTAAATGATGTCTGATACTGAAGAAGAAGATAATATTGGGAAGTGTGTTAAAATTTCTCTTGTTGGAGATCCTCTCACTGGAAAGGTAAGTAATAATCTACGTAACATGTTAAAATTGTTGTTAAACATGTTACATGTTTATTATATTAATAAAATTTATTGACCATTATCAATTAAGTGTTAGAAACTCGAACTGAGTTATAAATTATAATTTAAGGACGATGAAATTATATACATTTAATTTTAGCACAACGATTATAACTAACTTTTCAATTCGATATGAATTGCATGCATAATGGATAATGGTTCTGCAATTTGCATGTCGTTCTAAAATGACTACCGTTTTACCTTTATTCAACTACCAGGGCGCAAAGTCACGCAACCAAGTGCTTAGTACTTACGTAACTTAAGTAGTTTTACTTTACAAATCAACTTCCTACACGGTAAAGACCATGGTGGGTTAAAGATGATTTTAAAGTTATGATTATTTTTTATAGATTATTAACACCTCCAGGTAAATTTCTAAGAAATTAATTAAAATTCTAAGAAATCTATTGTTAACTGACACGCCGGCGTGTCCGCGGTCGTGGAGAGAATAATCAAACCTCAAAGGAACATACTAAAATGTATTATAGATAGAACTATAATATTACTAATAAAATTTAACCGATTTTAATTTTTAAGTTGGTATTACACGATTTTAGTTGTATAACCGGTATACAGAAAATTTTACTAGTAATATATCCGTATGTAATGTTTGGTATCAGAGTAGTATATGTAACCGGTACGTGGGCGGCACGGGGTTGGCCGACAGCACGCAGGGCGCGGCCGTGCTGGCGGCGCAGTGGGCGCGCACGCCGGTGCAGCTGTGCGACGTGGCCGGCGCCGCGCTGCACACCGCCATGCTGCCTAATTACTTGTACGCCTCTGATGTTAGTCTTGTTTGTGCATTTGTATTATAATCACACCATTATTATGCTATGGGTCATATTTTATTATAATAAAAATGCGTGTATTGTAAGAAATTATTGTAACTTTAATTGAAGTTGGGAAAAAGTTAAGTTGCTTATATTACTTATATATTACTATATTTATAATATAAATATTTAAATTCGACTACTACTAAGCCAATAGTTTAGTTTGAGAAAAAATGCAAATGGAATTTTTTCCTTAATAACCGTGATAGTTAAATTACAATTTCTTTTAGATTATAATATATGTCTACGATCTTACAAACTTACAAAGTTTCGATAATATAAATATATGGATAAAGAAAGTGAAAGAAATTTTCAAGACTGAAGCGAAAAAACCGCTGATGGCTTTGTTTGGAAATAAATCCGATTTAGAGCACCAACGGGCAGTTAGATTATCTTGCGTGCAAAAATTAGCTGCTGAACATCTTCTGGACAATTTTAAAGGATCTGCCAGGACAGGGGAAATGGTAATCAAAGTTGTTCATAATATTAGTTCTCATAAAATATATTAAAAATAATTTCCAAATTATTTTTTATTTTTTCAGATTGATGTGACATTTACGAAATTAATTTCACGAGTATTAGGCATCAAGATGCCTTTAGAAATAACATCTCATAAGAAATTACTAGAAAATCAAGTAAAACTGGAACAGATAAGTGAACCACCGACGCCAGAACCTACGAATCTTATAATGAGTAGGAAGGTTTTGAGAAAAGTTCAACGAAAAGCTTCCTCTTCCGTGTGTTCTGTACAATAAAAAATTGTTAATAATAATATGATTTCTTTTGCCTGTACCAATACTTTCTATTAACCTTAAAATATGTAGTACATGTGTACAATTATCAATTAATTTTTTTAAGGTTTAGTAACAATTCCGAATTTATATTCAGGTTAGGTTTAACAAATAAACGAACGCAACTAATTGTAATTTCGATAATTATATAGTAAAAAAAATTGAAATCTATTGTTTTACTTCTCTTTAAATTTGTTAAAAAAAAATCAAACATTCACAACAATATTCGGGTAATTGCGCAGTAATAGAGAAGTACACGGACAACGTGCGGTTCTGCATAATATGCAACTACCTCGGCAAGATCATCCCGGCGCTGCAGTCGCGCTGCACGCGCTTCCGCTTCGCGCCGCTACAGCAGAACCAGATAGTGCCGCGCTTGAAGGATATCGCCGAGAAAGAGAAGTGAGTGCGCTTTATATTTGTTATTTTCTAGGTTAGGTATAGAGAGGTCGTGGCTTGGACTCCCACTCAAGGCAAATGATTTTATAGCCTTATAACTGTTTACCATAAGACGAATCTGACCGCAGCGAGGGTGCGCCACCAGTTATTTCTATTTTTAAGTGTTTTCTCTATAAATATTTCACATTTTCCTTTAAAAGTGACTCTTATTGAACAGTGTTAAAATATCCGAGGATGGTATAAAGGCACTATTGACACTATCGGGCGGTGACATGCGCAAGGTGCTCAACACGCTGCAGAGCACATGGCTGGCGTACCGTGACGTCACCGAGGACAACGTGTACACATGCGTGGGACACCCGCTCAGATCAGACATTAATTTCATACTAAATTGCCTTCTGAACGAAAACGATTTCTCTGCTTGTTTTAAAAGTATCCTTTTTAAATTTTGTCACCGTCATGTGTCAATCATCATATCCTACGTAGCCTAGATGATCGATAACCCACAAATATACTTCACTTCATAAAATCAAAATAATTAATATTCTTCATAAGGGTGCCTCATAAGAAAAGGTTCACAATTGAGATCATTTTAATATACCTAATTAACATTTTGCTTAGTTTAAAATATAATTTATAAATTATTAAGTAAGATAAAAAATTTAATTAAAATATTTATAAATTATTAAGATTAAGTAAGATGAGGTAAGTATTATTTACTAAGAATAATTTTCAAGTACGAAATAATTCCTCAACGTTGTATACAGAAATCCAAGACCTCAAGATCGCCAAAGGCTTAGCGCTGGGTGACATATTGACTGAAGTACACACTATAATACAGAGAGGTGAAAATCATATTTAATAATGTATATGATTTAAATTATTTTATACTTAGCATTAACCTTATCATTCAGCCCGCTTTAATATCAAACTGTTGGCCACGGGATTTTCCCCAATCAGACCGTAGTCCACCACTCTGGTCGTTCGTCGACCTATGCAGGGTGGGTGAACTTCGCGAGTCTTTCAAAATCTGGGCTCTCGCAGATTGATAAGTTTTCTCGCGAAGGTTTTATTCACTTCTTTTGAATGTAGGTACCTATCGTTTGAAAACAACTCTATAAAATGCTATTTTTCTAATTATTCTCTTGTGTTTTATTCACGATTTTATTATGTTAATTTTTTATTAAGCTATTGCATAGCTTCTATCGCGGGCCTTGAGCGTGGGGACCGAATCCAGAAATTCCGTAACGAAAAAACCTGACACCCCCCACTCCGACCGGCACAGCGGTGATACTTTTTAGTTTTTCCATCTATCGATAAATACCAGAACTTTTAATGACTTTTTGAAATATCACGCTTGTCTCTTTAGTTCAGGAACCCGCCTTTAGGTGGCATTGGTTGTATTGGAAAACTACCGTAATCAGCTGTTTGTGAGAAAGTTTATTTTTTTTATGAGCTAGTGCCATCTTGTATAAAAACTACGAACTAGCTGTCTTATGCTACTTTTATTCACAGCTATAAGAATATGGTCACTAGATGGCGCAACAAAACAAAATAGTAGTTTGATATTTATGTTTTAAGTCACGTTTGACGACACGCTTGGCTCAGTTTGTAGTGACCCTATTTTCTGTGCCTGCGGTCGCGGGTTCGAGTCCCGCTGGGGGCATTCATTTGTGTGTTGTCGAATGTTTGTACTCCAGTCATGGGTGTTTATATTTATAATATGTATGTATTTAAAGTTATATATGTGTAGTGTATCAACTATCTGGTATCCATAACACAGGCCTCGTAGCTTACCATGGAACTAGATGGCGTGAAATACTAATAAAATAAATAAATAATTATAATTGCATAAGTTGATAAAAATGCTATGCAATACCTTTACCGCGGCAGTCTCCGAGTGCCACATTTAATTTTATTTGGGGGATGCTAATCATATCAACAGTTTTATAACATTTTCTAATCATATTGGATTAATTATTAATATAATATATTAATTATTATCGTAGGTCTGTTTGAATTTCATTTTTAAACCACTAGTTATTTATATAATAATAATAAATTTTACGTGTTTCAGTAAAATTCCCACCGGGAGTGTTGATATCATTATTAATCAAGATGGCGGACTCAGAGGCGCGCCTCGCTAGCGGCTGCAGTGAACGAATCGAACTTGCCGCACTTATTTCCGCCTTTCAATTATGCAAGGATCAAATCGACATCGACTCACTTAATACGTAAATGAAATCGATTATAGCGTGTGATACTATAAGTTCTATTTTGTATTTGTGCTTTTAAATAAATGTTCGTTAAACTTAATTTAAGTGTTTTTTGTTATGAAGGTAACCTGTTAATTGAATATTACGAATACGGGTACACAAACCCGTATCTACAGACTGAGAGGAACGTTAAAATCATATTGTCTTTTACGGCAAAGAGATATTAGATCTTTTTAAGGTACAGGTACATCGATTATAAAAATACAGTCATAATATTAAGTCATTTTTTATTTCAAAATATAATCCTTTTACATTTGAACGTAAATATAACTTATAATCTAGTATATTTACAAAATTTAATTAAAATATTTAATTTTATAAATAATTAAAAGTGAAAAAATGTAAAGTGAAACATTTAATAAAATTGCTTCGTACAATGTACCTACGTGTGTAATGTACTTAAACTTATTGAATGGATCTTATCTCTAGTCGGTAGGTATTCTAAATTCTAAATTTTTTTTGCAATCATAAGTTATAACTGTTTTATTCAGAGATCCTTTTATGAACGTTAAGTAAGTTTCTTACAAATAAGAACTTAAAAAAAATTAAAATTATTAATAAATAAATATAGGAAACACATATTTCTATAAGCTACTATTGCTATAATTAGGTATATTTTTTCTTGGTTATTTCTTCGTTTTTGGAATCAATAATATCAAATATATCTACCCGAATATATTCGACACGAAACTGTTGATAGAGTTGGTTAGAGTAGAGAAGAGTCCGGTGGGCGCGGGCGGCGCGCGCGGCGGCAGCGGCGGTGGCCGGTAGTACTGACCGCCATCAATGCGCTGTCATATAAAAGAAAGTTATTGAAACGTTTCCTTCTTTGACCCATAAACATAGACATGCTTCGTAAATGCAATGCTTCTTTTTTAATTAGCATACCAAAGGCAATAATGCTGCTTCTGTTATAAGTATTTAATCTACTTCAAAAAGGAGAAGGTTCTATGTTCCTCTGTATGTATTTTTTTTACTCTACAGTTTACAATAGTTCAATAGTTTTTTTTGTGGATTAGTAAGTGGATATTTAATCGTACCAATATCGCTTCAAACACGAACGGCGTGAAAAACCCCTGGCCTGTACAAAAGTTCAAAAACAAAAAAAATGTTCCTCATAAATTACAAGAATTAACGACTAAAGCATGTCTATGTTATATTATGCGCCTATTTATATTTTTCTTATTTATACGCATAAGCTCATGAATAAAACATAATAATTATAAGATGATTTGGCCGGATTATATATAAATAAGAAGTAGATAAAATAAAAATTGAATATCTTTTACTATGATAAATCTTTGTAAGTGGAGCGAATATAAGAAAAGCGTGAAATTATTATATATTATAACAGGTACCTTTAGCAAAATAACCCGTGGTGAGTATAAATTATCTACAGCAAAAATGAATTGAAGTCATGCATCCTGTGAATGCGAACAATTGCGATCAAAGAAAAAAAATCTTACCTGAATGAGCTTTGTGGAAAAATACTTTGGAGTTTTTTTTATTAAACAAACAATAGAATTGATATCATTCAAAGAAATTTATTCAGTACATTCTTTAAATTACTATAGATATTGATTTAATTTATGATGCAGATATGAAATCTTTAAAGCTTAATAAACCTTATGTAGGTATATTGATTTGAATGATTTTTTTGGCGTATGAACGAGATCGATTTACAAAGGTATATTGCTTAGAATGTGCATGTAATCTTTAATAAAGTGAATCTAGTTGAATTTATAAACTACAACATGCTACTATTGACTATAATAAGTACCTACCTACAATAATAATAATTATCTGCATTAAGTTGGCACTAACACAAACATAAGATTCGCTCTTATTAATAGATTACAGATATGTACAGTATTTATATTTTCCCAGATTAATTTGTTAAACCAAATATAATATTGATTACTCTTAGGAATATTTTTTCTGAGTTATAAAGGTTACTTTTTGTGAAATTTCCTTGTTTTTCATATAATTGGTATTTTGAATTTGGTCCCTCGATAAATAACAGGTAAGCATAAACATGTAATAATTTATTTATCTAGAAGCCTAATAATCCAAATATTTTGATAAATCACTTAATCCTTAATCTTACAGGAATTAGTTAAGACTGAAAGGTCGCAGGTATTAATGGAATTCTGCCATTTTAGGAAACTTAAGCGTTTGTTTAATTTTGTAATGAATCAATTAATGTTTAAAGATTTAGTCTTGTGGAAATGTGATATTTGTTAAATCCAGCGGAATAGCAGTAGTAGTAGTAGTGGTGAGTTCTTTCAATGGCGGTTTTCGTACGGCGACTCGTCCCGGAGCGTGCCCCTAAAGTGCAACTACATATTATACTAAACATTATTACATACGGTCATAATGCATGGGAAGGAGAATCTTTTCTAGCCTAATATACAACACGCTACTATTACTAAAAGTATTTTGCTCACGTTTAATTTAACCACTCGCGGCCCCATCCGCATACACAGGTGTTTTCGTGACGCCATTACATACAGACAAACAACATTTCTATAAATTGTGACTTTACCATATTTAATAGAAAAGGTGTAAGATAACTTATTACTAAGGTAAATTATCAAATAATTTAAAGATTTAATATAGTAAAAATAAATCGTTAGGTAGGTATGTACATCATATCTTTCCCATTAGCAATCAACACCCATCGCATTTAGATTTCAAGCAGTTGAGAAAATAGGTACAGAAGGAATCTTTAATATTCATCGATTTGTTCCATGAAAATAAAGATATACCTATATGTAAATATTATTTACAAAGCAAAAAAACTGTATATATTACATACGTACCGATATGCAATGAACTCACCTTAGCAGAATGCAGAGTGACATTTAGTAAAGTTGGATGGTTATCTATGACAAAGAATTCCACTTCTTGTGGCAAATAACCATCTGCGGCGACCTGAAATCCAGTAAAAGGATTTTCAACAACTTTATTTTATTATGGGTTTAGTATCAGTGATTCACTCTCGCTTCGCTCGGATTCGCTCCTATAGGTACCTACGTTTTAACAATTAGTATGGAATAGATAGACTATATATTATATGTAAGAATATATACATAGGTATGATGAGTTGTTATGGTTTGTATTAACGTTTTTACTGACGTAACGTGTTTTCCCGTGGGAATGTGGGGCATTTCATATGAAGCGGACAGGAAAAAAAAGTGAGGTTAGGAAATTTGTTCATATGCGGGTTATTTGTACGTCTAGTAGGTATGAAAGTGGATACGTAATATTTTTTTTCTACGATGTTTATTTTTAAAATTATGGGCCTTTGAAAAATAATCATAATCCAAATTTCGATGTTTTAGATTTAGTTTTCCGAATGGGGAAAAAAATACAAACAACTATTAAACTTGGCGTTTTGTATAGGTTTTTAGTTGCTCTTTTTAATAAAGAAATATTTTATTGAAATTTAAAAAAAAATATGTACAAAACCGGAAGTGAAAATTTCAAAACAATTTTTTGATCACTTCGACCATTTTTTTTTGAATTTTTTTTACACCCAAATATAGCCTATAGTATTATTAAAAAACACTAAAAGTTTCATAGTGGAGTCTCTATTAAATAGAAAGATGGAGAAGTTAATGTACATGCATGTCGCCCTGAGCGTGATGCTTCATACTAATTTATGTCAGTTACTTGGCGAAATTTGAAGTATAATCACATGTATCATTGTATTCAAGCAAGTTTAAGCTCTGAAAACTTAGGGTTTATTACTTGCTATTTTTTACTTGTATTACTAGTCAATGCCTGGTCGAACGGTCCTTAAACATAGCTAACTTTGATCTTAATAGTCAAAGCTTTCGATTAAAACATACCGCACTCGGATGCACGCATTTGAGCAATACGAAGCACACATATACACACAAGAAACCTATAACACCACTCTTTTTTGTCGTGAGTTAAACTGATGTGTAATTAAACTGAAAATTCAATTATGAAAATTAACGACACTCCTGACTTCGGTTTTTTTATTATAGAGGTGGAATAGAAATGCGACGAGTTGAAATATGATACTGCAACACGCTTACCAAAAAATCTTACCTATTAGAAAATGGAATAGTAGTGTCAAAAATTACTTACATAACCGATGGTGCCTCACAACATTTTAAAAATAGATGCAACTTTATTAATCTTATTATTAGGATGATTTTAATACGAAAGCAGAGGCACACTTTCATGCATCCGAGTGCGGTTTGTTTTAATCGAAAGCTTTGACTGTTAAGATCAAAGTTAGCTATGTTTAAGGAACGTTGGACCAGGAATTGACTAGTAATACAAGCTTGCAAAAATAGCAAGTAATAAACCCTGAGTTTTCAGAGCTTAAACTTCTTGAATTCAATGATACATGTGATTACACATCAAATTTCGCCAAGTAACTGACATAAATTAGTATGAAGCATCACGCTCAGAGCGACATGCATGTACATTAACTTATCCATCTTTCTAAGTAATAGAGACTCCACTATGAAACTTTTAGTGTTTTTTAACAATACTATAGGCTATATTTGGGTGTAAAAAAATTTTTTTTTAAATTGTCGAAGTGATCAAAAAATTGTTTTGAAGTTTCCACTTCCGGTTTTGTACATAATTTTTTTTAAATTTCAATAAATTATTTCTTTATTAAAAAGAGCAACTAAAAACCTATACAAAACGCCAAGTTTAATAGTTGTTTGTATTTTTTCCCCATTCGAAAAACTAAATCTAAAACATCGAAATTTGGATTATGATTATTTTTCAAAGGCCCATAATTTTAAAAATAAACATCGTAGAAAAAAAATATTACGTATCCACTTTCATACCTATTAGAGGTATAAATAACCCGCATATAAACAAATTTCCTAACCCCCTTTTTTTCCTGTCCGCTTCATATGAAATGCCCCATGTATAAAAAATATAGTAATAAATATAATGTAGTAAAAAGTAGCCTATGTCACTCTCCAGCCCTCCAACTATCTCTACACAAAAACATCACGCCAAATTGTCCATGGGTTTTGTCGTGATAGAAAGACAAACAAACACACTTTCACATTTATAATATTAAATATTAATAGTAATAATAAATAGTATGGATTATTCAAACAAAGTTTGTAGTTTGTATAATGTTACCTCGAGTTTGTATGTTCCTGGAAGCAAAATACGCCAAAACTCCCCGTACTTAGTGGTATGATAGGTAACTTCACGGCCCTTGACCCTGACGGAAGCGCGTTCTACTGGATTGCCGTTCTCGTCCATGACGAAGCCGTGCGCCCCGCGATGAGCTTCTGCTAAGAACTTTATTAAAGACTGCAAAAAATCATAGATACATTATTTTAGAATAAAAAAAATATATTATAAATTAGCCACACGCCTTCGCTTCTCGTATTCTTAAATATTATAAAACTATATTATTCACAAAATGACATACATACTATAAAAGGCAAAAGTTTATGTCTATACTATCATAATGATTTATTTTTATATGAACTAATATTTTGTATTTCAGATAGCCTAATACAATATACATGTAGTTCCTAGTTATAAACTCCTTGCAAATAGAAAACATGTATGTACATTTTACACATGTCTCCGGCACGTGATATTATGTTCTTTTGTCAACTTGATTCCATCTTTTTAGTTCGCCCTTTACGCATTGAGGCTTTTATTTTTGTAAATTATTTTTTTATCATAATATATATTTATTTTATTGGCCTGTTAGAAATTTTTACTTTTATTTAACAATTTCTTCTACTAAATTATTTTTAAATATATAAGTTGTATAAGTTTTTTTGATCGTCGTTAAAAAATAAAAATCCTTCATTTCGATAACTCACTTGATAGGTTTGGAAGAAAACTTTTTTTTCAAGATACACAAATTTGAGCCAGAAGTTCGCTATTTGATTTTAATAATGCCCATATAGCTTTAAGCTTATGACGCTTGCAAAATTCGAATCTAACGACATATGAATAATTAAAATTGGTTAAGTCGTTTAGTAATTACGAGGGAACATATATACGGACATACATACATACATGGTATATTCATATCAAATACGCACAGGTAAACGAATAAACCGTCTTTGGACTTCGACGCTGTCGGGGAAAAATACTTTTTTGAACACAAATGGTAATAGATCTCCACTAATATGAGAGTTAGATACATATCTGCCATATTTTTTTTAATTTGCTTCGTTACTGCTTTGCTTTTCTTCCGTTTGCAAATAGACTAGATCCGGTTTTTATCTACTATAATATCGGATGGTGCTATGGCCTATGTACGAGTACGTGTTTTCTTTGTATATCTGACAAAGTAAAACATAAATCTATTGATTTATCTAATTTTTATTTATAAAAATACATACAAAATATTTAGGTATCTTATATCTACGGCATTAAGATAAAGACATTATGTACTATCTAATCTAATCAGTTCATACGAAATATTGTAAGCCTCTACGTCTTTATTCAGTTTCAAGCATCGCAAGTTGATTTTGTAAGCCAAAATGCTGGCACGAAAATTGTTTTATTTTTCGCTATTATTTCATTGTGCAGTGATAAGTCGTGTATCTGCAAGAGAGGCTGTGGCTCATCTCATCTCACAAAATGTAACTGGAACTATATATTTCACTGAAATTGACGGTGGAATACGAGTTCAAGGAACAATTAATGGTCTTAATCCTGGTCTCTATGGGTTCCATGTACACGAGCTCGGCGACACAAGTACGTGCGATGCAACAGGACCACATTACAATCCTGACAACACCAATCATGGAGGACCGGACCACAGCATTCGTCACGTTGGGGATCTCGGAAATGTACGCTTTATAGGAAACATTGCTACGGTAGATTTTGTAGATAAACTAATTACCCTTCGAGGTCGAAACAACATCTTAGGGCGTGGTTTAGTTCTTCATGCAGAAGAAGACGATTTGGGTTTGGGTAATCATGAAACTTCTTTGACTACGGGGAATGCGGGGGCTCGCGTGGCGTGTGGCACTATCGGTATCCGGTCATCTGACTGGAATTCCGGATTAGCGATTGTTCCATCATTAGCGTTACTTAATTTAAGTTTACTTTTTTTGATATTTAAATGAATCACTTATTAAATATGCTTTAGACGTATTTTGATAGATTGTACCTGTTTATTGTCTTGCCAATATTTAGGCAGTTCGTGCGCCGGTGGATATTTGCAGCAAGATATTTCTAGAGTGATTTCCATACATCCATGCCATAAGTAATTGTAATCTTGCATTCCACCTGTAAGTATTATACGAAAATTATTGTTGGCACAAATTGTGCTTCATTTTAATGAAAAAACAATAGTATAAATAACCAGCCAGCAATCAGCTTGACTACATAATAACTGTGTAGATGTTACGTTAGGTTGCCTATGATTAACAAAATTAAAAAAAATGTTTGTCTTCTTTTTGTAGTTTCATTGTTATTTAAATTAATTTATTTTTATATTTAATTGTTCCAGTCTCTACATTTTTTATGATAGGGTCAGATCTTTGATACCTATAGCTTTTCTGGAAAATATACAATTATTATGATGTATGTCAGTATAATTTATTTTAAAAATCCTACATTATATTAGAGAATACCGGACGGTGCTATGGAGGAGAGTAGTATTCTGGATGTGTTGTTGGTAGTGCTTAAAGTTATAATATAGTACTGCGTGTTACTGTGCTTTAAATGGCCACGTTAAATCGTTAGCTTAGGGCCTAGATTGTAATGTTTTGACGTCCCACTGTTGAGCACAGTTTTCCTGTCACCCTTCACTTATACATGCGAGGAGTAGGCCATAGTCCCCCACGATCCATGTCGGAACTACTTTGATTTATCTAAATTTAATTCTGACTAATTCCAACAACGTATATAGAAAGGTCAGAGGAAATAAAGGCTATTTTTATTTTACTATTTTATTTATTTAATTCCAACAACAGATACATCCTCTTAAAGATAAACGAATAAAAGTTCCGCATCATACAATCAGAAATAGAACTGATTATTAAGTTAAGTTAAGTACCTGTTAGAGGATACCATGCAGCACCATTCGTGATGCCGTTTTCGAACTTGGGCGAGCCGGACTTGCATGACACTCCGCGAGACATCTTGGCGTGGTTGTTGGAGTACACGAGCGCGAGGTGGCGGAACACATCGTCGTCAGGCGCGATCGACGGCGAGTGCGCGTAGCTTTGGAATACTGCGTTTAGGGGATATGTAGAAGAATATTTGTTAATAATATTCTTTTGTAAACAATAATATTGTGTACAGAATATAGACCCCAAAACAATAGTTATTAAAATGTTAGTCTGTTTGTCTGTTTATGTGAGTGCGTTTCAAGCAAAAAGTACTGAACTGATTTTAACAACATTTTGTGTAGTGATAACATATAGGTGTAAAAAAGGCCTATAGAAAAACTTGCAATAGTCTTTCTCCTAAGGTATAGCTAACTATTTATATAAATGCCTCCAAAACATTATGTTGCTTTAATTGAAATATGTATAAGTTAAATGGATCTTAAATCTACACCTCACCCGAGCATAATACAGATGATCTGCAAATCCCTGGTAAGCAGCAGAACACAATACAAAGTTAACTTGGGTATATGACGAGTAATACATTCATATAACGTCAATAGTAGGTACTCTTACATAACCCCCCCAACGTGCGTTCACCTTGTCGTGGTGGGGGGGCTCAGTAGTGCCCGGCAACCCAACCGGGCGCGAAGCCAAGAAACGCACAGGGAGGTGGCCCACTTCGGTGGGCGGTGGGAGATGGCCCTCTTCGGAGGGCGGTGTACCATGCGGGTTGCTCCTGGTACTTCTCTGATAGCAGAGTGGACCTTGGAGCAACCCCGTGGTTGTTGTGGTCTGCTTCGGCAGACCTGCCGCCGGGGCGTCGTAGTTGAGTGCGTAAGCGATCCTGCGACGCCCCATTAAGACGGGGGAAGGCTATGTTGGGTTTTAGTGGGTAGTACTGGCTTTGCCGGTGAGTCCCACACCTCGTGCGTAAATGCATTTCCCAACGTTAAAAAAAAAAGGTACTCTTACATAGTTCTAGTCTAGTATTCTAGGATAGTAGTAGATATATATATTAACAAACTTAATACTTTAAAGAATAAATTGCTTTTATTGAAACATTGTAATTATATAGTAACCTAAAATTATATGTATAACCTTCAATTACGTTGTAAGGAATTTGTATTTGACAAATATTTGGGACGTATTAAAAGCTCATCATTTTTAGGAGGTGGAAGGAAGTTTTTTATTGTTTCTGTAATAATACAATTAGTTGACCCGTGCAGATAAAACTTTGACTTTACAATTATTAGTAGGAATTAAAACGATGTTCGCAAAAATGGAACAATATTTAAAAAAAGTTATATTCTTTAGGATATATCTAAATATACTTATTAATGATTATAGATTAATAACGAACTCAATCGTCACCCAAACTGTTAAGTATGGATGCTGATAAAAAGCCTCGATGGGAGATAAGCTGTCATTTCTAATGCCATTCTTTATCTTCATGGATACTCTATCAAAACACACCTAAGTTATATTTGAATGGGTTAAATTGTTTTAAAGTGAAATTTCTTAGAATCGTTGTAATTTAAAACTCGATGAAACGAAAATGCAACACTAAAAAGAGACAATCACAAATATATAGGTTTAAGCCAGCGAGAGAATGAGATAAAATACATTGCCACGTTGCCATGGTAACCGTTGTTATTGTCTGGCAAATATATTAATCATATCATATTCTTTCCGTATATGCTATTCTATAAATATATGATTGTAATATGCCTAATATGCCTTATTTAATTACTGGTTTGTTTTAATTTAATTGCGATATTTGCCAAAGAAGTTTTACTTTAGCAATTAATAAATTAATGGCATTGTGTACTCAATATTCTAAGTTATTATCGTATGCTTTGCAATAAAGAGTATAATAGTTACTAGCACTAGGCGTGTTGTCGAAGGGGTAGGAGGCCACAAGCGCGCCGCCATGCAAGGATCCCGAGACCACGAACTGAATTTTGCTAATCCATTCCTTCACCGCCTCTGTCTCAGGCTGCGGCTGCTTTGAGTTTTGCTTGAAGAAGTCCGGGAAGTTGCGGTTCAAGTCGTGTCGCCGAGCATTGTGTCTACAATAAATGTTTATGTTATTTTACGATATGTCTTATTAGTTTTTCGAGTTGTTGATACCTTGATCTTAAAATAATTATAATACTTAAATAATTTAACTCATTTTTTTAAATACAATAATAAATATATTATTGTAGTTATTGAAGAAGTGTTATTACAATAACTGCTTGGATAGTGTAGTGGCCTGCGGCTATGCATCCAAAGGTCCTGAATTCTAGTTCTGGGTTGGGCCAAATTTAGTTATCGAGTCTTTTAGTTAAGAAAATCCCAGTAACTGCCCGGAGTTGGGAAGTTGGCGTTGCCTCGGAGAACACGTAAAGCTTTCTCACCGGTCGTATCATATATCATCCCATCGGAATTTGAGAGTGAATGAACTATTCCTTACATAGCTCTGGTGTGTAAGCGCACACACCAGAGCTATAGATAGAGCTTTGGTGCCTGCACGTACACTTGTGCACTATAATATTTCCCGCACAGTTGCCGAAATCGGTCGAGAGAATATTATCATTACAATAAGTTTCACTGTAAATAAGTATTTATAATAAAAAATAACAAGTATATGAGCAATAGTAATGATGGATATATACATGCCTGCCATGTATGGTGTCACACTGTCCTTCTCGTGAGATGAGGAAACCATCAGGGTTCATGGACGGCATCAAATGAATCCTCGTGTTATCTAACAGCCATTTTATGTAAGAATCCGTCTCATAAGCTGTTACCAAATACTAAAATACAAAATAATAATAATTAAAATCAACTTCATGTACCTAATGCAGATTAAAACATCTTTTATTTTCTGAATGCCTAAATTTACTTATCACGTATAGGTAATATTAAGTATAAGTCTAAGTATATACTTAGACTTATCTACTTGAACATATTTTTATTGTCTGTTGTTTTTAACCCCCAACGCAAAAAGCCTGGAGTGTTTGTCCATCTGTCTGTGCATCCAAATGTATAAACCGTTTTAATTTAGATTTTTTTGTTTGAAAGGTGACTTGAATCAAGAAAATCCGTTCCACCTTTTGCAGGCTATCAGCTCTTTTCTAAACGGTAAAAGGATATGAACAACTTTATAGATCCAATCAATTCGAAACTTGGTATCCCGTTACTTTAATGACATTTTAATTATATGGTAACCAAGGCCTGATGCTGCAGCGTCACCTGGAATATGCAAGATACTCGTATTCAACACTTTACTAAAAATACTGCAGAGATATCGAGTTTAGGCCTATTGAAATGGTCTCAATGAATAGGTTATGGTATTGAGGTTTTATTAAATTTTTAATTTAAGAGTCTTCCATGTCCCGTCCACTTGTTGCACCCTGTATGTATTATATTTTTTTAAGAAAACATTTTTGCTGGTGAAAATTGTGGCGAGTCGGTTTTATACTATGTATATAATTTGCACTAAAACATACTTTTATCCATATACAATTAAGATTGTTGCAAGATAAACAGAACACTAAAATCATGTTTTGTGTGTGAATCCTTACAATTACTTCTAGAACATGCATATATCCGCCATTTAAAAAATATTTCTACAATTTTTTTTTCAAGACAGACTTATTGGCGCCTTAGATCCTACATTTTAATTTTTAAAGATATCTATATACCTATCCTATGAAACTCGCGTTATCAAGACGAATCGGACAACGTATAAATCATCAAAATCGCTATAGTTATAGCTATAGTATATAAGCAGTTAAGTTATTATAAGGGAACAAAGGGTCGGATATACATACATAAATACATACATACATAAATACATATAGGTCAAACACAAATAACCCTCCTTAGGACTTTGCCGCAGTCAGGTAATAATAATCTCTACTTGAAGGTACTTAGTGACATGACTTTTTGAATTTTGTTACGTCGCTTGGAAATTACGACATTAAAATATGTACATGGATATGTATATAAATAACCAGTTTTACACGCGACTTCTTTCGCATCCACAAAAAGAAGAATGTGTTATCGTTAATCCATGAAAATCAGCTCTGAATAATTTCACTTAAAGCCGTTGAGCCGTGCAACGTGAAGAAGTCACAAATTCACTCACAAACTTTCGCTTTCATAATATTAGTGTGTTTATAGAATGACTGAATGTACGTTGTATTCCAGAATTATTAGGTATACCTGTATAAGGTGAAGCAGAAGTTCGCGGCCCACGGCTTCGTTGCCATGTATATTTGCCACATATTTTACATCAGGTTTTCCGATCATATGCTCATATGGAGACGCTGACACTACCATTACCCATAAATCACGACCTAAAAATAAAGTTAAATATTATTAACTTTGTTATATTTTTGTTCCGTTAAATACATATTAATCATATAATGTAACTTTTCATAAATAATAAATTGTTTATTTCCTTAAAAAATGTATATCTTCATTGACGTTAATAGGTACACACTATTTATACTCATTCATAGGTGTATAACGTTACTTTTTTGGCTTATGTCAAGTTTTACATATTGGAAGATAAACAGTACATAATATTATGTTCACATGCACCTACACAGTCCTGCAGTCATTCTTTCACTTTCCGTTGATTTCTTCAGACGATACGTCAAGCGTGCTGGGTTGTTACTAACGTCGCACTTTCGACTTTACCAGACCGTAGCAAATATTATTATATTTTAGATAAGTATAATGTCCTCCTGATCGATTTCGGCCGCGGCGGCCAATCTCACTGAAACTAGTCAGATACGCAGGAGATGTTATAGTGCACAAGTGTATGCGCGTCGCTCAAACACAAGTGCACTCCTATTCCTTCTCCTCTCAAAGTTCGATGGGAAGATACTTTGACACGATCGGTAAGAGTTTAAAGGCGCAGGACCGACGGCTTTACGCGCTTTCCGAGGCACTGGGGTGCAACATCTCCAAATTCCCAACTGAGAAGATTTTAAAAGAAAAACTCAGTAATTAAATTTGGCTCGACCCGAGACTTGAACCCAGGACCTGCAGCCGTACATACTAGCCACTAGACCACCGAAGTAATTTTAGATAAGTACATTGTGTAAAAATCAACTCTATGGACAACGTTAAATTGAAAGTGCGACTCTACATACATTCAGTTATGAGGATATTCATAGGACTGCTCTTATTCTCATTATCATAATGAAAAACTCCAGAGGCAATATTCCACAAGGATATATTTTAAGAGCTTGTTAATCCTACCATACATAAACGATCTCTTTAAAAACGCTGATGTTGCCAAGCCATTAATTTTCAAAATTTAGTTTTTTTTTGAAAAGTAGCATTGCAGTATGTTAATATTTTTATATTGAAAACAATAATTGCCTACAAACGACGTTAAAAAACATCAACCGACATGGTAGATACTAGAAAAACAAGTGTTTTGTCTCGAAACTGTCGTTCTCTAAAAAATATTAAAAAAATGAGCCTGTGTAATAAAAATCTTTAATATTAAATAAATTGAAGATGATATTAAATAAATTACTTTAATAGATTTAATTTAAAATAAAAAATAAAAAAACAAACAGAACATAGGATCGTACAAACATACATAGAGATTAAAACCAAACCCTTTGGGCTTCGTCGCAGTCGGGTAAAAAGGTACACTTTTAAGTATATTTAGCGTAGGTATTATTATAAGGTATTATTATTACGTATACTCGTAAGTAACTCGGATTAGCCATTTCATCTGATGGAGTTTTTTTTATTAAACTTTAAAGTAGAATTTCTCGCCCGGCCCTTTTTAATAGAATATTGACTACCTATTACGAGACGATGGTAGCATCCTCTTAATTAAAATTTAATATAAATATGAAATTGGTGAATCAATAAAATTTTATAAGTTTATTTGGAAAAATACCACTTTCATTAGGTACCAATTGAACAAATACTAAAAGACTTACGTGATTTTACCATCAGAGTGAGAATTAATTAGTTACATTAGTTAGCGAGAACTAAAATTTAATTTATTTTCAATTACCTTGTACAGATTTTCCGATAGAGTAAAGAGCGGTTAGAGCTGGGTACCGCGCGGATACAGCGCGGAGGTACCTTGTCAATTCCTCGTGGTCGTGGTATTTAAACTCCAATTTAGTGCCAGCGTCGCGTGACTCCACCTCGCCCAGAATTGTAGAGACGTCGTAATCTAGAAATAAATTATTCTTTAAATAAAAAAAAAACGGTTCTTGTTTTCTACTATATCCACCGGATTGTGATAAAAAGAATTTTAAACGGGTTAAATTAAAATGTAGAGAAACCAACCTGATGTGTAACCTGGTCCTGATTGAAACTGTCCATACGTCACTCCAAGTGTAATAATAACATTCAGAAGAAGAAAAATACTTCTTATATCGCATTTTGAACGCCGGTTCATCTAAAACGATGAAAATTATAAGCTTTGTTTAACTTTGTACGTTTATTGTTAAAAATGCATAAAATACATATATGCATGTCACTTGTATAATGTAAAAAAATTTTTTTGAAACTATTTAAGCATTTTAAATTACGTAAAACGTGCAAGGCGTACCTAATCTATACATATAATAAAATTGTAACTAAGACGAATCTGTACATTAAATATATTTTTTGGAAAATCTTATTGAAGTAGACATTATTATCGATACAGAGGCCGAATCTATAGTTTTTAGAATTTTTGTCTGTCTGTCTGTCTGTCTGTCACCGCATCACGGAAAAACCACTGGAGGGATTTTGATGAAATTCGATATGATGATAGCTGGTTATCCGGGTCAACATATAGGATACTTTTTATCGCGGGAAAATATCTCATTTCTGAGAAAAAATACAAAAACTGCATTGTAAAAGTATACTAATATGTAAAACCTAAGAATTTGGTTTTTGGTCATCTGAATGCGGGCGGAGCCGCGGGCAATGCTAGTCTATTCATGTAAATGAATCTTAGGGCGTCCTAAGTATCTATATACACAACGTTTTCTCTACATATTCAGTAAAGCTTTACCTTGCGTGATGAAGCTGTGTATCTATTCACAGTGAACTATGACCTTACAATACAGAATAAGAGAATAAAAAGAGAGTCTTGTACTTGACCTGTAATTAAATTAACAATTATTCGGGTCTGTTTTTACCGTCAAAAAGACTCAATTATGAACAGAGTGCTTGCTTTTCAGTTGTCTAAACGTTATGAACACACATAGGTACATAGAAATAATTGCACTTACACATTACCTTTTATTCTCTAAGAGTATAGAACATAGTTTTCTTATATATTTACCACGTTTTAAGTAGATAAGAATAGTAATTGTGAGTGTACCTTTAATAATGAAGTACACTATATAAAAAGAAATATATATTATCCTATCGTGGAATTTTCTGTAGGCCTTTTAAGACGTATAATTTTCATAATGCCCAGTTCAACATCAGTGCCGCCACTCAACGACTCGATTACATCTAACTAATAAAGAACTATCAGCTTCGCGTTACTCATATCGTGATATCTCTTAAACAAAACGTCCAAATAATAATCATACAGCACAGAACCAAAATCATATTCATTACATAGTCGTGACGATTAACTTAGTTATTTTGATAAGGATTAATAATATGACCAGTTAAACATCACCTAACGATTTTAATTATTTTTTGACTATATAGCTTAAATATAAAAGTTAAAAAATATGCTGTCGCGGACATTTTTGTAAATAATAATTTTAAGCTCTACAATTTTTCTAATCATTCATGTACCGGTAAAGCGGAGTTCGTAAAAAACGCTTTCGTTTGAGCTTTTTTTCGTCGACTTATTTTGCAAATTCGGTTACCACGAAAGTTTAGTTTATTTTATGGAATATATTTTTTGTCCATTCTGAAATTCCATTCTAAGCATTGGTGATTTTTTTTTAATCGGATGAGTAGTTTCGATGATTACCTCCTACATCGAAATTTAACCTTTTTATAATATGAGTATTGATAATTATAATAAAAAAATTAAAGAAATTCATGGATAGCACTATAACTTTATAATTTGACAGTATTTATACTACTTTTAGATTTACATAAAACGAAAGCTATATAAATATAAAGGAAGTTTTGTCAGCCTAAATTATAAGCTCTAATAAGTCCTTCGAGTACGTGAATCATTAAAACAGTAGAGCCATTCAGTTTATAGGCTATGTAAAAAGCATTGATTGTGTGTACATTTTATTTCAATTATTTTTTATTTTATATCTGCTTAGACGACTTACAAAACGTAGTATAATTTATAAAAGTGCATAATGACTGACTCATCATCAATGTAGGCGGCACGCCATATTACAATTTTCACGCTTTTTGATCTTTGTATATGGGCTTTCTTTTTAGTGTTATGTCGATTTAGTTAAACGAGTTGCGCAGACGCAACCGGTCCTAAATTGAAGGTCACTGGGTCACTGGACCGTCACTGTGGGCAGTGGTATCGCCCTCATAATTGGAATCACCCACTACAAAATCCATTCATACCTCATGGTTATCTGAAATGGACTTGATATTTATTCATATGTAAACAATAATATCATTTCGTATGACACTATCATATCGCTTAGGCCTTAGTGCTTATGGAAAATATTTTCCTTTCTTTCCCTCAAAAGTTTCTATTTAGGCATATCTACTTATTATCCATACAAATTGTAATTTTAATTTATGTAAAAAAATAGTTACACTGAAAAATAGTTTTAATGAATGCAGAATAAAAACTTCTAAAAGTGTCGTGGATATGAATAAATTGTTTCGGACAAGATAAAGTGGACAAATTTTGCTTTTAAATCTGTTTCGGCGGATGGTCGCAGTTCAAACTTTCTTTCCGTTGTCCGACATTGACATGTTGACCCCATTAGTAAAAAAATATACACTTTATGCTTGCCTTCATTTAAGAATTTCCACATTACTGTTAATAAACAGTAATGTAAATTACATATACCTTTTTATGCGAACTTTCCTATAATTTTTTATTACATATTATATAAATTTACAAGAGTTTAGGAGATTAAGGGTTTTTTTTTTAAATCAAATCTTGATAGTTGATTTTATTTAACCTACTTCTAAATGTATGGATTTTGAAACTTTGCGAGTTTGTCAAATCGATCTGATCTGATGACAGATGAGGCTAATTTATTTCCCTTTGACGTCTCCATAACGTTGGTTAAAGACGTCTCATTTTTATGACGAAATATGTATAATTATTGCTTGCGTAGCAACATTTTGATGTTTTCAATATTGTATCTACTTATAAATATACTTTCTTATGATGTCGATCACCGAATACCTAACATACTTTGTGCTCAGTGAAAGTTTTGTGATTTTAATATGTATGTGATAGCCTTCCATTGTTCTATGCATAAAGTACATACAAGAGTTTCTCATAAAATAAATTTTATGTATACATATAATCCGTATTATTTTTTTAAATTATTAACAAACAAGCACAAGACATTGAAATCTCTCTAAAGCTTTATTTGCTTAATGTATTCAATAAAACAATAAAAACTGATTTCAATAAACATAGCATATCTTATTATTTGCCGTTAATATAATGAGAAAATTTAATTATAACTCAACACGTTATAGTACTTTGTAAAAATCATAAATAATTTAAAGGAACAATAAGGCACTTACAATTTAAATATTAATTTATATAAAAACTATGCTTAAAAATTCATATTAACAGTCATAAACTCTAAACAAGGTAAATAGTAAGTGTACAAAAAAACAAACTTACCTTGGAAAAGTCAATCACTATCGACCTCAGACTGTTAAAAAGTTTTGGTTGTCATTGATAGTTATGTTTGTTCTTTCTTCATAAAGGAAAGGAATCTAGGCGCGTAAGTATCGTAAGTTACGGTAATGGAACGAGGAGTATAGTGGGTCCTTGCCAACGGGCGAACGGAACTCGACTGGCAGCTGTGTGCCTGTGTCGTTCGTTGCTGCTGCTAGCCACGAGCAGTGAGCACGACATCATCTGCGTCATCCAACCCGCTACACGACCGTAAAGTGCTTTCTCTCAAAATTATATTTCTAAAACTGCTTCTAATTCCAAGGAATAAGGTTTAATTCGTTTAGGAAAACGTAGATACTTCTAAGATAGAGCATTTTCTTCTTTACAGCTCTAGCTATAAAGTTGAGTTTGCTGAATTTTATACATGGACCCTTGAAATGACGTAGCATTCCCGCCTTTCGTCTCATCTGGCACTTTTTCCCGCGGATAGAGTTTCTTTCTCCAACTACTCGATATTTAATATGAGAAAATTCTAAGTGAAACTTAATAAGTAACTACATTGTTTAGGTTCATTTGCTCCTATGTATATAACATGATTGTGCAATGCATAGGTGTGGTACCTATGTTTATAAATGATCCAAAAAACTGTTATTTATACATTTATATTATAGAACGAGTATAGTTTTAACATATCTACAAAGAAGACGATTTTCCTTATGAATTCTATTTATAAGTGACATAATGTTTTAATGAGAATGTCATGTTATTAATATTTACGACAGAATTAGAATTTAAAAATCAAATATTTGATTTATGTTATTAAAAACATAGAGTAAGATTATGGCAAAGTTTTTCGTTTTTAATGCTTATTTAGAAGAGTTAATTTTCAATTATAAAAAACATTATAGATAACGTTGAATGTGTAATTTTTAAGTACTTTTTAATACCTAATAGCCAATAGGACCTATATTGTAAAGTGGTGATCGATTCGAAGTTAGTAGACTAAGTTATTACTTTTCACAAGGTCTCTTCAGCCCTCGTTCCTACACTGACATCCTATACAAATGGGTCAGGGTTAAAAAGTTCTATTTTTAACGAATCCTACCTTCCAATTAAAAGTATTCGCTCGACTTGACTACAGCTCTATGAAGTCAACACTTGACCTTATGATAAACTACACTCTTAAAGTTCTTAAGATTCTGCTTACTAAACAAAATACCTATTAGTTCTAATCAAAATCTAATTTTTGTTACAGCGAAAAACATTACTTTGCAGAATTTCAGTAATGTGCGATAAACTTGGACGCCGGTTGATAGCATTCGTCTGTTCGAATATTTAACTTATTTTTGATAAAAGATTATTTTTGATGGACTTCAAAAAGTACAAGGTTTTAGTTTTTTTTTGATGAGTGTTTTATATGCGCTATCTTTAGGAGTTATGAATAGATTTTCAGAATTCTTTATTTATACCTCATAGGTGGTCCATTACATGTTAAAAAAATGCACAATGATAATGAAATCCTCACTTTACAGTAATTTTTAACCCCCAACGCAAAAAGAGGGGTGTTATAAGTTTGTGTTGTTTATGTGTGTGTGTCTGTTTGTGGCATCGTAGCTCCTTAACAAATAACCGACTTTGATGCGGTTTTTTGTTTGAAAGCTGATGTGATCAGGGTGGTTCTTAGCTATAATTTATGAAGATCTGTTCAGGCGTTTGATAATCATCAGCTCATTTTCTACTTGATAAAAGGGTCTATCTATCTTGGCAAAACTTACTAATTTTCACAGATCCGATTGATTTGAAATTTCGTGTACTGTTACTTCGGTGGTATTTTCAAGACATCCCAACTAGCAAAATTTAGTCTTACAGGTATCCTAAGAGTACATTTTTCTTACTCTTATAGTATACTTACAAACGTTGGTAAGTGTGGAATTGGGCGCACTTAGTAAGAGCGTTTACTCTTACTGTTATTGTATTATGGTCATATGAAGAGTGTTTTCAAACTTATAGTGATCTGCCTAATGCTGTTGTAAAAGTAAATAAGTCTTACAAGTTTTTACATTGGCATGGTGTAAGCGCAAAATGCCATTGTGTAGTCTTATTAATGTCGTTCTAAGTGTAATTCGTCTTATTTGTCTCTTTTTGATCCCAATTTAAGAGTATTTTTGTGTCAAACATTATGAAAAACCTAAGTTGTGTTTTTAATATAAACTATATTAAAAATGGAAGTATTTACTTGATATTAATTTAATACCGATATACTTCTTAGCTGCTTCTACGTATCTATCATAATGTTGATCTACCTGCGGAGTCGATTTATTCGAAGGAATTTTAATTTAAATAACATTACACCCACGGGCCATTTCTAAAATTTGTTTTAAATAATAATTGTTAAATTAATAAAATGTGAAATAAAAGAAGATATCGCCATTTTTTTACATTATTACAAATCTGACTTACAGGTTACTTTATGAGAACATTTAAAAGATCAATCGCTCTTAGTTAAATCCACTGTAAGACTTAATATTCTTATTTAAGAATAGTTAAGTACGTTTTAAGACAATTGGTCTTAAATAAACACTAGCCTAAACAATTGTCGCCGGCTATTTTTCATAATGTTTAGAGTTCCTTAGTAAAAAAGAAGAACCAAAAATCACAATGTTTACGTAATAACGTTAATATCACAACTGTTTGGGCCGTTTTTGCCGTTCTTACCGTTCGGCAGAATGCTTATGACGTACGAGGGAATGCACGACCCTTGTTGTCTATACTCGTGCGCATCAACCGCGCTCTCTCTCTCTCGACCATTAGCTCGCGACGTGGACGGACGTAATCTACTTTTATAATAACCGCTAAGGTGTGGCTATAAGTTCGCGTGTGGCCTTTGTACGGCCGCTGAATTATTTTTACCGCTGCAGCAGTGTTTTAGCACTGGTGCACCCGACCCTTGGGAATCCCAGCCGCCTGGAACGCGCGGGAGAAGAAGACACACAGGTGAGTGCCTTTTTCTTTTGCGTTAGGGTATTCTTGCCGACGGGGGATCGGGGAAAGTGGCCTTTAGTTGAACGGCGTACCGAGGGCACGTGAACCACCCTTATCTTCCTTGAAACTGCCTTCGAGGGTGGTGTTTGCGATTGGCGCGCACAACAACATATATATTATTTTTATTGATTATGTAGTTAAGTATCTCGACAAAACAACTCTCAAAGTTTTTTCTTCCTATTTTGCTTGGAATTTTAGTAGTTTATTATCTTGTTTTATCGTATGATGAATTTTAAATTTAATAAATATTTTTTTCAAATTATAATAACTCTACTTAACGTCGCTTCTAAGTTAGATGGCTTTTTATCTCCCACATATATATCTAAAAATGAAGTGGATTTTCATTGATTGCAAAAAAATATATATATTTATAAATAAACATTTATGCATATAACAAACCACTCGTAAAATTATAAAGGTGAGGTCGTTAATATACTTAATAGAGCATGCTTATGACGTTTGTGAGTTCAAGTGTTCCTATAAAACATAGATTCCTACATGCTGGTCTCTTTAAAACGCACTGCCTAAGACAAATTACACTTACAATTTTAAAGTTATTCAACAGTTGTATATCATGCTTTAGTAACAGCAGTGCTCTTATATTACACTCATCCAAGGCAGTTATAAGAGCAAATAATCTTATAAATTGCTGTACTGAATGTAAAAAATCAACAAGAGTGATTAGTCTTACAAAGTGTATTTATATAACTTTTGTTCTTATATGTACTTTACAAGGAGTTCTTATATATATCTGTAAGCGTTCACTATAAGTTTTTATGCTCTTATAGTTCAAAACGTCTTTATACATACCTCTATAAGAGGTCCCTTCTTAATCAGGATTAAGATCACTTATAAGCCTTTTGTAAAGCTTTTGTTCTTATATATTACTTTGGCCAAGACTATTTTGCTACTTGGGATGCTAACCTTGAGCTGATGCTGTAGCTTCAAATAGTCTGCGGGATGCTAATTCCTCAGAGACTTACAGCAGATATAGCGTGTTTGGGCTCATAGGAATATTCTTAATAAGAGCTAACTATTAGAATTAGTTTCCGCGAGTAATTTAAAAAGAATGAAATAAAAATAAAAAATTTAAGTAACCTCCGACACACAAAAATGTCTATAAAGTAAAAAAATAAAATGTCTCTCTTAGCGTTTTAAAATAAAAAGTAGATTGATAATGGTAAAATAGTAGCGGTCCTCCGACGCGGGATTCCTCAGTGTGCGAGTCAGACTTGAACTTGCCGGATATTTTATTTTCAATATAATAGCTACATAATATTTGCTTTAATTTAGGTGTTAGAGAAACTTAGCCCGACCCAGAACTCGAACCCAGGACCTCCAGGTGTGCAGCCGTACATGCTAGCCACTATACCACCGAGACAGTACCTTACCTTTAAAGGTAGCAAAAGTGTTACTTAATATTTTAACTTTAAATAATAGCAATCTGAATTAATATCTTAACTTTTTTTAATTACATATAATACAATACAATAATATTGCTTAGATAAATAATTAATATTTTTTAATTTTTAATATTCTTTATGGTCATACATAAAATAATAATAGCAACACTAATAATATTAGTAATTAATAAAGTTTTCTAAAAATTGTAATCTAATATATTATTTATATTCTTGCATATATATGTATATATATATACTCGTATATATATATATATATATATATATATATATATATATATATATATATATATCAATATATAATCTGAATCACGGAAACGGCCCCAACGATTTTCATGAAATTTAGTATACAAGGGGTTTCGGGGGCGATAAATCGATCTAGATTAGTCTTATGTCTGGGAAAACGCGTGTTTTCGAATTTTCATGCGGTTTTCTTTTGCATTATTCCACGGAAAATAATATTATGTTCGATAATTTCGCACGCTCGGATATAAACATCATGGTCAAGCGACCAAGGCACAAGATTGAATAAGTGTCTGAGTTCGAATCCCAGTCGGATACAAGAGTATATATTTTTGTTTTTTTTTTGTATTTATTCAAGTTTTTAGTTTTTTGAAGAAAATTGTACTTTTTAAGCAAAAACTCCGAGCAACGCTCGGTGGCCCAGGTACTTTATAATAATAACAGCTAAAATTAAATAAATAATATAGCTACATTTAATTATAATAATTATGATATATTTTTTTTAATTTTTAGAAATAAAATCAACAAATATTGTAA